TTAAAAAAAGTGCCCGGCGTAAAGCTCTAGTTACTTTTAAATTTAATTATAAATTAAATAATATTACTACTCCCTAGTTAAAGGCAAAGTAAAAAAAGAAAAACTTAGCTAGTAAAAAAAAAAAAAATTGGGGGTAAAAGTAAATTATATAAAATATTTAATAAAAATTAAAAGTAATATAGCTTCACGTCTGCGCGGATTATAGAATATTTAAATATAAATATAAAAGTAAATAAAATATAAAAGTTTTAAAGAGTAACTATAGGAGGTCCCTAATAATTAAAAAATATATTTATTAAAGTTTTTAAATAATAAATAGCAATATTTTAAAAAAAAATATGCTTAATTTAAAACATGCTACTATTATAGCCCGCGTACAGCGTAAAAAGTTAGAAAGTAGTTAATTCTTTCTATCTACCCTATCCGCTAACTAAGTAGGCCTTGCGTAGGCGGTGGCAGAATGTGTGGCCGCTCCGCGGTTACAGTAAGATGCTAATAAGATATTAAGGTTTTTAAATAGTTTTAAGGATTATTAAAATATCTAGGGCCTTAGTTACTAAAATATAAATAGTTATTATTACTATTATACTTTGCGGTTAAGTCTTACTATAAGTACTTTTTTTAGTAATTAAAAAAATTACTTTAAAGTTATTATACCTAGCATAGGCTTATTTATATTATATTTAAATTAGGTATTTAAGTAGCTTTAAATTATACTTATTTAGTTAAACTTATTTATAATTTTTATTACTTTATAGTATTTAATTATTTTCTTAGTATAAAACTATAAAAAATTACTAGTATATATATTTTTATAGCTATATTTTTATAGCTATATTTTAGGCTTTATAATTTTAATAATATTATATAAAAATTTGGCTTAAACCTTAAAACTAGCTAGCTAAACCACTTTTTTTAATAGTATTTTATAAAGCCCCTTCTTTTTTAGGTTAAATAATTATAAAGTAAATTATTATAAGGCCGCACCATATAAGCAAGTTATTAAATTTAATTAAATTATTAATTTACCTTTATATATAACCACGTTACGCAGGTAATTTCTAAATATATAAATATTTTTATAGTATATTAAGTATTTTCTTACTTAATAATAATATTATCTTTTAGGTTAGTGGTATAGCTCCGTGTTTAGTGTAAATTAGTATAAAATATTTAAAAAATAAAGGTAAAAGTAAATAAAATAGCTTAAAAGTAGGAAATTTAAAGGGTAACTACAGGAGGTTCTTAATAATTAAAAAATATACTTATTAAAGTTTTTAAATAATAAATAATAAAGTTAAAAAAAAGTTATTACCTAATTTAAAATATACTACTATTATAGCCGCGTATAGCATAATAAGTTAAAATATAGTTAATTTATATATTTTTTACCTTTAGGCTAGCTAGAATACGCTGTATATAAGCAGTAAATGGAGGCAGAATACCCGTCCCACAGGGATAAGGGATGTAACTAGGTTACATATTACCAGTAGTAAGCAAGTTATTAATAAAGGCCTTTATAATTACTATAATAATAAAACCTTACTTAAATACTTTAAATATTTTATTAAAAAGCTTTTCTTTTTTTAAACAAAATAGCAAATAGTTACTATTATAAAATTTAAAATAAAAAAAATATTAAATATTATTAGCTATAAAGCCTAAAATTATTACTTATAAAAAATATATTATAAGTAAGTGCCCTAAGTAAAAAAAAATATTATTATATATTATAATTTAATATAATAAAAAAAAAGAAAGCCATAAGGTAATAAAAAAATATATATAAAAAAAATAAAAAAAATTAAAAAAAGAAAGTCTTATATAAGCGCGGGGTTAACCTTATTTTAAAATTAAACTTTTATTAAAATTTATAATAAACTTTTATTATTAGTTTTTTAAAAGGGCTAGCCTTTTTAGGAAGTTAATAGCTTATAATTTTAACCTTTTTTTAAAAAAATTTTTACTTTTTATTTTACCTTACCTTAAAAAAATAAAGAGCAAGCTAGGGCAAGTTATACTTAATAAGGTTTTTAAAAATAAAATATAAATAAGGGCTATTATAATTAATAATATTAAGTTAAAAATATATTAAATAATTTTTATTAATATTAATAAGCTAGGATCTTATAATTTTATACTTAAAAAAGTTATTTTATAATTTATAAATTTTTATTATAAAAAATAATAATATTTTTTATATATTATAGTATATTTTTTTATTTATAATAAGTTAAGGGCTTTAATAAAGGTTTCTAGTTTTTTATACTTTTATTAAAATATATTTAAAAATAGGGGTTAATATTAAGGATATTATTTTATTTAAGTAAGAAAAAATATAATTTTATTACTAGTATTAATACCTTAGGCTATTTTATTAGCTATAATAATATTAAGGCTAAAAAATATTAATAGCCTTAAAAAGTAATACTTAGGCCTTATTACTTTAAATAAAAGCTATATAAAGCGCTTAAAGGCCTTAATAAAAATTTTTTAAATAATTTTATATTTAGTTTTTTTCTTATATATTTTCTCTTAATTGCCCGGCCTTACCAGCCGGGTGATCCCCAGCGCTAGCGTTATTATAATATTATAATAATCTTTACTACTCCTTGGACTGCAGGTAACTTTATTTACTATTTAATAATAATTATAAAGGGTGCTTGTTTTTTTACTAAATTTAGTAGCATAGTTAAAGTTATAAAATATGAATTTTTTAGTACTTTATCTAACCTTTTTATAAAGTTTTTTAATACTATATTAAATATATAAGTATTCCCTATTACCTAGTCTAAAAGGTAAAAAAAGGTATAGCTTATTATTTTTATATACTATATTTTATAATCTTTTTAAGTAAAGCCATAAATTTAGCTAAAAAATTTAATTTTTTTTACTAGTATTATAATATTCTTTATTTCTTTATATTTTATTTTAATAAATTATTATAGCTAAGTAGCTAGCCTAACTAGGTTTACTTTATATATAATATTAGTTTTATTAAATAATTTAGGTATTATAAAAGATTATTATAAGGTTTTAAATTTTATACTTCAATTTATTTTACTTTATTACTTTAAATATTATAATATAGTTATATAGTCCTAGATACTATAATATAGTTACATGGTCTTGTGTTATCCTTGGCAGGCGCGTTGCACCTTGCCCTGCGGAAGAAGCTCTAGAGTTATTACTTAAATAAAAGAAACCGCGAAGCGCTGTCGGGGTTTAAAAATTTAAAAAAAAGTAAAAGGTATAGCAAAAGAAAAACATAGTATAAGTATAATAGGGCTAATATAAGTAGTCCTATTATTAAAAATATAAAGTTAGTAATAAAAAGCGGGAGCGGTAGTATTTCTAGTAAATACTTTTAAATATATAGGCTTGTAAATAATATTAAAAATAATTACTTAATAATAATAAATAGCATTAATTAATTAATAATATTTTTTAATAATATTGAATAAAATAAGCTAGTCTTTTAAGCTTTAAAAAAGAAAAAAAATTAAAACCCTGGCCCTTTAAAAACATGCTATTATTTATAGTAATTTTTATACACGTCATGCAAATTTAAAAAGTCTTATATTTTATAAAGTTTGCTAAGCGGGCAAAGTATTACTAAGGTAGTAATATATAGCAGAATAGCTGTTGTATCACGGAGGTGTGGCCAGCTCTAGCTGCCACAGTTTCTTAAGTAAATAAGTATTTTTTTAGTTAATTATAAATAATTTTAGCTATTTTTTTTATAAAAATATATTAAATCTAAAATTACTATTTTTTAAATTCTTTTTTATAACAATAAAAAATCTGCTTATAAAAGGTAAATAAGTTTTTTTTTTAAATAATTTTATAAAAGGTTATTTTTAATTACTGCAAGGATACTTAAGTAACTTATAATATAAATATAAGTTATTTTTAATAAATTAAATATATTAATAAGTATTAAAATTATAAGATTCTTGGCCTTAAAAAATTTATAAATAATATAATAAAGTATAATATATACCTTAAAAAGGTTTATAAATAATAATTTTTAAAAAAAAATAAAAATATTAAAATTAATACTAAGGTTTAGATTTCTAGCCTTATAAAGGCTAAATATTTTTAATATATACTAAGTTAATACTTAAGGCTAATTTAGCTATTTATAAGCAAAGCTATTTATAAATATTTTTAAGTTTTATAAAAGGGCTATATATAGTACAATAGGCCTTACACACATGGGCCTATACTTAAGATTTATTTTAGCCTTATTTAATTAATAGCTAAAACCTTATATAATAATAACCTAGTTAAGTTATATAGCCTAATATAATAATAAGGTATGCCAAGCCTTGGCAGCCTAAGGCTAAAGCTTAGGTTACCTAAGGTGTTAACTCTGGAGTCCTGGACTAATAGCGGGTTGGCTCCGGTAATATTAAATAAAAAAACATTGGCCCTAACAACATAATTTACTTTATTTTACGCTTTTACTTTTTTTTAAAAAAAAAAACTTAATTTTTTTATTATTTATAATTATTAAGCTTAGCTTTAATTATTTTTTTGTTTTTTAGCTTAGCTTTTTTTATATATAGCTAAGCTTTTTAAAAAGGGAAATATATAACAGTGCTACAGGCTATATTTTAAAAATATAAATTTTACCTTATATTACTACCTTATTATATAATATAAAAATACTTCGGCCGCTTTGCGGCATAGCCTAGAATAACAAGACTTTTTACATAACGCTTGACACTCACAATTGCTACCACAGTAGGGCCTAGAATAGGGTAACTAATCAATCAATCATTATTCATCACTGCTTGTCTATTGCGGCATCCAAGTACGATACTACATATCAAGTCATCTGCTTCTCCTTTTCATAAAGCTCCATTGAATCTAAACCTAGTCATTTTCAAGGGCACAACGAATGCTATAAACATATTTCGTGTACTTTGGGGATGTACACATAGGTGGACAGCCATCTTGCCATTAAGCTAGTAGGTACGTATCGGTTCCATAAGTCATAGCTGCATGTCCTGTAGCTTTTTGGATGCTTCATCTGTACCGCTCACGGGTTTGGCGGTAGGCTTAGACCGGGTTTTAGTTGAAGTGCTGTCTTTCGGAAGGTCTTTGGTGTATGGCAGGAATTCCGGAGCACCAGGAATATATTTCCTTAGTGGCTCAGGGACAACAAAACCCTATATGCTGTCAGCGTAGGTCATAACAAGAACGGGAAGTACGTCGTCCATACATTGTCTGTCTGGTAATTCTCAAGTACGCAACACAGAGTCCTCTCTGTAGCACACAACGTAGCATTCAGTGCATGGACATATGACTTCTTAACGTCAGTGGTCTTCTTCGGTCCATATCGAATTCCCAGTGCTCGCGCTTGGTAGTCAGTGCAATTGGAACAAGAAACCAGCTCCTTGTATTCCTGTTGGAAGGGAAACCATGCTTCGAGGTCGAACTTTTTGGCTGCGGCATTGTTCAAAGCACCAGAAACAATTGAGACAATCTGATAGGGGAGTCCAAGCGACTTGTAAAACTCCTCGGAGGTCGCGATCATTTCGTCAAAAGCCTTCCAGGAATCCTCGGGTTTGGTAAGGACGAATTGTTCAATCTGTTGTTGGGTGAGTTTCAGCTTCTGTGCGGTTGCAAGTGTTCCTGACCTTCTCAAATTGGTGGACACGAAAAATTCCCCAAGCATCCTTTCCGTGAGCGCCGGCTTCCTTGCGGTAACAGGTGCTGTATCCGGCATATCTGACCTTGATTAGCCTTCGAAAGTTCCGCCACCGCCGGCTTTCTTACCTGATCGGAAGATCCTTGTCCTGGAGCCATTCACTATCATGTAATGCGGACAGGGGCTGCTCCGAAGTGGCAATCAAGTATTTGTCCGTAGTCTTGTCCTCGCTCTCCGTGACCTTATAAAGCTCCTCGTCGAACTGTTCGAGTTGAGCAGTCTTGGCCATCATCTCCTTAAGCATGAAATGAGGTGGCTGGTTTGGCGTGTATCCACGTTTCCATAAAAATTCCAACCCGTAATTCACAAGCGCAAGGTTCAAGAAAAGCCCGTAGCCGGTGAGGCAGTATCCACGATGGCCAACAATCTTGACTCCACGCTCTGGGTCGTAGCCATCAAGTCGGGTGAGGACCTCGTGATGCGAGAGGCAATTGGGCTTCGTAGGGACGAAGTGATCTGGAGACCACGTCCTGATAACAGTATTGTCATCCTATATCGTTAAAATCATTCGTTGGAAGTTTGAGCATACTAACCTCGTTGTTGCTCACGGGAACTGACTCATGTACGTAATTGCCGATTGTCCGAATCTTCTTATCCCTAAGATCCTCCTTCTGCACAGCTAGCCCCTCGGCCTCTTTCCGCTGGCTCTCAAGTGCTGCTTTCTCCTCTAGAAGGCTGCTCGCATCTTCCTTGTTCTAGAGCGTATTTCAGCAATCACCGAGGGCGTCGCAGGAGAGGAGCTCAAAGGCACAACCCTACCTTCTTCTTTTTACCAATCTCCTTGAGGAGGGCATTGAGCTTGGAGTTAATCTGAGAAACCTCATACCGTGCTAGACGAGTGAGTATTTAATGCCGTACAATGAAGGGATATACTGACCCCTACGAGCTTCCTCATAGAAGGAAATAACCTCATCAACCGCGGCTTCAGGGGCAGATCTCTTCCTTTGGCTTTCCTTGATCTTATTTGGATCTCCACCGCGGTCAGTGATAAAGTCGGCAAGGTCGAGCATTTTTTGATGGTTCTTGTTCACTGGGAAGCTGGGGGCAGGGGGTATCGAGCAACCGTCGAAGTGCTGTTGACAGTTGTTTAATTTGGCGGGGTGAGGGGCACAGAATTTGGTAACATTTTTTCCGAAACTCCGATACGGTATACGGCACTCCGTACCCCCACTATATCTGCACCTGGACAGCGTTGATATACTAGCTAAACTTTCTGCCTGATACAGAGAACGAGCGCTCAGAGCGTTAAGTCGCAAGATGAACCATTGTTACACCATGCTAAATATCAGGCCACTGTGCAACCTTATCTGCCGGGGCTTCTCCCTCTACGGTCTATTCATTAGCCAGGGAAAATGCCAAAAAATAGCGCGTTATGATTATTCCCCGACCTGGGATAGATTAGTATAACCACACAGGAAACGCCGCGTCTAGTAAGCAAACAGGACAGGTCTGGATCTGTCCATTACATCAGGGTGCACTTATTTCCCCCAGTTGGTTGAGATGGATTTTGAGATCTCTCAATTTCCCCAATCATCAACTCAAAAGCCTTTGCGACGTTGTAATCAAGACGAGCGCTGGCTTCTGTAAATGCACAGCGAAACTCTTCCCCTAGTTGCCGGCCTTCGTCTAGGGATACTTGGCGTTGCTCAGGTTTGAGGTCACTCTTATTTCCCACCACGACGAGGGGAACATAATCCGCCCCCTGTTGCACTTAGTTCGAATAGAAGGTAAAATCAGCGCGGCATACTTACTAGATGATTTAATATCTTGTCTCTGATGACCCTTACCATATCGAAAGACTGGCGGGACGCCACGGAGTAAGCAATTATATATCCATGAATTCCGATAAAGTGTTTGGAGTTCAATATGCTGTATTCATCCTACTTGAATTAGTAGGTTCCTACAAAGGAAGAGAGGGAAAAACAAAAGAAACTAGTTTGGCCCTCACTTGTCCAGCTGTATCAACTATCTCTGTTGCATAATCCTGGCCGTTGTATTTAATGATTCGACTAAAGGTGTTCTCGATCGTTGGGTAATAGCTCTCCACGAAATGATGTTCAACAAACCGAACCGTAAGTGAAGATTTACCTTTTGATGTTGTCAGCTAGTAGTGCGAGGACATTGGCATGTAGACACATACCTACGGAGCGACTGCCGACAATAGCTATCTTTCGTTGCTTTGGCGCACTGGGCATCTTCGCTGCCCGCAAGGAATGATAATGATATCGGAAGAAACCAGCACAAGATACGTGGCGGAGATTTGATTTTCTGGGAGAATGCTAACTGCTATGACTTGAACCCAGGCCAGAGAAGTAACCAATTCAACCCCTCGGAAGTGCAGCACTGATGATGGATGACTCAGTACCGTAAAGTGGCAAACAGCTTAGAGCCGACAAGCAAGTTGCATCCGGGCGCAAACACATCAAACGAGCTGGCCGGGAGAGCAGGCCTCCACCACGGAGCAGGACCTGGTAAAAGCCAATTTTCACAGAGCGCCTTGAGACTGGCATCATTTAGGGAGGATTGTGGTCGCGGTGAATCCTTGTGCTTAGACCCATGTCATGTCGACCGCCATGCCGCAAGTGTTTGACCGTCCAGAAAACACCTTGTATAGCTCATAGAATCTCTAGTGAACTAACTCACTGGGGCTTTATTGATATAGTTTATATAGGGTCCAGATATTTTAATCCTCTTCGTGATACATCTTTCCTACTTGCTATTTCGCATTAACATGTCCTCCCAGCCGACGTATTTGACTGATGATATTTTCCATTCGATCCGTGAGTCTGAATTCCCCCTGTTCCCACGTCTCCAAAATTCGAGTATCTTTCTCGACCTCTCTATGGTACTGCAGGAACTTCTCGGCAGTTGTTACAACCAACGACAGCGTGCCTCCAGCTAGGTCGTCCTTGACCAGGAGGCGGGATCGCTTGTCAAGGCAGACCGTAAGTATAAGGATGGACAAATACCCTGCCACGACATTTCTATGCACTTCGGGTACGGAATGTGCCTATTCCCGGTCAGAGTTTGTCGAAGGTTAAAGTGAAAACTTACCTGATCCAAAGCGTTTACGCTACCAGTGAACTGTTTCAGAAGCTGTTGGAAGAAGGAAGACGCATGGCCGTCAGATTGTACGAGTATAGCTTTTGACTGCTCGGTATCTTGTGATAAATTGATAAGAGTGCCCAGCGCCAAGATAACTTTGTTCAACCCTGCATCATCACTAGAAATGTTGAATCCAATAACGACCTTAGCGAGCCCAGAGACGAGCCCCGAGGATGCGAAGCTCTCGCAGACTGTGGGATCTTTGTTAGTGAGATTTAATATCACCCGAATGTATGACATTGGAATATCATCATTGTGATTGCCATTATCCAAGCATAGGAAATTGTGAAGTTGAGAAAGGCGCTCAAAACATCGGCAATGATCGTGATCAAAAGAACCGGATATCACCGAGTAGTTTTCGAGAATTGAAAATATCAGATGCAAGATGTGAGTTTGATTCATTGATTGAGGAGCCGTTATCAAATCCACAAGCTTGTTCAGTAGATATGTGGGAATAGGGCGAATAATGTGGCCGTTTTGTCGGAGAACCATCAAGGACGATTTAGTGCACTCGAGTGTCAGTAATCGAGGTGATAGGCATGGTGACGATGCACCAATGATGGAGAGCAGATGAGACCGAATGCTTCTAATAGAAACTTGCGCAGACTTTGAGAGGCCAACGGATGGTTCTCGCGCTAAAACGTGGAGATCGTCCTCCACGTCCAACAGTCGGGGCGCCAGTTCGAGAGCCTGCTCCCATAAATATTCAGAAAAAGGGCGAGAAGAATGACCACCACTTATTATCAGCTTGTAGGCACTAAGCGCAAGCGAGGCGGACACTACGTCCGGACTGGTTGGCATGCAGTTGACCAGACGTTCGTCAAAGCCCTCTTGGGAGAAACGATGGACGAACTCGGCATCCAAAAGTTTGCCGCATAATTCAGCAAGACCGCAGCACCTCCCCGATGCTGTGTTATGCGAATTCTCAATGTCTTCAAAAAGTGAATCCACGGCTTCCCGAAAACGAGCGTTATCGCCAGCTCGGCGAAGCTCGTGGATACTCCGAACAGGTTTGTTATCGGTCGTATCTTCAGAAGGTGTACGGTCCTTTTTGGTCAGCGGACTGGTAAGGTGGTCTTTGTCAGCCACGCTGACCGAATCATTCAGGAAAGAGCGCTGTCGCGAATATGTGACCGCTGGAGATTGCAACGTAGGAGGAACGGGCTGAAAGTTCCCATCACGAGCCCCCAATCCCCGACGTGTTGCAGGAAATTCCGTTCCAGAAGCGGCATAATCAGAAGCAATGTTAGCCGCGTGATCTCCATCTGCGGAACCTAAGGAGTCGATCAGTCGTCTCCGCGTGTAAGTCGCGTCACCCTTGCGCAGCAACCCAAAATTCCCGGTACTCATCTGCTCTGCTTGCTGCAGATAATGGGTTGACGGCCCCGTGTCATATGCAGCGTCTGAGTTTGAGACTTTGGGAGTGTCGCTCTCGTTTAGATGGCTGTCACGATGCGAGGTCTTTGAACGGACATCATTGGTGTCGCGTAAGGCAATATCCTGTATATTGCTTCCTGCAAGCGCCTGCGAGTCTACCTGCTTTCGTGCATGGTCTCGGCGTGTTTCTTCGTTTATTAGCTTTCTTCGTTTTCGCGGCATGACGCTGCGTTCGTCTTCCCGTTGAATGGGGGAAGAATTGACTGGGTTTAACCATGAGTAAATCATGACGCATAATGGGGTTAAGCACTCACAATTCTTCGCCGGGCGCTTGGATCCAGACGGCCCAATGGACGACTTGGGTGGGATAGCAGATGCTGTAGATGCATAATTGGGCAAGGTACGTGACGACAACCTTGCTGTGTTTTCTGAACCTGGCGCATGAGGATCGGACCGGTTCAAGTGCGATTTACCATACGTCACCGGCCGCTTTCTATTTTCCGGCATCCTGATAGCAATCTCGACGATGAACTCTGCATAGATGGCGCCGGGTTGTGTCACTGGCACCAGCGTTATTGAAAGCCAAATGATACCACCTAGGGATTTCGCCTCCTCATTATCACAAGATGACTAATATTCCCCCTAAGGACCAGACACACCACAGACAGATAGGGGATACCAGTTAAGCAGGTTTCAAACCACGGTTTCGCTGTTGGTGTAGGTGCATCCTGATCTTCTGAGTATGATCTGTCTTCGCTTGGTGACTCAGCAAGGCCCTGAGCTTGTGGTGGATGGCGATTAGAGGTGAAGATGCCCCGCGAAGACTAAAGTACCCCCTTCTCTGGAGGTGCTGCGGACTGCCAGTCTGCCACAGTGATAGCACTGACAATATGCTCCGTGGGGTGTACTTCACACCCCGTAGAACAGTCAGTTGATTATTGATAAGGGCAGACCACATTGAGCTCCGAAAGTTTGAGGCAGAAGCGTTAGACCGGACTTGATTGCGCAAACACGCGATTGTTTGATACCTAGAACAGCATCCAAAATTTTCCTTGACCAGCCTGAGGTGGTTTAGTTACGTTAGGTTTACTACTCTGTATGAGGTTCATTATGTACACTGGCCAATCACACGATACTGCAGGCTCTCAACTCCACTCTTCTAACACCTGTCTCACAACCCACTTCTGGGTTCTGTGTGATAGTAATTATAATAACAAACTCACAGTCAGCTTTCATGTGCCTGTCCCAGACTTGACATCCTGTCAATCATGAGTGGATCAGCAGAACCTATTCCGTCGCCAGCCCAAGGGGTTGGCCCAGTCTATCGATCAGACAAGGAAAAACCTACGGCGACGGTATCGAAAAGCATATCATATGAAAATGTCCATGTCCTACCTCAAACTCCTCAGTTGATAGCGCTTTTGACGTAGGTCGCAATCCTGAGAACGAAGAACTATTTACCCGCAACTGACAGGCTTCTAGCATGATTAGAGACCAGAACACCGGCCGCGCTGATTTTATTTTCTATTCGAACCGGATAATCCGCCTCCTGGTAGAAGAAGGTCTCAATCATCTTCCAGTAGTTGAACATCCCGTCACTACTCCCGTGGGTCGTTCGTACCTCGGAGTCAAGTTTGAGGGGAAAATCTGTGGCGTTTCAATCATGCGAGCAGGGGAGGCTATGGAGCAAGGATTGAGAGATTGTTGTCGGTCCGTGCGAATAGGAAAGATTCTTATACAAAGAGACGAAGAAACATGCATGCCGAAACTTTTCTACGAAAAGCTGCCTGCCGATATATTTAATCGATGGGTCCTGCTCCTCGACCCGATGTTTGCTACAGGTAGGCGCAATAACTCGCTCAACGCAACATAACAAAACTAAAATACCCTAGGAGGATCGGCGACACTTGCGGTTGAGATTCTCAAGGCCAAGGGCGTGCCTGAGGAACGTATACTTTTCCTGAACCTCATCGCAAGTCCTTCGGGTGTCACGGATTTCGCTCAACGCTTTCCCAAACTTAGGGTTGTGACTGCTTTTATCGACCAGGGCCTAGATGAAAAGAAGTAAAGACCCACTAGACCACTGCAGAAGATCTCCCAATGCTGACATGTTCATAGGTATATAATTCCAGGTCTCGGGGACTTTGGTGACCGCTACTATACTTTATAGTACCATAGTAGCAAATATGCCTATCTGATTCGCGGTTAAAACATCGACCCTATCAATGACGCAATACGCGAAGCACGACTTCACGAAGCTTTCGCATTGTAGCTTGTTTATCTCGTCCGCAATAACTTCCTTAATCCTCCACGAACTGACTGTCAACGCGGCCTGGGGAGTAGGTTCGATGATTGGCGCGCGCGGTGAAAGCATCCTCTTCGTATCTATTGGCAGTATCTTTGGCAACCGCGTCGCACGCATCAACCCAGTCCGAGTACACATCGACCGCAGCGGAGAGGTCTGTACGGGAAAATATTAGTATCAGCTAAAACATAATAGAGAAAACTCCGCCTACAGTTAATGCCAGTTTGGAACCTTTGTCCGCACACCTTGCAGGACAAATGTCCCAGTCCTAGCTTCTTGTCCAGCTTCACTACAATGGAATTCTCGTGATTGCAGAAGAGGCAAGCAAACGTGCTCGGAAGGGGCTCTTTCTGCTCCATGAGATTAGTTTTGAACCAACGAAGGGGTAGCATCGGAAGTCGCAAACCTATGTTACCTTTTTGGGCTGCTGGGGTTGGCGGCTTGACTTCTTACGTTTACCCTGTGATTTTTCCCATCAGACATGACGTCCAGTATAGTTGATTGTAGAAACACGTTGAAGAAAGGAAAATAGATACCATTCTCGAGATACGTTGGTGGGATCTGGTAGATTGGACAGCTGATCAGCGTGCCTCGAATTAGCTCGGACTTCAAAGGGTTTGGATGCACGGTGATGCAAATGATGCAAACTTCACGCTGGCTAGTCACGTTCGAAGCAGGTACGTACTACGTAATAATCCTGTCAGGACATATGAGGTGTGGGCATTAACTTCCGAGTTTGCAGAGGCGGAGCCTCGGCCCCACTACATTAACTACGTAGGAAGCCTGCCCGGAGTCGGCCGGGGTATGGAGTGCTCTTACTATGAAATTGAAACTCCATGATTTGAGTCCATGCTTATTATACATTGAGAAAAAAAGAAACCTAGTTCTACCACAACAGGTTTCGCACTGTACGTGTACGGTTGCACAGATACAAGCAAGTTCATCAGATCCTACCAAACTGCTAGAAACACGAGCGAGGCAACAAAGAGAATAATTCACCAGATAATGCATCAATCTAACACAGTTGAAAAGCTTCAGGTTGTACACAGCCGCTGGAAGCAGGATTATTAGACACCCGTCTGAAGGAAAACTAGGTGGTGGCGGACCTAGTCCAGACTTTCAGCCTATGGCATGAACGAGAACTTCGAAGAGTCCGATTTGGTGGAGTAGAGAGTCACGTGGCAATGTCGCTCGTTGTCCAATCATGCAGGCCCAGTATTGTGGCTAGCGGATTACATAAGAAAACTATAGGGCCAACGTCTCGCTTAACGGAACTTTTCTGTGGGATTTCATCCACAACTTCTTGTCCGTCGAAACCGCGGCAAGCAGCACGAATCGACCCGACCACTTCCACCAAATTGCGCGGTGTGAATTACTCGTCTGTCTTCGACAATTGAAGGATAGGCCTGAGTCGCAATTATGGCTGTTGGAAAGTACGACATTCGAAACCCGAATTGGACTTGAGACCGTTGCTAATGAGCGGTAGGAACAAGCGCTTGTCCAAGGGCAAGAAGGGTATCAAGAAGAGGACTGTTGACCCCTTCACCAGGAAGGATGAGTACTCTGTGAAGGTAGGCGGCTTGCATCCAAGCGGCTCTGCCACCTCGCTAATTCGATATAGGCTCCCTCCACCTTCGCGCAGCGAGAGTGAGTTAGATACCGGGTTATTGTCAAGGGAGCGACGAAAGATGGACTGACTGAAACTCGTGAAGCGTCGGCAAGACCCTCGTCAACCGCACCAGCGGTCTCAAGAACGCCAACGATTCGCTCAAGGGCCGTATCTTCGAGGTTTCTCTTGCGGATCTCCAGAACGATGAGGACCACGCCTTCCGCAAGGTCAAGCTGCGTGTCGACGAAATCCAAGGAAAGAACTGTCTCACCAACTTCCACGGTCTGGATTTCACTACCGACAAGCTGCGATCTCTTGTGCGCAAGTGGCAGTCGCTGATCGAGGCCAACGTGACCGTCAAGACGACCGATGATTACCTCCTGCGCCTCTTTGCCATCGCTTTTACTAAGCGACGCCCCAATCAGATCAAGAAGACCACATACGCTCGTTCTTCTCAGATTCGCGCCATTCGCAAGAAGATGACCGAGATTATGCAGCGGGAGGCTTCCAGCTGCTCTCTCGCTCAGCTTACGTCGAAGCTTATTCCCGAGGTTATTGGCCGCGAAATTGAGAAGGCTACTCAGGGAATCTACCCTCTCCAGCATGTGGGTGCTGATTGAAAACTTGCGGTGATGTTGATGGTGACTAATCAATGTATAGGTCCACATCCGCAAGGTCAAGCTTCTCAAGTCGCCCAAGTTCGACCTCGGTGCCCTGCTTAACTTGCACGGCGAGTCAACGACCGACGACAAGGGCCAGAAGGTGGAGAGAGAGTTCAAGGAGCAGGTTCTGGAGAGCGTTTAAGTTACGAAAAAAAAATATCTGGCCACATCGCTATGGTTCTTATCGGATACAGCCATGGGAGTTTGTCTAGATTGTCGCGGTGTGGATATAAGCAGGAATCGGGATAGTGCTGTAACCGCCAATGATACTCTTTCCAAGTTCGTGTCCTGCTCACTGTTACACCACCCAATAACCACAGTGGTCTTGCTCTATTTTTAAACATCCACTTTCTGATGCTGATGGACTCGACGAGACGTAAAGGACAACATCAATCTCAAGATGTGGCTAGAGGATATAGTCAGGTAAACTACTGATATCGCTGCGCGGGCTCGGAAATTTCGGAACCCGCAAGCATGCCGACCCCATAAATTAGAGTGTGTTGCACCAGATCCTTTATATGTAATTCTCATTAAGGCACGAGTTAGGCCTGTTCTCCGTCAGCAAAAAATTATCCATGTCTTTTAAGTGCAACACGGGGCCGATTAGAACCAAGGACTTAGCTATACTCCGTAGACAGTGTATCTGCAAATGTTCTCGCCGCCCCTCTTCCGGCATTTCTGGATGATTTTTTTATCGATGTGCTAGATACAGGCGCAGCGTTTTGGAACGCTACCCTGGCAGAACGTCTATATTGAATGAGGTTGAATTCAACAAGTACGAAGATTACATGAAAAAAGGGATGGAGTACCCTACATCTCCCATTGGAAAACTTATAGATAACCCTCGGCCGCTGGGACTCTGACCGGTCGTAAATACGCAATCGTCGAGAATCGAGAATCGAAAGGCTGCCCCACCTCGCCCTCTCAAAAGTTTGGGAGTCTCCCTGCTCCTCCGAAGACTGACTCCGACCCCGGAGCTGGTCCGAATTACTATCCGTAAGATTGTCCATTGTTTTCTTGCCATGACCGACACTCCATCCTTAGTTTGCAGAGACTCCAGAGAGTCCATAGAGCTGTTATCTGCAATCATACTTGATTGACCATTCAGCTAGCCCGTATTGACCAGTCAAATTCTATCAGAATCAAGGTCTGCATGAGTCAATTTCATTCATGTGTTTGGACAACTACTTATAAAGGTTTTATATAACAGAAACTCGCAACAGTGCTTGCTTTCAAAAATTCAAACGCCATCTGCTCCCACACCGTATCACAACAAGCTCCTGGTGAGTGAGTCATCTGGCATCTGCTTTCTACAGTTCTGATTCTCGATTTTTTTTTTGAACACTAGAACCCATCTACACCTCCAACATGGCCTCCGCAAGGGACATCAACTCTAGCAATGCGCTGAATTTTCCTTCCTCATCACCGAACGCCTCTTTCCAGTCCGCTCCGTCCAGCCATAGTGGCTCGACTTTTGCAAACCGGCTGGTTCCCATCCTCAATGCAAAGCACCTGAAGCCATTTGCTACAGAGGACATCAAAGTCTTGCTCCTCGAAAACGTCAACCAGACAGGTCGTGATATCCTCAGCAAACAAGGCTATCAAGTCGAGTTTCTGAAGTCATCGCTTCCCGAAGATCAACTTATCGAGAAGATTCGGTCAGTGCCTCTGACACCCTTTGGCCTCATTATTCTAACTCTCTGTAGGGACGTCCATGTTATCGGAATTCGTTCAAAAACAAAGTTGACGGAGCGCGTCCTGAAGGAAGCCCGTAATCTCATTGTCATTGGCTGTTTCTGCATCGGAACCAACCAGGTCGATCTTCAGTATGCGGCGGAGCATGGTATTGCCGTTTTCAACTCCCCTTTCAGCAATTCTCGAAGTGTTGCTGAATTGGTCATCTGTGAGATCATTGCTCTTGCTCGGCAACTCGGCGATCGTTCCAACGAAATGCACAACGGCACCTGGAACAAGGTGAGCAACAAGTGCTGGGAGATTCGGGGAAAGACGCTAGGTACGTTTTTTTTTTTTTTTTTTTTTTCCATTACCTATAATTTTTCAAACACTTGCTCATTTACAGGCATCATTGGGTATGGCCACATCGGCTCTCAGTTGTCGGTTTTAGCAGAGGCTATGGGCATGTCTGTCATTTTCTATGACGTGGTAAATCTCATGGAACTGGGCACAGCGCGTCAAGTACCAACCCTGGATGCACTCTTGTCCGAGGCCGATTTCATCACCTGTCACGTACCCGAGCTTCCTGAAACAAAAAATATGCTAGGGCAAAAGCAATTTGACCTCATGAAAGATGGCAGTTACTTGATCAATGCCAGCCGAGGAACTGTCGTCGACATACCTGCCCTTATACACGCGATGCGATCCGGCAAGATCGCGGGTGCTGCCCTCGATGTTTACCCCAACGAACCGGCTGGAAATGGTGATTACTTTAACAACGATCTCAACGCCTGGGGAACTGATCTCCGCGCCCTCAAGAACCTCATCCTGAGCCCACATATTGGCGGTAGTACCGAGGAGGCACAGCGTGCCATTGGTGTTGAGGTGGCAGAGGCCTTGGTTAGATACGTCAACGAAGGTACTACTCTGGGCGCTGTCAACCTGCCGGAGGTCACTCTTCGCTCTTTAACCATGGATGAACCGGACCATGCCCGGGTGCGTAATCTCTACCAATGCAAGTTCATATACTGACAGTACAGGTTATTTATATTCATCACAATGTCCCTGGTGTTCTTCGGAAAGGTAGAGAAACAGAGTGGCCCAGTGCTGAAGCTTGGCTAACTTTTTTAGTCAATGAAATTCTCGGTGACCATAACGTCGATAAGCAAATGACAGATAGTAGGGGTGATGTAAGTTTTGTCCCTAGCACAATAATTTCCGTGCTAAGTGTATACTAGGTCGCCTACTTGATGGCTGATATTAGCAACGTCGATCATACAACAATCAAGGACTTGTACGAGAGACTGGAAAGCCTTTCCTGTATTGTCACCCCTCTACTTATTGAACATGCAGAACACTAATCGTTCATTTACTTAGCTCGAATTATGACGAGGATACTGTACTAACGAACTTAACCCTGCATAATCATTCCACATAGATTAGCCTATATTTTCCCAAGCGAATTGACTAGGTCAGGACACCCTGATCAGGTAGCAGACCCTCAACGGCACCTGTCTGCCAAAAGTTGTTTTTATGGATCCACGAACCCTGGAAAAGTTTGTCTCAATAGGAGTTTATGTGACGTGAAACAGAGGCAGATTGCTTACGCTCAGTGCAAGCAGAAACTAATGTAGTCGAGTTGTTCAAACCAAGAAAAGTGAATTTCTAGGAACTCTGTATGCTCTGAGGAAAGAGAGAGGCGTCTGTACCTTCACCGACGGTAGGAACCTCTGTCTACCCGCTCCCTGTATATAGGGCTCCGACTCCGTCTCCTGGGAGGGTTCTCTCTTGATTGCAAACTTGACTGGTAGGATTTGTCATAGTAAGATCCACGCCATTCGGGATTAGGAGGCCCATGGTCTCTCTCGCGATGCCGATCGCTTTCGTTGTACTTAGGAATGTAAGTGTCTGTTACTTTTGGGTCATTGTAGCGAGGCCCATGCAACCGATCTCGTCCTCCTTGATCGGAATGCCCTGGCGCCCAGGGCTGACTATTAGGCGCGGGAGGTTTAGGCGGCAGACCGCCATCTCTATGCAGAGGCGCGGCTTCATTACTTCTCTGCCTGGACTGCGGTGGTTCATGGTGCTGCCACTGGGGCCGGGGGCGTGCATTTCTGCTTTCCGCGCCGGTTCTATTCCCTGAATTAGTTGACCATCCCCCATTTCGACCCATGCCTACTGAGCCTCCCGCGGGTGCCGGGGGCATAGCGGCTCGCTGTCCACGGAATCGCCGCCTGTCAAGTTCGTGGGAGTCCTCAAAACTCGGAAGGTCACCCGGACGTGCTGGAAGTGGTGGGGTTGAGAAATATGGATGTTTTAGAGCATCAATCGCATTAATCCTTTTTCGCCAGTCCAACTTCAAGAGTTCGGTAAGCAAAGAAATGGCGATGGGGCCTTGACTGTCGAGACGTTAATGTCTGGTTGCATGAGAGTAAGAACAAGGTGGGTTACTTTTTGAATATTTCTGCGAGATTTCCTGGTTTGCTACCAAAGCTTTTCACACCTTCGCAACCGGGAAGGGAGCTCCATCCTGGCATGTTCTCTTCCGTAGGCGTACCCACAAGGCTGAATATCAGCTGTGCCTGGTTAAGGTCGCTGTTGCCGGCGAGAATTGGCTTTCCCTTGAACATCTCCCCGAACACGCATCTTCGAACGTTAGAAAAGTGTGACCAAGATCAGGAATTAACTCACCCAACACCCCACAGATCGATAGCAGAAGTGTAACGCCGGAGCTGAAGAAGTAGCTCTGGAGGACGATACCAGCGAGTTACAACTAACGTGGTGTAGTCTCTTTTGGCTTCCCCTCCTCCTTTGCCGGGTTGAGGGGGTGCTTCATCGAAAGGCCGTGCTAGTCCGAAATCGGCGATCTGCAAAATACCTTGATTGCTTATAAGTAGATTGGCGGCTGTATTGGTCAGCTAGATTTCTGTCAGATGTAATGCCGGACTAGCCTTTCATGTCGCGATGAAGAATACAATTCTGTACATGTTAGAGATGGCGTCTAAAGTTCATGTCCCATGTAATACCGCATGTAGATATCTCAGCCCTTCAAGAAGCTGAATCATGTAGCACTTGATTTGAGCTTCTGAGAAATGGACGGCCGGATTCTCCAAAAGCCCCGAGAGGTCGTGTTCCATGTAAGGGAAGACCATATACATGCTAGGCTTTTTGCGCCCTTCTCCTACCCGAGAGTCAGATTGTCCGTTTTCGGGTCAAGCGGCGCACCTTTACTTCGCTCAACAGCCATTTCTCGAAGCCGCATGATATTTGTGTGGGACAGCATCTTCAGTAGTTTAATTTCTCGAAGGGCCGTGATGGGAAACTTTGACAATTAGATATGCCAGATTATTGAGATAAGAATGATCTCACCCCATCTCGCTCATTGTGCATAAGTATCTTTTTCAAGGCGACGATGGAACCATCCTTTTTAGCCCGAGCTTTGTAGACCTCTCTAGAAAAGCCCGGTTAGCCGAGTTTAGCACCATTTGGAAGCACTCACCCAAAAGTACCCTCACCCAGCTTGCCCAGGAATTCAAAGTCACGGATACTGGTACATCCACTAAACCTTGAGCAGCCCCTACTGTCTCGTTCGAGTGACGCTAAGCCCATTTCCGGTCGTGTAGGTCGTTGCTTTGGAAGAGACGCCGCAGGAAAGACTGGTAGTTGATTGAATCAGTCGCTTTTTCGGCGGTGCCTGCAAAGATGCTCTCACGGTCAGTATAATAGAGGAGATATGAGAAGATATATGAAGTACTCACTCATGTAGTCAAAGTAAGCTCACGCGGGAATGACGGAGTTAAGCATCACGTGACTTTAACTTGTGAATTGGCGGCCTTAATCTGACCATCGATGCCCCAACATCAAAATCGCATCGACCTTCGCACACTGAGCAGGTGAGATAGCCATTACTCTTATCTCGCATGGCTTCTAAACGCTTTATAGACATGGCGGCAAACCATCCAATCCATATCCATCCTGCTCGACCTCTCTACCGCTTCACGGCGACTGCTCTCGGCGCGAGCATGTGGTTCTTCGTCAGTCTACGAGTACCTCTAATGTATGAACCGCGATACTAATTACTACTCTACAGTTAATGTATCGTGCCAAAAAGGACGGGCCTGCTTTGCTCGGCTGGAAGCATCCTTGGGATCATTGAGGGAAGAGCGATGAAGAATGGCTATCATAAACACCCGAGGAATTGTACTTGCACTCATGATTCGACATGTTATAGGTAATACTATAATATCCGTGTGTTTTTTGCCATTGCTATATTTATTTACCCATTTCCTCAAGCAGGATTTTATACTGACGGCGCTGCTTCGGGACACGGGAAATTGTGTACTTTAAGCGTCCAATAATGCGAGCAATTTGGGGAAACAGCTTTCGTTCAGCTAGCCAAGCCAACAAGAAGCTCCCAAGAACAAGTCCAAGTAGCCACGTATCAAACGCGTCAGACAAATAGGTTAACTGCATGACCCGCGTTATCCACGGCGATGGCCGAAAGAGCATGTAGCCTGAAAAGACCAGGTCCGTAATTACGACGGCGAGAAAGGGCACTATATCGTCAGTCAATATATATAAATATAAATCTCAAGAGTGGATGCAACGTACCATTAGACTTCATCGGTTTTCGATAAGGCGGCCCTACGCTCAGAACGACACTGGCCAATATATACTGAAAGCTCGAGGTCAGGAACAGGACAGTGTTCTCGGAGTTCTCAATATTATCTTCTCCCAAATCCACATTCGGAGCTTTGAACCTGCAAAGGTGAGCAAAGGATGCGTGACAAGGGAAAGAATAACTCACCATGGTTGTGACTGTACTGACTTGTAGGCCAGCAGTTGAACGATCACAGTTATTATGATCTGTCCGATTAATGGAGTCAAGACCTTTCGAGAGACAAGGTCCGCAGTTGGTCGCTTCCGAGAAAGTATATCATAGGGGCCGGTCCATCCCACTTAAATGGTCAGTACTGACAGCAAAAGGACAGGCGACTTACTGAATATAGCAATTGGGAGTATAAGAGCAAGATCAATGAAAAGAAACTGCACTGGTCAGCAATACACCTGATGAAGCTGCTAGAACTCACCTGAAAGTCACCTAGGTTAGATGCAGTCGTATACAGGAAGCTGACCGTCGCAAATTGAATCGCCGAATACAAGCTCATGTATTTGAAACAGCAGAAGCTTGTAACCAATGACCCTCGACCCTCTCTGTACCGGTTAGCTCCCTCTTCCAATTCCTCCTCCAATTCGTGGCTTAACAAACCTGATCAATGTCGGAACACAAGAGACATCAAACTGACGACTGGTGAAGGGCGCAGCTACAGAAGCCTCGGCTTCTGACAAGGATATGCCAACGTCTGCAGCCTTTAGTGCTCCACAATCATTGGCACCATCGCCGCAGAATCCACAGCAGTAATCAAGTGATTGAAGTTTTTCAACAAGTTCATGTTTTTCATCTGGTGACATTCTTGCAAACACATTTCCACGGACAAGCATCTATAGTGTCAGTCAAAGGTAACTGAAAGCCTGTGGCTTGCTTACTCTTTTCACAAGGGTTTCATCCCCGTAATCCAGAATCCATCTGAATATGTCACCACTGACTGCAAGCGAGTACATGTGAGCATCACAAGCATTCCCAGGAACAGACAAGTCAACACCTGACGAAGGCTGAACAAAGGTATTAGCTTCCTCCAGCTTCTCTTGGGTTTAGCATACCATTAATGTCCGTGGGTCCAAGGTGATGTTAGAATTATCAACACATTCCCAGTAAATAGACGCCGCTAGAGTGTCCCACCGCGGTATGAAACAGGGTTCCTTGATACCTAGAATACCACACTCCCGTGCCACGCTTACTGCGGTAAGAATATTATCACCTGTGCACATAACAGTTCGTATGTTTGCCCGATTCAGCTCAGCAATAGTTTCCGAAGACTTCGGTTTTAGTTTGTTTTCGAAGATGATAAAACCGATAAACATCAGATTCGACTCTGTGTCTGCGCGTGCCATTTTCTGGATTTTCATCCAACTCAGCCTTTGCTCATATCTAGCTGCACAAGCAATGACACGATAGCCGTTGTGCGTATACTGCTCCAAAATGTCCTCAAAGTCCGACGGTACTGTACAGTTAGGCTTTGAAACATAATTGTAGGAAAAGAACTTACAGCTTTCGGGCAGACAGATGTCTTTCACACTTTCTGGCGCGCCCTTTACAAAAATAGTGGCACCCATATCACCAAATTGTCTCACAATCACACTTGCGCGACGAAGTTGGGAGACGAATTCGAAACTGCGAAGAATGCCGAGCTCCACGGCCTGGCCCCCCGATGGAGGCCGGGCAATAGACGGCACAATTGTTTCGTTGTCGAGATTCGGATGCTCGTGCGAGTGACCTCCACCTTCTTGGAAAGACCATCCCGTAAACTGAAACATCTTCACATCCAATGGATCGCCTAGAATCTCATTATCCACTACTCTCAGGGAGTGGCAGGTTGCCATTATGCGGATAATAGCGTCTGCGGCGGAAACACTGGGTAGAGTTTGTGCGTCCGACAAGAGTTCAGATAGCCTTCATAATCAGAACATGATCTTTGAGATGTTGCGATCAAACATACCTTTGATCCAGAGTCATTATCCGAATTCCAAGGACATCCAGGCCATCTTCGGTGAGGGTTCCGGTTTTATCGAAGCAAACCACGTCAAGTTTACCACCCACATTGACTCTGCCGTTGTCAGCAACTGACCCAAGAGTAGAAAAGAAAGGTTATTGACCTTTGAGGGCTAATGCAAAAGATGTTTTTGCGTTTCAGCCGAGATAGGGCAAAATTGGTGCCAATCGTCAATGTAGCGGGCAGTGCCGGAGGCACAACAATGGTAATCAGATCCAGAGCTCTGACAATAATCAATCCCCACGAAAGCTGCTGAGTTAGTAAGATTCATGGGCCAGGTGGGAGACTTACCCCCAGTCGCACAAAGTTAACAAAAGATACAACGAATCCTAGCATAGCGATGATCCCCATAACAGATATATACCGAAAAGAGTCCCGATAGAACTTAAACCCCGATGGTTTGGGAAATAGCATTGAGCGAATGAGGGCTCCTTTCGTGGTCAAGAACCCTGTCCTCATGACAATTGCCAGCGCGATAGCCTCATCGTCGTCAACGCCTTGTGGGCGCCGTGCTCTAATAATCTTGGTTCCATTGAATAGGAAATGCTTCGCCACATTCGGATGGACGGAAGGGGCACTGAGGCTGAGATAATCAAGAGCATCGTCTGTCAAAGGGAATTTTGAAACCGGAACGGATTCACCTGTGCCATTAGTATACGTCGAGAGCATCGAGGATATGCCCACCTGTGAGCATGCTTTCGTTCACAATACAGTCCCCTGATAGTAAGATACAGTCACATGGAACCTGGTTTAGAGACGGATCAGAAACCTCGAATACGTCACCAGGAACAAGTTCCTGGGACGTAACAGATCTCCCTGAAGGTGTTAGCGCGTTGAGGTAATGCCATTGGCATACTCACAAAACCCGTTTCTAAGAACCCGAATATCGCATTCAAAATGGGACATATCCTTTAACCGTCTTGTAGTCTGGAAGGTCAGCCCCGAGAAATAGAAGTGGCGGTGGAAAACATACAGCAGTTGTCTCAACAACTGTGGTTCCTATGCTAAACACAGAAATGATAAAAATGCAAGCCGCATAATAATAGTACGTGTCGAGGGACCAGAGCACAAGGCTAGCAAGCTGAAAGATGTAGAACGGGTGGAAGGCCTGCCATTAGCTGAGAAAGTTGAGTAGCAGAGAGAAAACATACTTCATCTATTAGGAGCTGAAATAATGATTTTTGTTGGATATCAATGGCGTTTCTGCCAAAAATCTGTTCACGGCTGTCGCGGTCGTCGGCATTGAGACCGACTCTCATAGATTTTGCGTTCGTCCATGATGGATCTTTCCAGCCACTGATCAAGAGGAATTGGTCTTCCAAAGGATGATAGAAAAAACGTAGATACCTGTAGTCTAGATGCCGCAGTAGCTCAATTGTGGGATCGCCATCCTCATCGTGTGTATATTTATAAGAGTCCGCAAAAATTGTAGAAAGTGGCCGTTCGTACGCTTGTTCGCAGACTTCACATATGCTGAGTTGCTTCCATTGGTCCTGCTAACTTAGTATTCATGCATGCTTGAGGTTTAGGTGCATACCTCAACCACCGCCCACTGACAAACACCCAAAGGGGAAGGCCTTCCCAATAATCTAATTTTCCATTTTGGAAGCCATCTGAACAACAGGAATGCAAAACCGAAGGTCACGGTGCATAAGAAGTAGTACAGAACAGCTCCGGTCATGGCGGTTTTGAAACCTGCAATGACGATAGTCGAGTCCTCCGAGGCAATGTGGATTTCTTGCGACACTCTAACTCCAGAAGTAGAGCCGACAGATAACGACCGCCGCGGCAGAAGTGGATCTTCAACAGAGCTTCGACGGTAAGGTGATTGCCTCGACCTGTACGAATATTTCGTGGACTCGGCGTCATCCTCGACACCGTTCTCAAAGTCGTCTTCAAAGTCCACGGATCTCCGATGCGGCCATTCAATCGCATCCTCCTGCTCTTGATTGTGTGAGAAACTGATAGTCGAATCTCTTCTGGCGCACCGGCGAGAGAACGACGCAACACTGGATGGGATACTTTCTGATACTGGCCCGTCAAATATCTATGCAACAGTCAGAATTGCTTAAGGGCCAGGAGACTAGCGTACCTCGCTGCGAGCCATCCCGACATCTGTTATAACACTGTAGCTAAACTGAAATCAGACGACTGAGAATGTATAAATTCACAAGGCTTCTAACCTGCTCTTCACTGAGTCGCGTCGCCGTGGCACTGAGATGGCAGCCGGCTCTCGCGACTGGGCGTCACCTGCTGTATATGCGGAGTGCTCCATTTGGCGATATGAATACAGTATCGTTCCTTGCTAATCCAACCACCTATTTTCGAGAATACGCAGCTTGCAATATCACGACGCGCATAACTGCAACAAGGTATATTCTCGAGAATGCATGGACCGCATGCCGCGCAGCTGTCGCAGTTTCCCAAGCACGTCCGGACTTGCCTGCACGGTATCGGACCTCTAGTGGCACGTGATGAGCCTAGAGAAATGGGGTAGGCTCAACATAGGAAATGGATAGTTCAACACGCTTTACTACCTTGACGGCTATAGTCCCCTTGGTTTTGAGCGAAAGCTAGACTTCAGAAACACCAAGTATATTAAAGACTTCGAAAGGTTGATGAGGACATTGTTACAAGTTACTTTCGATGACGTAAGTTCCAGATGGATGGCTCAAGATCTCTCCTCTTCATGCCAAATCATGCTGCCAAAAAGTATCACTTGTGGGCTCACAATGATCAGTAAGCTATATATATCATCCCTTTTTGCCTATGAGTCATGCTAAATCGAGCGACACAATCTTTGATGCTCAGACAGAAAGTACAACCTTGATTACCTTAATGTTGAGGATAAACATGCGCGGGCGAAATTTAATCCGTATCCAGAGTAGTCGCTCATACTTCATGAGCAGAAAGAAAGGCGCCTTCAATTCTCAAGCACAGTTAGTGTAACTTGGTGAATGCTCCTTCTAATTACATGGCATTGCAAGTGTGCGATCTAATTCCGAGATTCCTTTCTGTTGTTGGTGACTATTTTATACTGTGGGTGCTTCTCAACAGGCTGTCCCGCCAAGCCCCTCGGCCCAAAGGCGCTAAGATCCCACCAAGCCAGGATTCCAGACCAAAATCTCAGCGTATCAAAATCTTTCAACCCTTAACCTTCCTCTCCGCAACAACCCCTCAACGGATTCTGTCTTCTCAAGGCCTCCGTATATTTTTTCGAGTGAATCTTCACAATGTCTGAACCCATCAGGAACAAAAAGGCGGACTTTCCTGTTGCCCCGTATGCAACTGAGCACTTCCCAACACATTTATCACCTCTAACAGTTGCCCGCAGGACGCCGCAAAACACGCCAGCCAACAACGCACCTATCTCTTCGCATGCTCAGCAACCTGGAGTCTCCAGCATCAAAGAAGGTAATCTCTCTTTTCAACCATAGAAATTGTTCTAACGGAGTAGAATCCCTTGACCATGCTACCGCAGCTTCGCTCTTCGCGAGAAATCCTGGTCTTGTCTCCATGATTCAAGGAAAACTCGGCTCGCTTGTTGGCCGGTCATCGGGTTACATCGAATCTTTACCCGTCTCCGTCCGTCGCCGCGTGGCCGGGCTGAAAGGTATTCAGAAAGAGCATGCCAAGCTTGAGGCCCAGTTCCAGGAGGAGGTTCTAGAGCTTGAGAAGAAGTATTTTGCGAAGTTTACCCCCCTCTATGAGAGACGCGCCACGATTGTCAATGGTGCTAGCGAGCCAACCGACACGGAAATCGAAGCTGGTAAAGAAGAGGAAGAAGAAATCGACGCCAAGGACGAAGAATCCAAAAAGGACGACTCGGAAGTTGCCACCCGCGGAATCCCCGAATTCTGGCTTTCCGCAATGAAGAACCAGATTTCGCTTGCCGAGATGATTACTGACAAGGATGAAGAGGCTCTTAAGCATCTGGTTGACATTCGTATGGAGTACCTTGATCGCCCCGGATTTCGGCTCATTTTTGAGTTCTCCGAAAACGAATTCTTCACCAACAAGACAATTTCAAAAACATACTTCTACAAGGAAGAAAACGGTTATGGGGGCGACTTCATCTATGACCATGCCGAGGGCACCAAGATCGATTGGAAGGATGAAAAGGACCTCACCGTTCGTGTGGAAAGCAAGAAACAGAGGAACAAGAGTGCGTATGCATCTACATCAGTGGCAACCGGCGCTAACGATATTAGACACGAAGCAAACCCGCGTTGTCAAGATCACCGTGCCAACGGAGTCTTTTTTCAACTTTTTCGCTCCCCCCCAACCTCCGTCAGATGACGATGATACCGTTGCTACGGATATCGAGGAACGCCTAGAACTAGACTACCAGCTTGGGGAAGATATCAAGGAGAAACTCATACCCAGAGCAATCGATTGGTTTACCGGGGAGGCTCTGCAATTCGAAGAGCTCGGTGATGATATGGATCCCGATGAGTTCGATGAGTTTGACGACGAGGATGATGAGGATGATGACGACGACGAAAATGGAAGGGGTTCCGATCGGGACGTTGATGACTCTGACGAAGAGGTGCGGCTTACTCATTCTGTGCAGTTCCAAGACTAACGCTCTGTAGGATGGTACTTCCAAGCCAAAGAAAGAGGCGGCTGAGTGCAAGCAAAGTTAATACAGCGGACACCAATCTTTGACTACTTGTTTTGCGGCTTGTTCTCCAGAATGTTTTTTTCTTTCGACATTATCTAGCAAGGCTATTTGATGACCCTCCGTCGAGAAGTCAAGTGTGTGCACAGCATACAGTTTCCTAGCCTGATGGTCCTTACATTGACGAGTGTGTCACGTTACTTGCTTGGCAGGTAGCGTTTTTTTATTCTTTTATATCTTAATGTCGAGTCATTAGTGGCGCGTGGAGTAGGTACACTTTCATCTAATTGTTCTTGAACATGCGTGTTGTTAGCACAAATATTATGAAAATGCATGATAAACAGTTTTAATTGTCACAACCCCTGCTTAATAATCCTAATACTCTAAAGTACACAACTGTAATTGAAAACAAGTCCCCCAGATCAACCACTGACTACGGAAGGTCAAAACGTGCTGCTTACTAGCACAGTTTTCCACAAATACAATACAACTGTCATGTACTACTTACTATGAACAATCCACAAGTGGCATATCATAAAACATTAGCAATAAAACAATGAAACATGCTAATATAAACGCTGCATAAAGGGTGCCATATAATCATCACAAGGTCATCGTAAGATCATAACAATGTCAGTCAAAAGTCAAACCCAACACCCAACCTTGCATCCGCCCAAAACTCCTGGGGAAACGATGTGAAAACGGCCAAAATGAATGGAAATAGAGAAGGAACCCCGTGAACACCAAATCGGCGATCTTGAACCCAATTGGGTAATAGGTCTTAGAGCATATGGCCGCGAAACCCTAGAGGAAACTCCGGTTGCGGAAAGGAATAAACTCGAAATATGACTAGCGTGAGCGAGGTGGTTTTCATAGCCAGCGTAGATCCGTGTAGGAAAAAAAACAAACAAAAAAAAAAAAAAACAGAGGAAGATGAGAAGGAATACGTAAAGGGCCTCAAGGCCGCAAGTTATTCCCTCGCGAAAATGGTGGCCGCGAAACTGGCCGGCTACCTGTACGTGCTTCACCTCCACCAATCTTCTGGAAACCTTGCAAAAGGTCGACACCATCCACTTCCTGTGGACTGTCATCAAGAAGATGCCATGAGAAGAAGTCGTCATGCGCAGCATCAACGAAGTGCCCAGACTCCGGTAATTTTGATGGGGAGTCCGGGAAAAGGAGTCTTTTCTTCGACTTGTTGGGAGATATTGGTTTCAGCCGGTTGTTAGCACTCATAGCAGTGATGTCTGCCAGGACATTCCTCGATCCAGTTGTGTTAGTACGAGACGAGCGTTTCTCGGGGGAGCCGTATGCTGGGTTTGACACGAGGTCGACCGTTTGATCGGCGAATACGTCGAAGGAAACGTGAAGAGTATCGTGAGGAGTGTAAGCTTCATCCTGTATATTAAAGGCAGGGCTCCATGGAAGATCCTCGTCCAAACCTAAATGCTTGATGGGAGAATTGACCATTTGCTGAATCTTCTTACGGTGATTTCGAAGATTCGTGTTCGGGGAAACTGATGGTGGAGGTTTCGTAGGTTTCTTGAACTTGAACACAGGCGTAAGAGGGCCTGCCACCCTCCATGTTGGGGGCGGCGACAGTGTCCCAGTTTCCTTTAGGTATCCCGACTGACTCGGGCTGATATCATGGGAAGAGCTTCTGATGCGCGCTATCTCTTCCTCGGCACGCCCACGCTTCATACGAGGAGGCTCGATATCTATGTCGGAGGTTGGGAGGTGTCGAGCCTTATTTGACCGCATCGCAGAGGATTCTAGCGAAGAGAAATACCCGCTGTCGTTCATTGTACTCAACTTTCGTTTACGATGACGTGGTCCATTGCTAGGAACAGCGGGATGAGAAGGGGTGGGAGGAGTCCCTGGACGGGCAAATCGTGTTGGTTGTGCAACAGGGGGAGAGGAATGGATTGGTTGGAGAGGAGAAGAGTGAGGAGGGATCTCGCCACAGATGGTGGTGGCCGAATCTTCCTGAAAGGCCGGATCAGATGCGGGAAGTGTAGCATCAGAGGACAGATCGACGTGTCTGGAGCTTTGGACGACGGATTGTTGTTGAGCAACCGGCGGTACAGGCGGTGGTGGTGGTACAGCCCAGCTCGCAGGTTCTCGCTGTGGTGCCGCAGAAAGTACAGTTGAAAGTTGCTTGCGCACTGGTTTATCCTTGATGAACTGTACTTCCATTCCTGGTTCAATAGCCCAGTAATTTCCTTTACCGGGATCGTCCTTGGGCCGTTCTTGTTTTACAAACGCTTTGTTCAGACTGAGGTTATGTCGAATGCTGTTTTGCCACCCCGGATCACTGTTCTTGTAATACGAAAACGTATCTGATATCCACCTATAGATTTGCGCTAGTGTCAATCTCCTGTTAGGAGCGCGCAGTATAGACATTCCGATCAGCGTCGCATAACTGTATGGGGGTTTCGCGCCATCATCCTCGATTGGTGGCAATTCGTGGGGCTCTGGCAGTTGCATTGTGATCTCGTTCCCCTTTTGTTTTTTAAACCGCTCTTTTAATGGCGCCGCATCCAGAAGTGATCGTTTAAGAGACGGCTTAGCAAGCTGAGATGGCTCAGGAAAGTCAGCAAAGGTCTCTGCTGATGCACTTTCCGACGGGTACTTGACGGTGCTGGCAGTGCTAACACTGGAAAATGTTGTGAACAAGGTGGACTGCGGCAGTGAAGCGGATGACGAAGCGGTAGGGTGGATTTGAGGATCGGAAGGTATCTTTTTGATGGGAGAGTCGGTAGTAAATGTCGGCGTCGCAGGAGCAATCATTGGAACATATCCCAGTCTTCCTTCAACAAAGTCTAATTGCGACTTGCGACCGAATTTAGTCGGCGACACCTTGTTGGTCAAGGTAGATGTTGGGTTGAGGACATAATCCCGAGTTGTAGGGAGGTTCTCGATAGGTTGGAGAGACAATGGTGATGGTTCTAATCGAGGCCGTCCGGCTGCAGCATGTCGCTGTCCTTGAGATAGCTCGGCGGGTGGTTTCGGACTCATAATGATGCTGCCAGCCTAGATATGTCTCGGGCCGACTTGACTGCGCCCGTTGACGCGCTGCGACCGAGTGTGTTGAATATACGATGGTTGTCTTGGTCGACAGCTATCTTCGTCGGAATGCGTTTGAACGGCTCGGGAAAATTGCAATGTGATGTCAAAAGCTTCCGGAGACACGGAACAGCGTGTTCAGTGAGACTAGGGCAGTAGGTAAGGTGATCGCGGCGATGGAGAAAGGAAGGAGTAGATTCGAAATCTGGAACACGGGCGGGGAGCGAAGAGCTTTTAATCAAAATCACCCTTGCCTTGGTAAAGTTGGTATGCGCAGCCCAAGTGGGGTGTTGCAAGATACTTTCTGAATAATTAGAGTAATGATTTATTTCAATCGGGTTGGAAGAAGTGATGGGAGCCTGATCCAGGCGAGGTGCCTGACCTGGCTTATTGTTATCAAACGCGTCGCTGTCGCGTCTTTTGATACACGGCTAGTATTATCGTTACGCTGAGCTCGGCAAGGCTCACTGCTGAAACCGCCGCCAGCCATTTGAGTCTCCGGTTGTGTTACAGGTTGCTGTAACACTGTAACAGAGATACGTCAGCGCTTGCCACCTTACTCGAAGCAGCAGTTGGAGATTGGGCTAACAGCATCGGGTGGCTCTCCTTGAACTGAGAGCCGCCGCCAAGGGTCATCAGGTGGGCGATCGCGGCAGATCAGATGGGCCCATAGATATACAGTCATACGGAGTAGATCACGCTGGGGCATTGTTAAAGGCGGGGACGCAAGGCTCCTACCTCGCCAGGAAGGGTTTCACACCTTCTTCAACCTCAACAAGGAGTCACGCAGACGCCTCCTGAGACCCCTCTACAAGTGATCAAGGGTCTTTCTCCTTTCGAATAGATGTTACTCTATGGCAGACATTAGCGATCATGGACGGAGCGCCAAGCCACTGAGGAAGATATAGGTCAAAATGAATTTGTATGTCAAATCCCGGCCCCTTCGAGGCGGCAAGCATGCGTCAAGAAAATGCTTCGCGTAAGTGAAGGCTGGCTGATTCACCAAATATGTCGCCAGACTCTTGTCCAACAATGCAAATGACATACCGTAGGCCAAATACATAGAACATACTCCGTACAATCTATAAAACAAGCTTACCACTCGTAAGCAAAGAAATCTATCCAAAAGAGTCATCAGAGACAAAAAAAAGCATACCCGGAGAGCCGGAATGAATCGCCAGGAAGAAAGAAAGCCAAGAACGCCGTCATGCAGAACCCGGAGAGTATGCTTGTTAACAAGGTCAAAGCCGCAGGATTTTCAAGGCAAAAGATGTGGTGGATATCCTAGAATACGAATAATGTTCGCTGAACTGCACAAACCGATAAGCAAGCGGGGACAGACGCCCTCTAATCTAAAAAGGTGAATAAGCTGGTATGTATGATGTTGAGAGCACGGTCTGCATCTCGTTCTTCAATAACACACGAAATGTTGATCTCGCTGGCGCCTAAACAGGGTTCATTAGTTCGGTAAACCCACCGACCCAAGTATAGTCAGTCTTACCTTGAGAGATCATCTCAATATTAACGTTGTTCTCTCCCAAAGTAGAGAACATACGCCCAGCCACTCCGACCATGTTTTTCATTTGCTTCCCTACGAGGCTGAGAATGGCCATTCCAGGGATTATATCGACGGTACCATATCTCTGCAGGTCACTCAAAGCTCCCTTCAAATCCTCGTCGATGATCTGGTACTCGTCCCTTCCCACACCATTCAGAAGCGGCCTCTCCGAATGAAGAGCAAGAGAAACATGAACTTCGCTGGTGGATATCAAATCAATGGACAGCTTCCAGCGATCAAGAACCGAAAATATCCCCGCAAAGAATCCGTGAGAAAGAGAGCGTTTGTTGGAATGGACATTGATAACGAGAATGTTATGCTTAATGGTAACAGCGGTTGGGCGCTTCGGTCGTTGAAGAAGGCTCGGGCTCCTCGTACGAAATAGTCTCGGGTCATGGCCTGGTGTTGTCCTTTCCAACTCGTAGGTAGAATCCGGGAATATCACAGTTCCATTTCCTTTTGGGTTCATGACGTTTTTTATACGAATCGGAATTTTGGCACGAATGACTTGTTCCATAGTAAAAGGATGAATCACCTCCGAGCCATAGAATGTCAATTCAGCGGCTTCGGCGGGGGTAATTGCTGGTAGAAGACGAGCGGTAGGAACCTTCCGGGGATCCGCAGTGAATATGCCGTCGACCTCCTTCCATACTTGAAGTTCCTTGGCATGTACCCCAACGGCAACCAAAGCCGCACACAAATCAGTATAACCACGCCCAATCTGATCAAGAAGACCCCCGGGTATTGTTCCAAAGTATCCCGTGATCACTGGTACCTTATCACCAGTAACTCTGCGGCCTAGCGCAGCCGCAAGATTGTCATAGAATCCCTGGTCGAGGCCCTGACCCGAGATATGGAAATCAATGATCTCGGACAGATCGACGTATTGCGAATCAACCCCGCGATCTTGAAGAAATGCGGCCATCAGACGGCAACTCAGCTTCTCCCCTGTGCTAATGACTTTATCCACACAACGTGCACTAATCTCGCCGAGCGTCTGAGCGGCTTCCAGGACCTTCAAAACCCGATCGCATTCGTCATTGATCTCCGAGGTGAGCCGTGTCCTGAGTTCATCAGACTTTATCTGCGTTTCGACGACATTGACATGCTCCAGCCGGACGGCCTCGACAAAAGAGAGGTATTGTTTGGATTGAGAGTTTTCTGCATCGCGAGCGGCTCGGAGTAACCTGTTCAGGTAAGCAAATTTGTGTACATTTGCTGGGAGAGTCGCACCGGGTGACTCACCGATTCGTAGTGCCCTCGGCTTTCGTAGAACTGCTCCTTGCAGAGCATACTACAGCAACTCTATGTTGTGAGAGACTCGGACTGAAATGAGTAGGATAATTAGCGACATCTCGACTATAGGCGCCGGTCAGGAGACTTACAGGACGACCTGGTCGATAATATTGTGAGCAAACTTGCCGACGCTCGTGCCTCCAAACTTCTGTACGACCCAATTGTTGTTGGTGGAGGTTGTGGGTGCACCTTTTAATGTGGATATTATATCGGCATTGGATGGCAGTTGGCCGCTCATCTTGAAATGCCTATATGACAGGTGTTTCTTCTGGAGGGACTGGGAGTATGAATGTCCGGCAACGGAATCTTTTATGTGGCCCGCGGGGTTGCGAAAGCGGAGGGCATGATTTTTCTTCTTTCTTTTTCCGCCTTTCATGTGGGGAACGATAGTCTTCGATATTAATACGTAATTTGCGTATTATTAATAAGGAACGCAAGTGGTCTGCCTGCCAGTGCCTGGCTCTATGCCCCACGGCGACGATGTCGGGGCTTTTCTCCGTTCCTTATTGGCCAAGAATGGAATATGTATGTACTGCAGTCTGCATATTCCAATTTCCAAGGCTGAAGTAGTAGTGGCTGCTTGAACATCCCGTACGTGGGATTTGGAAAAACTGGCCAGGTCTGCGTCCAGGGCTGCACTGATCCTGATTCCCTAACCCTGGTTTACGGACTCGGAGTCTCGGACAGGGTTCCCTCAGCCCTGCAACCTGCCAGTATCAATAACTTTCGATAAGATCTGCCTGGCAGATTAGCAAATCGTGGCGAAAACTCAAGGAGTCCTGCAGATCACCCCAGTAAATATCATTGGCCAACGGCCATGCTTACGGAGACGGAGTACTCTTTCAGCCTGGTCCGTGGTGAGGCTCAAACTGCATCCTTGCAAACGCAGCAGCCTGAAGCTGCAAATCGCATCTAATCGAGACTTCCTCCACTCCCACCCACCTCACTTAGCAGCAAGAACAGGCAAGGAGCAGACCGCGTCAGTGACGTATAATCCTTCATCCTACCATTGACTTGCCTTCGATTCCCTGCATCATAAACAAGTTGTAACTCAAACCACCCGTGCTTGCAAGAATGGAAGCGAAAAACGCTGATGACTCGACATGCCCATTTTGTCCTTTCTTTGACCCTGACAGCAATTTCGTCACTCAGCACGTGCAATACTGTCACCCTGAAAATGAATCATCTGCAGAGCCGCAGGAACTATTCCAAGCCGCTTCCAGGGCAGGTCTAGAGTCTCAACTCTCCACTTCTTCTGAACTAGGAGTCGGAGACGACTGTGGATCTCTACGCCCAATTCATGCGAAGCCGGGAGATCCTGCTGTCTCTAGACATGCATCCTTCTCTCAGGCCGTCGAAACCACTTCATTGCTCATCGCTTCAAACAATGGTCAAGTCGAACACCGTATAAGCACGAAGAAGTTGCCCAACGGAAGCATAAAGAAACTCGGCGTAGGTGACACCTCTACAGTTGTTCATGTCAATACTAATATTACGACAGCGTGCGGAGCTGGGACCATACGCCCACGAGAAGAAGATGCCTTCGTGGCTCTTCCGGATGCTAGACAAGGAGACCGCCACTGTCAAATTCAACAAGATCGCATCAGATGGCAAGCTTTCAAGACATGTAATCATTGCGAATGAAACACCTAATATCGTGTCCGCGCTTGCTCAGCTATGCGGACAGGATAAGTCTGTTCAGCGTGCATTTCTCTGCAGCCCCCATGTTCACCACATCTCCAAGATGCCAAGGGAGGGAGGGTTTTGTGGATATAGGAACATTCAAATGTTGGTGTCTTATATCAGAGGGTCCGATGCTCGCAACCTTTTCCCGAGCTTGCCCACGATTCTGGAACTCCAGGACATGATAGAGCGTGCATGGGATATGGGATACAATGCTATAGGTAGGACCGAAACCGGGGGTATCAAGGGAACCAGAAAGTATATTGGCACCTCCGAGGTAAGACTACTATAATCCGTTCGGACTGAAACTCGCTCATTCATCTACAGGCCCAGGCTTTTTTTTTAAGCCTTGGAATCCAGTAAGTTCAGCCCAACACTACGTCCACTAGCGAATACTGACGCCAACAGATGTGAGGCTCAAAGTATCGGGAAGACAAAAGAAATGTCCGCTCATAGCTCTCTACTCTCCCACATCGCCGCTTATTTCAAAATGGGCTTAAATGAGCAGACCGAGAAAGTGGTCTTGACGGATCTGCCGCCTATCTATTTTCAACACCATGGTTCGGCTTCACCAGTAACTAGCGGGGTTAAGCTGACAAGAATAGGGCATTCTATGACGATCGTTGGTTTTGAGATTCGGGAACAAGGAAGTGGAAATCTCCTCGTCTTGGATCCGGGCGTGAAGACACCCTCCGTAATCAAGCATGCCATGACTGCCAATATCAAGACCACGGACCCGGCTCGCGTACTGAAGGGGTTCAGGAAGGGCATGACCTATTTACAGAAGTATCAGGCTTTTGAGCTCCTCAGGTATTCCATGAAGTCAACATCACTATTGCCAGCTTGTCTATCTAACCCTACAGGCTATTACCTCCCAGGTTCCCGCCAGAGACTTGAATTATGCCAAACGAACACTATGTATGGAGCTTATAGACTGCAGTTATATGTACTCGAGTATGTCGTCACATTTCAAGTGTACTCCCCGCCCGAGGTACTCTGTACCTAGTGCCTGAGGACTTCCACCCCACCGACTTTTTCTCTTGGCATCTAAAATATCGAGCTCAAGGAATCAACTCCCGAATGCTATCGTTCGGTTCTTGACCGTTCTAATACCTTATCGATAATCATAAATCGAAATGCGGACCTCACCTAACATTATCATCACAGGAACTCCGGGTGTTGGAAAGACAGTGCATTGCGAGCAGCTCGCCCAAGATACAGGCTTGCGGCATTTATCGATAAACCGGATTGCAAAAGACCGAGGCTGCTATGATACCTATGACGAAGAGCTGAAAACTTGGGTAGTGGATGAAGACAAGGTATGTCTTTCTCGCTCCTAACTCCCGTGTCGGCTTGCTGTTCTATTTCTCTTCCACCTGCTTACTTAGCAACCCACGTACAGCTTTTAGATGCCATTGAGGATGAGGTCCTCCAAGGCGGCTTCCTAATAGACTGGCATGCCTGTGACCTATTCCCTAAATCCTGGATTGACCTTGTTGTGGTATTGCGCTGCCCTTCAACATCTACTCTATATGACCGCCTCAACTCCAGGTAATGACATCTTTATTATCTGCCTCCTTCAGAGAGGGGACTAACTTATGTTACAGAGGATACCATGAAACTAAGCTACAAGAAAATCTAGATGCGGAGATCTTTGGGGTCCTTATCGAAGAGGCTCGCGAGGGCTTTGATGAAGAGATCGTGGTTGAACTTAGTAGTGAAGAGGACGGCGATGTGGAGGCTAATTGCGCTAGGATAGCCTCCTGGATAGAGAACTGGAAGACCGACCAGTCGGGACGTTGACAATATGTGATACCATCCCGCAGCGCTGCCTTGCCTTACGGTTGCTCGTCGGCCAGCCACTGCTGAAGCTTGACAAGAGCTTTGTATCTGTGGGAGATTTTATTCTGCTCGTATGTTAATCACTTGTAAATGGTCAGTAGGATGAGGGATCACACTACCTTCTCCTCCTTGGTCATCTCTGCAAATGTCTTGCCTTCATGCTCGAATATAGGATCCCAACCTGTAGAACGACCAGGTCAGTTGTCGTCTCTTTCAGACCAGCAAAAACGTACCAAAATTGGTTGGCCCTCTGGGTCTCACAATAGCGCCCTTGACAGGAGATTTTAGCTCTGTTATCATCAAGAATGACATGCTACTGCCATACCTCTGTTCTTCCCTGGAAAAGGATTGGCTCCGACCCAGGACCAGAAGAAAATGCAAAAGTACACACAGCCTCTGCGCCCCTCGATTCGAATGAGTCAAGCATCTTGTTTAGCCCCTCATGTCCCAAGGCTTCGAGGAAGGATTTGCTGCGCGGAATCGTGTCAGCTCCTAGCCGGTCAGACGTATACATGGGTGTATCACATGTACGGGCCAGGCAGGCCTTCAAACGCATGAAACTCTAAAGCCGTATCCTCGGTCAATACCGGCCCTCTCACCTGTAGCAGTTAGCCAGTCGGCAGGATTACATGCGTTAACGCTCTAAGCCTGCTTTCATCACTTACTGCACATGCTGCATGTCTGCACTTTGCCTTCGCTATCTCTTCAATTGTGCCTTGTATCTCGGGCACGTCGACTGCCTGGCTCTGGATATCGACCACATTGCCTAGTATAGCTCTAACCTCCGCTAACTTATTTTTGTTGCTGGTAATAAAATTCAGAGACTTCATCTTCGATGGAGCAAGTTGTTGATAGGCAATTGGATTGAGAACAGCAGTCACTAGTGGTACTAGACTGTTATCTTTGGTTGTATGTGCTGTACTAGGTTTTGTGTGCGGCAGTATGTGGGGAAGTGAGGTGTGGCGGAATTCTCTTTCCCTCCCATAAGATATTATATAGATGGCGATTGGTCTGTACAAACTCTATAGCATTAGAGAGTGTCTGCCACGGGAGCGCTCGGCGCAACTCATTAAATTCGTAGTGCCGGCAGTTCCAAATTAGGCAATATTACGTAACCCCAACGCGGCGTGCCAAGTACGCTAAATTATTAAATTGGGTGCAATATTCGCAACGCCATACAATTTTATATGGAAACGCGAATGTTATATACAACGCGTTAATTAACAAGAAGTGTCCCAATGGACGAACTTTAGGTGTCGTCCATAATACGGAAGTCGCTTTATATACAAATTTTGGTGTAAAGTGACCTTTTTAAAATGTTAAAACGCGTCGCGAGGCCCCGACGGACATCACTTACTTGACCGCGCTAGCGCCGCGCTAAGCCTATTTAAATTAAGCAGACGGCAAGCTTAACAAGCTTGCTGCGTGCTTAATTTTTTGGACCGCCTTCCCAATTGGGACGGCGCTCGGGCGCGCTAAGCCTAATTAAATTAAGCATGCCGTTAAGCCTACGTGGCAGACACTCTCTATTAAGGTACCCCCTGCCAACAAGTCTATAGACCACGGTCTTCTCTATCAGCTGTCAGGTATTGACTAACTAACAATGACCTTTTAGCGTATCACGTAGCACCGGTCTGACAAGGATTCTAAGTGTTAGCTAGTATACTTGCCTGAAAATTACCTCGTATGATGTCAGAAGCTATTCGCCAAGCAGTGACAATAGATAGGTCATGGGTCATATTGAGACATCTAGTACTTCCAATATATATTAACATAATCTAACCCTTAACTCGGGCCGGAGGCTCTTTATCCATCATCCCAAAAATTATGGCAGTGGCTACATGCAATTGCAGAACTACTCGACAGAGATCGCGCCAATCTCCAGATTCTCCGGTTTGTCTTGCTGTGCCATTGCCTGCGCCGAGACAATTTCGGCGAGTCGTTTCAACCGTGGTGTTTGAAGCCCTTGATAGGAGGATAGTTAGCCAGCAGAACGACTATGGCAATGGGCAGGCACTCACAAGACGGGGTGTAGGTTTCCAAAGCAGTAATGACACGAGGCTCGGCGATCTCATACGGCCCGCTATCCTCCATGTCGACTGGAGTAAGGAGGAGCACGTCGCTCTTCTCAGTAACACGAGAGGCCACAGCCTTCATGATCTCGCCGTTGATGGGTTGCTCGTAGTCTGCCACGAGATACTGGTTCAACAGCTTTTGGATCTGGTTTGGAGAGAGCCTGAACATGATTAGCATGGCCAATTAGGGATAATAGACGGTGACTGTCTTACATCCAACAAATGTCTTGGATAATCTCGATATCGTTCAAAGTGGCCTTTTTCAATTGGAGAAGCTTGGTCGCTTGCTATAATCCTTGTTAACTTTGATCAGTACCAAATGCTAGGTTGCCTTACCATCAGATGCTCCAACTGCAGTGTTCCTTCCGGCATATCGTGACTCTTACACCATTCCTCGATACGGGTTATGTTGTAATTGATCTGGAGGCCTCGTTTCCAAGAAAGGAAGTTTCTTCTCATCAGGAGGTCATTAAAAGCCGTGACGCCGACGAGACGCAGAAGCTCCGTGACGGTCTGTGTAATAATTGAATCTTCGAGATAGAAAGCTTTCATCGCCTTGTAAGCGTTGTTCAGGAGACTCAGAAGATTGTCCATGCTGAAGGCTGGATTGTTATTCGACGGCAAAAGCTTTCCGAGGAATCGATTCGTCTCGTTTGTGACGAAGCCGGGAAGCGACTGCGATTCAATGATGGCTGGAACGATCATTTTGTAAAGTTTCTTCTTCAGCAACTTCATCCAAGTGTGATAAATGTTGAATTCCAAGCTCTCCAAATCATGCTTTACAATCTCCAGAAGACGGTCATATTCATAATTATCAGTCTTCTGTGCTTCGTACCAATCCTCGGCCAAGAACACAAAGGAAAGCATCTCATGCACGTTGGAAAGCCAGAAGGCCCCTGGACTAATGGTATCTTCGCCATCATGTTGCATGACCTCCTGTTGAATTGACTGCATGACGTTGGCTAGGAAGCGCTCAGACTCTTTCACGAACCCGTTATTCCACATTTCAGATGTGACGAGGTTGATGAGGTAGGCGGGGAACAGAACCTCCTTCTCCGTGGGCGGAGGGGTGGAATTGGGCGCTGGAATCTTGAGGTTGCGGATCAAACCTATTGTGACTTCTTCGTTAAGATCCTCCTCTTCGGAAAGCAAAGTCTCAAGTTCGGCCTCTACCGAGTCAAGTCCGGAGGAAAGCGCAGTAACCGAGTAATTCTGGCGGCCTAATGCACTCGGGATTGCCATTGACACGGGTCGAGGATTATAGGCCCCGCTAAACCGATCGGTATCAATTCTCTCCGCGCCGGCACTGCGCCTCTTAGGCTTCGTCTTTTTAGAGGAGACCAGGTTGATAAGACCATTGGCGGGTGCCGGCTGGCCTATACCTGGCGTGGCTTCCGTTTGAAGGGGCAAAGTCCTCTTTGCGACCTCTAGTTGTTCTTCAAGGTCAATTACTTGTTGCCGAAGGGAAGATCTCTCGCTCTCGGACTCTGCGTTGATTTGCTTGAGCTTTTCAAGTTCCTGGTTCGCGGAACGAATCGCTTCTCGAGAAACTCGTTCTTCTTCCTGAAGACGCTTGACAGTGGCCTGAGCATCGGCATGGTTCTGCTGCAATGTGCTCATTTCTTCCTCCAGGACGGTGAGCCGAGCTGCACTGATGCCCGCCTGGTTGGCCTCGGCTTGGAGTTCCCGGGATCGATTTTCCAGTGCGTTATGACGAGTCCTCCAAGATTTCAACTGAGTCTCATAATTCTCAAGTTGAGAGTTGAGCGATTTGTTCTCCCGTTTCAAGGATTCCAAGTACTGCGTCAACTCAACCACCTTATTTTCCAACTTGTACGAAATTTGTTTCAGATCTCTCGCTTCTTCCCTAAGGGTCTTGTACTCTTTTCTCGCCTGTTTACCCCTCCAGAGGTTTTGGACGATAACAACCTGTCGGCGGTATTGCCGCCATGCACGCAGTTGACGCCAAGAACGGAAAGCGCGTTGTATGGTCTTCGCCGCATTGCCGTGAATGGAGTTCAGAATATTCCGCCGACAGAGGAAACCCTTTGACAGCGACTGCAGAAGGATGACATTATTGCGAATCTGGTTGTACTTCTTTCTCTCCTTCTGACCCCTCCACACCCTCTGGATGGTTGTGGCAGATTTAACCCGACGTATATCGGCGGCGCGCTGCCTCGCAAGGAATCCTCGAATTAAAGACTGGGTTGCGAGAACAGACGACCGCGCCTCGAGATACCTACGTCGGTAGTACTTGCACCGCAGGTTCTTCTGTATCATGATCGCGCATTCGTTTAACCTCGAGGTTCGTAAGTTTTCCAAAAACGCGAGCATACCCGCGCGGAAGAAAATCTTGCTCAAACCCAGTTGATACTTGTCGTGCTTTTGCTGGTCACCCAGTGCCTTGCGCAGAATGGCATGGCACATATCCTTGATTTCCGAAGTCCACTGCGACGAGTGGCAAAGCATGTAATAACGAATAGCAAACTCCTCATAAGTCCATCGGGTAGGATATCCGGCCGTACTGATGCGAACTGTTTCCAAAACACCACAAGCCCTGAGCTGGTTCAGCACCATTGGTCCCTCAAACACCCAGGCCTCTTTCGCTTCGTTCGGCTTGATACATCGAATGTAGTGTACATCGGTGGAGTTAATTGTGCTCATCAACTCAATCAGTGATGATTTGAAAATTCCACCTAGCGTTGGCTTGCGGTTGATCGCGACACCAATTTTCCGGCCTGGAGCCGTCACTGGCTTGGAGGAGACGGCGGCTGAATCCTTCTCGCGCACAGAGGCTGCGGTATCTAGTATCTCTTTCACGAAGTAATTGGAGGAGTTGCGCAAGATTTCCATATGCTCATCTGGAACAGTATCCCGGTTCTTCTCAATGAAGCCATCTGACTCGTAGGTAACGTCAACAGCATAATGGCAGATCGTGAACGCAGACTTTCCAAACCTGGGTTTCTTGTAGAACTTTTGCTTATCGGCAGCAAAATTGTGATGAAGCTTGGTCACGAATTGCTCGTCAGAGCCCATTGGCAATCGCGACTCTTCGTCCAGAAGAGATAAAATACCCAACTTTGCCTCGATAAGGTCGATGCAGGGCTGGTTATCCGAGAAGTCAATAAAGGTCCAATCAATCTGTTCTCGTACATATTCTTCCTGCTCAAGCTTGAAGACATGTTGATTGAACTCTTGTTGCAATTTCTCGTTGGCATAATTGATACAAAACTGCTCAAAGGAGTTTTTGGCGAAATGCTCGAATCCGTAAATATCCAAGACACCAATGAATGATTTGAACTTGCTGAGAACTTCCTCTGTTGCTAGACCGCTATTGATTTTATCAACAAGCCAATCGAACAAGCTGGAATAGATGAATTTGGCGACGGAGTCCCGAACAACGATTGCTTGTTGCTGCGTCAGGTTGGACGTTATCTTTTCTCCTCTTGTGATTAGTTGTTTCTTCACTATCCATTTTGCAAACTCGTTGGCGTCAATTCCAAAGATTTCGCAGGCTCGGGCAAGCGACGGCTCGGAGGGTGAAAGGGTAGAATCGGTCCTCGTGGCAGTGATCTTGACATTCCCAAGGTGCAGCAAGGCTGCAAGAATACGGAAAATTTCTGATTGCGTGGGCTCGGGTACGCCGATTGTTCCCAATGACTTCTTTGTCGCGGTGAATTCAGCCTTGTCGTCAACTCCATCGATAACCGGTGTCCCGCCCTGATTAAGGTAGTCGAAGTCTTCGACCGATGTAAGACCAAGCTCTTGCCTCTCCGCATCAGTGGCTCCGGCAACAAGCTGGTAGAAAATGTGATAATTCCGTTCTTTGAGCGGCTGAAAGACAAGGCGCGACCTCTCTAAAAGGTAAGTTCGTATCTTGGCACCAACGATATTGGTCTTGTCGTCAAACATAATCTCAATGTATTTCCCAAACCGCGAGGAATTGTCATTACGCGTAGTTTTGGCATTACCAAAGGCTTCCATAACCGGATTTGTGGCCAAAATCTGTTCTTCGGTTTCGCTGATTGCGTCGGCTCTGCTTGTGGTGTACTTTCCAGGCTGATCAGAAGACTCGCGAGTCGCGAAATACCGCATGATGTACTTCGCGCTGACGGTTTTTCCAGCGCCGGATTCGCCCGAGACAACGATTGTTTGGTTCTTGCCATCCCGTAACATGTCTCTATTGCAAAAATTAGTGGTGGCCCCTGAAAGCACTGCTAGGACTTACCCGAATGCTTCTTCCGCGATGGCGAATAAGTGCGGTGCCTGCGATGCGCGGTGCTTTCCCGCATAAACCTGGACCATTTGCGGCACATACAGGGAGTCCACACGAGCGAACGGGTTCGTCGCGATAAGAACAATGCCGCTGTACGTATATATCTCTTTCTGCGCATAGCGTAGCTTGATGGCTTGCAAGACTGCATAGCATTAGCTCAGTTTCCCTACAAGCTCGGAAAAGGACGGCGGTACCCGCTGGCTCGTTCAGATGAGATAGATTCGTAAGATCCTCACTAGCTTCAAGCATAGCAGGATTCATCAACGGCGGCAATTTCGAATTGTTATCAACTTGTAGTTCCGCTTGGGTGGTTTCTATCTCTTTGCACTGTACAGGTCAGTGTTAATCATACTGACTTGAACTGGCACTAACCTCGCCATTCTCTAGGACAAAAACAAGCCGAACTTTGTCACCATCAACGAGTTTCTCTTTGACCTCAGAGGCTACCCAGCCCTCAGTTGCGTCGGGTTGCCAGGCCCTCGTTCCAACCTCATAATTATGCGCCATCGTTCACTCCGATACTGCAGTTGAATAGATATTTCACAGGATAAGGGAATGGTCGTCGCTCTCAAGTTGTTGCTCAATTCGTTGCTCAAAATAAGTCTAGGAAAGGCATCTAAAAAAGAAGCATAAACAAAAAAAGCACAACCCGGCCTGGAAAGGAAAACTGGAAAGAAAGAAAGAAAGAGCTGCCTTCCAGGGCACCGGCTAACAAGCTGTTAGTTAGGAGAAAAGAGCTCCCATGCTTCACTGAAGCAGAAATTCCGAGAATGATGGATGACCGACTGGCCGCTCCAACGCAGCCCCTGAGGAGTATCAGGGACCGCCATTTGCTGAGCCGTTCCCCACTCAACTGCCCACGCCAAGAGACAGTACTCTTTCTCTTTTCTACTCCGTCCTACTATGGTACTGTACCAGGTTTCATGCTTTATCAGCTGTCCAAAGTTGTCGTCTTATTCTCTTATAATCACAATAACATAATGTGAATGCCTTGGATAGAGTAACGCTTCTCGGCCTCTCGCCGTTCCATACGCTTTAAGTGACTCGAAGTGAACCCGATCTCGGGATACGGTGTACACTGTAGTCCAAAGTGGTGGGCTTACATTCTAACCACATTTTCATGCTCCCAAGTATAAACTTATCGGCTCCTCCCAAGGTCTGACTCCTGCGGAAGACATACGCCGGGAGAACCACAAGGCCAACTGCTCACCAGCGGAATGTTGTGTCGACGAGTAGGAACGAACTATTGACGGTCGATCGGTTAGTTTCACTCGGTGTCGAGCGTCTCTCTCGCCGGAACGCAAATTCAAAGTTTCAGGACGGAAACCCGAGCCATTTATCATGTGCGCAGCTGGGTGGCTATGGAAGAGATATACACCGCAACCTCGGTGCTAGTCTTCAGTAGATAGGTATCCGATATAAGGCACGGTGCCGGTCATTGAGAAGGTATTAATCACTGCTCGCGCAACCACGGCATCCACAGCTGACACACTGTATAATCTGATCCTCCTTTAGTTGGGCCTTGGGAACCCTGCAGATGCAAGTGGCGTTAAAATTGGTTTCCCTAGTCTGGATGCAGCGTAGGCAGCAAAGCTAGATAGAACGTCAGTCAGCCCGTCAAGGTAGACTTTTATTTCTGGCCTTACCTTTTCATATCCCTGCTTCTTCCACTTTGCAATCAGGTTCGCATCTGCGTACCCATTCTTTAAGAGCCAGTCGTAGAGCTGCTTCGATATGGCCTCTTTTTCGTAGTAAAGGTCATAGATGTACCTTGAGCCTGTGATGATAACGATCAGGTTGGGTGAGCTGGACGGAAGGTCCGCCTTAGATTTGGATGGTCCGCGGCGGTTACTCACGTTGATGACTGATCTGAAATATAGGCCACAAAACCTCATGTTTCTTCTTTCCCTCGTGTGGCGCATTTTCAGCATCTTTCATTTTATTGCTGAACTCTAAAAGAGTGTCTTCGATGTCGTCAAAGCCCGCTGGGGGTGGTTTGCGGTTGCGGGATGTGCGGACTGGAGGCATCCTTTCGATAGTGTTGCAGAATGGAGAGAAGTCAAGTGAAGCCGGGTATACAAAGGTAGTGCGAAGATTAGACGCAGGTGCCTGCGGGCAGAAATAGATCACTGGAAAATAAAAGAAGCTTCGAAGCACAAGAAGAATTGAGGCATGTTATCGGATACCGTACATTAGGTACCTCTCACCGCCCTCAGGCTCCGGGGCCGATGTCATTTTTTCCCTCTCATAGCTCGACAACCAGTCTTAGCCTGTCCACCCAGACCAACCTCACAATTCTGTACAATCCCACCGACGAAAATGGACCAAACCCTCGATCTCAGCAAGCTCAGTGAAGCCGACCAGAAAGAGTTGACTCAGACTCTCAATCACCAATCGCAGAAGGTCCTTATCCAGCAAAGTATACCATCCTTGATCTCTCTCAGATACCTCTTCACCGCGCTTTCTCCATTGCTCAGATATACCTGCTAACAACCCTATTATCTAGATGTCCACCATCTCGCCGACCTCTGTTGGAAGAAGTGTATTACCTCGAAAGCTAGCTCCGGTCGTTTGGACAAGAACGAAGAGACCTGCGCAATGAACTGCGTTGAGAGGTGGATTGATACCAACAATTCCGTACTCAAGCATTTGCAGGCTATCCAGAAACAATAGATAAGCATGCGCCTTCGGCTGGAATGATCTGCGAGGCTTCGATGTTAGGGTACCAGCTTGATACTTCAAATCTAGTGATGCCCGTGCTTGGAATTATTTGCTAGTTTTTATGGCTCGATAGACCTTGGACTGGGTTTTCCATGGATAAAATGTCGGACAGTCATATGTACTATAATATTTCAAATGTATTCTGGGCCCAAGCTCAGTCTAGAATCTCTTTCGAGATTGCATCCAATTATTGTTATGTCGATAACGCCGTACTACCATTGGCTCTCAAGCGGCTTGTAGATTCAACCTAACTGGAATCTACACAGGGTATACTCGTGCATCAGATTCTTTTGTTTATTCATTCAGCCATTGGTTATCGGACAACAGCAGCTAACTGTAGGGCTGATATTTAAGCCACCGCGCAAAAGAAAACCATTTCCCAGACCCAAAAGAAAATCAATCACTTAGACAATAGCAAGCTTGGTAGCAGCAATGTCAAGAGCGTCAACATCAGGGGTAAGACGAGCGAAGGCCTTCTTCAGTCCATCGGGCCTACAAAGTTGGTTAGAGTCTGCTTCGTTCACTTGTTCTTGACTGGGGCATGCTGCAGCGTACCTGACGAGAGTGTTGACCTTAACGGTCTCGACATCGTACAGCTTCTTGAGGGCAGCCTTAATCTGACGCTTGTTGGCCTTAACATCGACGATGAAGACAAGGGTGTTGTTCTCCTCAATCTTTTTCATGGCGCTCTCGGTGTTCAGAGGGTAAAGGATGATCTTGGCGGCATCGAGGCGAGGAAGGTGAGGGACGGACACGYGGGGGTACTTAGGAGACCGGGACAGCTGGAGGGTCTTGGGGCGGTGGAAAGTGGTGGAGGTGCGGATCTTGCGAGTCTTGTGCGCCTGGTTGTATCGAATAACATTTAGCCACGGAAGATCTCAAAGAGGGCTTTGAAATCGAGGTCGGTATAAACGTACGCCTGCACCCTTCAAGACTGCCTTGGCAGCAGCGCCAGCCTTGTCGCTGGGCTTCGACTTGCCTATTGATGAAACGAAATGTAAGCGACTTGTATGGAGAACTCCAGGTTCAAATCATGATCCCGTGTAATTGTCGAGCAAAACCATAAAATCGAAAAAGCGCAACGCAGAATCGAGATGTGGTGTTTCCAGTCCCTTCATCTTAGAAAATTCAGCGGGACGAAGATTTCCCGCATCTCACCACACCGTGTCTTCGCACATATCTCAAAACTGACAGCACGATATCGAGAAAAAAGGAGCTGAATCGCTGAGGGTTGCATACCTGTCTTCTTCTGAACGGGGGCCATGGCTGTCGTTTGGCGCTGTTGTCGTGATTGTCGCAGTGTCGAAAGTCGAATTGTTCGGAGTGTCTTCGCTTAGCAAAAGCCCTCGCGCCGCTCTGTGGGTCACATGACCAGCCCTCTTAAAATCTTGGCACAGTCTCCACTAACCACCGCCCTTCGCGGTAGGCAGTAAAATAAAGCGGTCTGCTTGCCATAAACGAACTACGTCCATGTCTTGTAGTAATTCATCTTTTGTTCTATCCCGTGGTTTGTTTTTAGGATGATTATGCGAATCCTAGAGCATATATTATGACAGCAAAGAAGCAAAAAAACAAACGCCCTGCCCTACTCTTCCGCACCCGCCCACCGACCGTTCAGAAGAAGCATGCAGCCTTATCAGCCAAAGCAACTCGGACTCTCATACGTTCTCACCATAAACTTCTCAAACAGCGAGCCCAGGCACTAAAACTAGGCGACCAAGCTACAGCAGACAAGCTTGATGCGGAGATTAAAGCAAATGGTGGTTTGGAAAGCTATCAGATCGCAAGCAAGCTCGGTCAATCGCTAGACCGAGGCGGAGATTCTAGCAAAGTCCTTGTTGACTGGATGGGTCCTCATTTGGGTGCTTTGAGAAACACGTCTTTCAGACTCCGGATGCTCGAGATTGGTGCACTCAGCACGAAGAATGCATGCTCTCGAAACGAACACCTTGATGTCACAAGAATTGATTTGAACTCTCAGGAACCTGGGATCTTGAAACAAGATTTTATGGAACGGCCGCTTCCTTTCGGCGACGACGATCGATTCCACCTCATCAGCCTCTCTTTAGTGTTGAACTACGTTGCAGATCCAGCCGGTCGAGGGGAAATGTTGAAACGCTGTGTGGCCTTTTTGACGAAAGAACCACCGGCGGGTTCGTTTATACCCGTCGTGCCGAGGTTGTTCCTTGTGCTCCCTGCTCCCTGCATCATGAATTCTCGCTATCTCACCCAACACAGGCTGCAAGAAATCCTTACCAGTCTCGGATTCTCCTTGGAAGAGCACAAGCAAACGTCAAAATTAATATACCAGCTTTGGGAGCACCACGAAACTTGCCAGCCCAAGCAGTTCAAGAAGGAAATCCTGAACCCGGGCAGAACGAGGAATAACTTTGCGATTGTCGTCAAAGATGGAAGCAAATAAGTATTCCTGACCAGCGCTCACAGCGAAGCAATCATTTCTTGGGGCAAAAATGCCCAAATCGTCCCAATGACTGCTAGCAATGAGGATATGATCAGAAGGAACCAATCCAGCATTCGCTCCCTTGGCTTGATCTCTTTGCCAAATATTTTCAGATAAAACGCGAGCGGCAAGATGATGCATATGGTGAAGCACAGCACGGAGCCCATCAACGCCATTATTCTATCAAAGGAGGGGAAGATGATCGCCATAAGAACAATACTGGTCACAACTATGATGCGGATCAGCGCCCTCAATGTTTGGCGAGCGAGTGTCTCTCGATCTGCACGATCCGTAGTTGATTCATTGCGCGCTTCCAGGCCACATACAACCTCGACTGTGGCAACAAGTGGCCGGCAGCTGTGCTCTGCGTTAGCGATCTAGAATCCAACATGCGAAAGCCTAGAGAGGGTGGACCAAACTTACTTGAGAGGCACTTTCGTTATGGGAATTATAGCAATAGAGATTATGATGCAAACAGACAAAAATTGCGGATAGTCGTCCATGGTCAGTACATTTGCTGTAACTTCGTCTCGAATCGTGTTCCCGAACATCATCCAGCCTAGCACGGCCATTGTACAGTCCAGGGAATACTAGCACAGACTGTTCGTTAGCACAAAGTAGAGGAGCAACAACTAAGCTTACGTACCGTAAAGATATAGGTTGCCCAGAGACTTCGTCCGTATTTGTGCGGGTGCCTCATATCTCTGTAAATATTAGGAAACACGCCATGTCCGCCCCAGGGCGCTAGAAATGATCAGTCAAGAATTTCGTCGGGAGACCATGAACGACTTACACATGATAAGCCCGAAGCTCAGAGGAAGTGTGCCCCAGTTCCTAGGAAATAAATAGGTCTGCGCTGGTTCTCGAAGTGAACCAGGTGCATGGGGTTTCATGAAACCATCAATGCATGTTAAAGCCACAACTACGGCAGTCAGTTGGTGTCCGTGTCCCGCAGGGGAAATGGATATTGACATACTAGTGGTACAGGAGAGTATACCAAGGATACTCGTCACACTCAAAAGTCGAAGTGGCACAAAGCTGAGTGGCACCAACATTAGCCCACATATAATCTGCCATTGTATGATGCTTAGTGCTGGGGAAAGGACATGTAGACTGTCAGCGAAGAGTACAACAAGGGCAACACATGCCCCTAGAAGCTCCAGACAGAATAGAAAGCTTATGACAATTCGGGCGCGGTGCCCAAAGCTTATATACGCAAGGTCCGCATATGTCACTAAACTTCGGTCAACGTCAAGACATTTGGCCAGGATTTTAGCGGTATAAGAGGTGACGATCGCTGCGAAAAGAAGAAAGGTGAGACCAAACAACCATCCAGCGTGTTTCATTGCCAGTGGCAAACTCAGGAGGCCGACGCCGATCAGCACGTTGACTGAGTTGAACACCGTCTGCGGCACAGTCGACTGACCGACGACAATGCTTTCGCGCGTACCGTCCTCGTGTTGTACTTGCTTCACGAGCAGGGGCTCTCCGTCAAGTCCAACAGCAGGTTCGCTGTGTATTTGTTGCTGCCTGTGAAACTCGATAACGTGCTTTCTGGCTGACTCGCTAACGCGCGAGGATATCGAGCCATATGAGGTGCCGAGGGCCGGCTCTAAGTGGCTGGCATTCGGAATACCGTCTCTTTGGTCATGACCAACTCCGTCATCATTGAGAAGAGGCCGAGTAAGAGCAGGGTCCAGATCAGCGTGTGTCAATGACGATCCTAGTGATCTGATAAAGTTGCCGCTTGGCGGTCGCCATTCTTCATCCGAGTCGGCTATCGCGAAGGAAGAACGTCGAGTAAATACCTCAGGAAAGCACGCAGCTCTCTGCCACGACCGAGCGAAGTTGTCAATGCTGTTGACACCACCCGCTTGTCTGACTCGCATCGAAAAAGACGCCGATCTGCAGAGAATATTAATATAGGGCGAAAATGGCGCTTGCACGACGGAAAGCTTACCTCGTCCGTTGCGCAAAATAATTATTAATACTATGTTGACGGTCAGGGGACTCTCTGGAATCTAGTGGCGAGCCTGTGGATGGTGTTGTGTATGCCTCTGCATGCCGGCTCTCAGGAAGCTCCGAATCGTCCCCAGGCATCATTTCCCCCCCGCTCGCTAAGTACTACCGGGCAGTGGACGAGGTTTGGTGGACAGACAGAGGCAGTAGCGAAGGAGGAAAAGACTTCCAGTTGAAGTAGGAGCTTGCTCTAGCCCTGGAGAATTGTTCTTCTTGTGCTCTTAGAACGGGCCTCGGCTTTTCAAGATCTTGGATGCGTCCCAACTTTGACAGAGACGAAGGCAACAGCTTCGCAAACCCCTTGACAGTGGGATACTTCTCTTATTTAATGGCAGCCACGAGCAGCAATCTATACTGGCTAACGACATTGGCACAAAAACAATGACATAACCCCAGAGACAAGGGACCGAGAAGCGATATCAGACTGGTGGAGGTCCAGCCTCCTCCGAGTTTCGGGCAAGAAAAATTGTGGAGATCCCGGATAGCAGACTATCTACGTGCTCCGTAGGGTATATCCGTAGATAAGCAGGTAGCTTGTTACCAGAAAGACTGAGAAGGGTGGAGTTCAGAGGCGTTTTCAGATTTACATAACCTATCGAGTAAAGGGTCAACATAGTCAGAGTGATGGAATCTGGTTCAGGTGTTGACAGTGACACTTGTATGATTTTTGTTTCCATGTCGTTCCAGATTCACGCCTGGCTTCCTCCTGGCTCTGGAGACTCGCCGTTAGTACTACTATACGGGTGCTCCGTATGCTCGGTTAAATCGTTACCCTATCCGTAATTGGTCTAGTCTGTCCATGATCCGACTCATACTCGGAGCATGCTCCTGTAAACAATGCACCTAGTATTGAACAAACACTTTGACATGTTCAGCAGTAGTCGAATCAACCACAGTGCAATATAGTTACGCAATGCCCATCTATATATCATACCTTATATCTATATGGGTGCCCATAGTCGACGACGGGACAGTCAACAGCCAAACGGCCCAAACCAGACGGGATCTCAGTCTGACTTGCGAGTCGAGACCCGGCTCGAATGATTGTCTCTTTGACGCAACACTAGTAAGTCTAGTATCTATCCACGAGTATGGTCATCTCGTAGCGTTAGTGTTAATAGTCCGACACCTTTACATTATTATGATTCGGCTGACCGTGGTTGTCCTCGACGCCAGACAAATCGCCGAAAAAGATATTCTTGAGAAAGCAGATGGTCTAGAATATTTTTTTATCCGTAGAACTACATAGTTATGGCAGGTTATGCGAGGTAGAGATCCCACAAAAAGTACAGAGTACCTGGGACTGGATCAAGTAGCAGCTGACTATTGCCCAGAGCACAGGCATGTGCAACCTGTGGCGTCTGGTTTGCACGTATAAATGAACTCGGGGGTTGGATTGGAGACACGCCGACCCTTGATGCCGCCGACCTCTACTCCGTAGGTCATCTCTGCCAATTGAGACGCATTGATGATTGATGACTTAGAAGAGCCTCCAAAGTCAACTATGAATGGTTGGCATTCGACACTAGATGACAGGTATAAAGTAAGTCCAGCAAGTGGTGTCTCTGTTCTAGCGAGGGCTTACATCATCAGCCACAGCCACCCTCTCATAATGCGGCCACCCCACGGTGCCTGACGAATTTTAAACACCCCGCTGGACTTGGACGGCAAATTGACCAGCCTCGAGGTATGTGGCATCTCACTTATATATCGTCACTCTCCCATTATTTCTATATTACAGAAAGCGCCTCTGAGCCCGACTATATATTTCACATCTTTCTGGCGGGCTTGGATCTCAAAATCGTTTCTTCTTCTTTTTCAAGGTCACGGTACTGACGTCGTTCAAGAACCAGGTGGCCAATCTATAATTTCTCGACGAATAGGGTCATACAGCACTGCCCCCCTGGCCCAAAATGAGCGCGGTTCAGCAGGCGAACGAAGCGGAGAAGAACATTGAGATATGGAAGATCAAGAAGCTCATCAAGCGGCTTGAGGCTGCGCGAGGAAACGGAACGTCCATGATCTCTCTCATCATTCGTATGTCTGTGAAATCGAGCATTCGATGGGCAAACATCACTAATCTCGTTGCGTTAGCTCCCAAGGATCAGGTCTCCCGAGCAGCGAAGATGTTGGCCGAAGAATTTGTAAGTCGTATTCTCGATTCACAAGTTATACTAACCGCCGTTCACAGGGAACCGCGTCCAACATCAAATCGCGCGTCAACCGTCTTTCTGTGCTTTCCGCCATTACATCCACCCAACAACGTCTCAAGCTCTACAACAAGGTTCCTCCGAATGGCTTGGTTGTGTACTGTGGTGAAATCATAACGTCCGAAGGAAAGGAACGTAAGATTAATATCGACTTCGAGCCATTCAAGCCCATCAATACATCACTATACCTTTGTGACAACAAATTTCACACCGAAGCCTTGAGCGAACTGCTCGAGTCCGACCAGAAGTTTGGTTTTATCATCATGGACGGTAACGGGGCGCTCTTTGGTACATTGAGTGGTAATACAAGAGAAATTCTCCAGAAGCTCAGCGTCGATCTACCCAAGAAGCACGGCCGTGGTGGTCAGTCCGCCCTTCGTTTTGCACGTCTACGAGAGGAAAAGCGTCACAACTATGTGCGAAAGATTGCCGAGTTGGCTGTGCAAAACTATATCACCAATGACAGAGTCAATGTCGCCGGTATCATCCTCGCCGGTTCTGCCGATTTCAAAAACGACTTGAACCAGTCGGATATGTTCGACCAGCGACTCCAGGCAAAGGTCATCAAGGTCGTTGACGTCTCATATGGTGGTGAGAATGGTTTCAACCAGGCCATTGAGCTTTCGGCCGAGACTTTGAGCAATGTGAAGTTCGTCCAGGAGAAAAAGCTCATTGGGAAGTATTTCGAGGAAATCAGTCAAGACACAGGAAAAGTCTGCTACGGTGTTGAAGATACCCTAAAGGCATTGGAACTTGGAGCATGCGAGACGCTGATCGTATATGAGAATCTGGACGTCACCAGATGGGTTCTCAAGAACTCCGAGGGTGCCGAAGTTGTCGTCCACACGACCAAAGCTCAAGAGGAAAATAAGGAGTTTTTCCTGGACAAGGAAACCGGCACCGAAATGGAGGTTGTGGATCAAGGCTCCTTCCTTGAATGGCTTGCTGAAGGCTACAAGGACTTTGGAGCCACCCTGGAGTTCGTTTCGGACAAGTCGAGCGAAGGCAACCAGTTTGTCAAGGGCTTCGGTGGTATTGGAGCAATCCTCCGGTACAAAGTCAATTTTGAACAACTTGCTGATTATTCTGACGAAGATGAATTCTACGACGGTAGGTCTATGAACTGCACAATACTTTTCTTCCAGGCTAATCTCTTAACTTCTCTCCAGATTGACGGTTTAGCGGCCTCGCAGGGAGCGAGGATGAAAAGCCAGAAGTTCCCAATTCGGGTCTTTTGACGGCTCGCCCGATGCACCACCAAGGCGGCTCCGAAGGCGAAACCGTCGCTTTCACGGTAGATACCGTGATGCGACCTGGACAAAGCTTTGTGCAGATGCTCAGAGGTTTGATTTCCTGTTTTGAGCAGTTTAAGATGGTTGGCTAACATGATCTGCAATGCAGGGCCATCCCAGCTCCGTAAAATGGTCACCGAAGTTGCCTAGGAGATCTAGGACGACTTCTATGTGTGATTCGCATAAGGGTGGTGGATTCGTTACGCATCAATCGACGGCCATCACACACAGCGAATTGTTGATCTTTGCGTTTTGAACTGGCAGTTAAGTTGTTCTGATCTGGCAATTTCTGAGACCAGAGTTGCTCTCGTGTTTATGTTAAACATCCGTCAATTATACAATTCTTTATCCCTGGAAAATATTTGGGTCTACCATAAGTTCTTATTTAACGACTCGTGATGAGGAGGCGGTTGATATTTCTCCATCCTTCTAGGAATGCGCATGCATTGTTTCTGTATAGGTCATCGTTTCCACAAAGGTTATAGGACAGCTTGCATATAGATATTAATTCCATGCCGTGCATAGTCCGTTCTATAAAGAATTTCGAGTCTTGTCAAACAAGCACAAGTTGATTGGCCCAAGTTCCCAGATGTTTGCAATTTTCTGTGACTTCCTTCAGTTTAATCATAATGTCAGGCACGATTTCCTCATTTTGATAAGTCTCGCTTTCCACTAAAAACACATACTTCCAGGCCTGTATTTGGCTCGGCCGCGTGCTTATACTCGTGAGATTCATCCCCCCGTCCTTAAAGGTCAACAGAGCATCCGCCAGGGTTCCGAGGGTATCCTGCCGAATCATGAAGGCGAATAGCGACTTCTTCGCCCTTGAAACATTCAGGGGCTTTTCCTGGGTAGAAAATTCTCGGTCAGATTCAGGTTGGAGGCGAGCACGTTGATCTGAATTGACATTTCTCAGAACCAAGAAGCGTGTGGTATTATTGGCCGTGTCCTCGATGTTCTCCTCAAGGATATCCAAGCCATAATGCTCCCCTGCGAAGCGACTAGCTATGGCGGCATTGGCCTCGGATGTTGTGTTGAGCACGGTCTCGCCCGCTTTAGACGTAGATGAAACATCTTGTCGTTCCACGCCTTTGAAATTCTTCGCTAGGAATTTCTCGCATTGTCCCCACGCCTGCGGATGTGTGTATAGCTTGGTGATGGTGCTGTACTCTCGTTGCCCGATTGGGATGAGCCCCTTTCGAGCTAAAAGGCAGTGGTGTACTGTTAGGTAATATTCACTGCACACCCTCACATCATTATAAATATCATTTCGATCCACCAGGAGGTCCAGAGTTTGCACAACTGATCCATTTGTTGAATTCTCAAATGGAACAATGGCATAGTCTGCGCTTTTCTTTTGGACAGCAGCGATAGCATCTGCAAAAGATAGGCAGGGTATAAGCTCAGACAAGCGCCCGAATGTCTCAACAGCAGCCTGAAATACTTGGTTAACCACACTGGAAAGCTCAATTGTGGACTAGTGGGCTCTGACCTGGTGCGAAAACGAGGCCGTGGGGCCTAGAAATGTCACTTTGAGAGGTGCCATGAGTTCGTATAAGAGCAGAAAGACCTAAGGCTTGGCTTAGTCCTAGACGGATATGCGTCCTGACGCATTGGAGCTTCAATCCCAACCTTCCCTGGAGATCATTTGTGGGTGCACCCGGGGTAACGTTAAACAAACAAGCCAAACTTCTACCTACCTACGGCACCTCGGCCTCGGTGGAGCATGGTGCGCCATGTGCAAAGGCTGCCACGAGATCATGCTACGAATTCTGCACTCCTCAACACTGCCAATGAAGAAGGCATCACACATCTACAGCTTGGGCAACTCGCTGGGTAACGCTAGTGCAGTACAGGGTTACGCTTCGTTTCCGGAGCGCCTACATCATGAATTGACATCTCGTCAACTTCCGTTGTTTTTTGATTATCTCCAGCCTCAGCAGTCACACCTCCTCAATCTAACCTTGACAGATCTTTTTCCCAAATCAGATCTATTATCTCCGAGAACAACTCTCCCAACAATCGCGCGACCGTCACATTTACCGCCGGCCCACCATCTTGTCTACTTCCCCCCTCAAGTCACCCTCTCCCAGCTCCTAGCCGACGGAACCGACACCCTACATACACCTGGGGCGCCTTTTAATAGGCGTTTATGGGCGGGCGGCGGTATCAAGTTTGCAGTTACGAATAAGCTGCGGCTTGACGGCGGCCGCGCCGTATGCATTGAACGAATTCGTGATGTCATGATCAAAGGGCAAACTGGAGAAGAAAAAATAATAGTCAGGATCGAGAGACAGATAGGCACCGTGCAGGAAGAAGAAACAGAACATGAGATTAGAAAGCGGGTATGGAGTGATGGCGAAAACATGGAAGCGCATACATCGATCCTCGAGAACAGGGACCTGGTGTTTATGCGCGACAAAACTGCCGATCAGCTGGTCCAGGACAAGGCGAGCTTTTCGCAAACCCGCAGGATGATTAAATGTGTGTAGAGCTCACTTATATCTCTGAGTGCAGTAGCCCCAGCTAACCCTAATTACAACCATAAAGCTCCTACGAACCCGGTGTTCCGTTATCAGATGCAGCCCACAAGAGCCCTACTCTTTCGCTTCTCCGCGCTCACTTTCAATGCTCATTCCATTCATCTTGACAATGGATACACCAGCAACATCGAAGGCTACCGCAACCTCCTTGTTCATGGGCCCCTAACGTTGACATTGCTTGTTACAGCCCTTCGACATCATCTACATGGCGGAAGTCTTGATATTATCGACATCAAGTACAAGAACCTTGCTCCACTTTTTGTTGAGGAGCAGTTAGTCATCTGTGGTAAACCAAAACCTACCAAAGATTCAGTATGGGATTTGTGGATCGAGGGAAAAGACGGGGGTGTGGCTGTCCGGGGCACTGCTCACCTTGGGAGCGCTTCCGACAACTGATATCGCGCTTCTGTTCCACCTGAGGCTGCCTATTATACTGCTGCTGTAAGGTTGCTCTGAGTGCACTTCTGGCCTCCACCCTTGCGCGCGCCATGCAAATAGAACGGTCTGTACATGGCATGGCAATTCCTGAAAATTCTATGAGCCTAACAAGATGATCATAGGGTGACTTTATCTAATACGCATCTAATGTCTCATTATCACCATTCTATGCTCAGTACTGAGATATCCATTGTACAGTGATTTAGCCGGCAGTACGGACTACTGGAGGTTGTGCATATAATGCAGATTTATGTACCTGTGGGTCAACGGGGCTCTACCGTAACGGAACGGAAGAATGTTGCACCCATGCCAAAAGGCCAGGCAGTCGCTTAAATATTCATGTCCAACCTCAAATTATTAATAATTCTTTCCCTTCCTTCCTCCCTTCCAAGCATCAATTGAACTCCCACAAACTCTCCAGTTGGTACTCGGACAAATAATGCATTGTCGCCAATTTGAGTGATCTTACATCTGCAACACCTACTTCCACATCGAAGATTGTGATCTTCTGGATCTCCCACGTGTCCACAGCAATGGATGACTTTTGGGCTCTTCCTCCTGTTGCCAGGTATGTCTCTTCCCTACCTAACAATTGGCCCAGATCTAACTGCACATCAGGACACTTACTGCACTCACTTTCATCCAGTCAGCATTGGTTCACAGCCACACGCTTAATTACTACTTTATCCCCTTCTTCCCTCAACTTATCTTCAAACTTCGACCTGAACTATGGAGATTGTTTACTCCGTATCTTTTGACCGATCCAAAGTTGAATGTTATTTTTGACCTTTATTTCAGTATGCTGAATATGGTGCAGCCACTCATCGCTTTGCTAATAATGTACCTCAGTGTACACATATTCAAGCAGACTGGAATCCGGTTCGCCTCGATTCAGCACCCCTGGAAGCTTTTTCATCTATGTGCTATTCGTCGCGCTGGTCATCATGGTAAGTCTTGTCCGAACTTATGGATGTATCTACCAGATGAAATTTCTACTTCTCGCCCTACTATATTTTCCCCTTTTTTTGCTCCATTTTTCATACCTTCCTGAACCTCGCATTATCTGCCCGCCCAGCCACATTCTAGCTGAAGCGGTTCCTGGAAACGAGGGAGATCACCCCTGCATCGCACATGGTGCCTACTCTTGATCCTTAAAGGGCCATGTACGTGTGGACATGATGGGACTACCAGTGAGATAGCCTGCGTAATGAATGTTTACGCAGGTGATTTTGGTGCCCTACATTATTCTAGATCTTGTTTTGCATAGCCATGTACCTGGGTTTTCTGTAAATCATATACCTTCTTGCTCTCAATTGCATGCGAAAACGCCAGTGTAAACCGGTCAATGCTAACAACCTGCAGCTTACCGCAGGGTTTTATTTGGGAGCCGGGGTATTCACAAACGGTGAGCCGAGTACGAGGTTTGGGTCTAGTCGCGTGCTAATTCCTAGCAGCTTTGATCCTGGCATTCGCATACACATATTCTCAAGATAACAAGGGTACCAAGACCATGTTCTTCGTAGTCGAGATACCGACGCTTCTTTTGCCGTGGGCAAGGCTTGCCTTGACCTTTGTCATGAAGGGATGGCACCGCGCATCGGTCGAGTTGACGGGGATAGTGGCCGCTCATTTGTATGACTTCCTGACTCGTATCTATCCAACTTTTGGTGGAGGGAAAAACTACATTGTCACGCCAACGTTTGTTCGGAGATGCTTTACCAAATCTTTGCGCGAGGGGCAAGAACGCGTATATGGGCAAGCGTACCGACCCCCTGCCGAAAGCGAGAACTCCTCAAGCGGCTGGACATCGTCTATCCGGAATACTTGGGATAGCAGAGGCTCGGGACGTCGGCTTGGAGGAAACTAGAGCATATTCTCTCATCATCAGGATTTCAGCAAATCCGCAGGGCTTTATATAGCGTGATTACCTTTAATCAGGCCTTATAGGTGTATTTTACATGTATCTTAAAACAGATCAAAATTCATATCCCTTTACGCATTTTCATGATTGTAGATGTTTTCTTTCTTGGAACTTTGAAATCCTACGGTAAACACGTGACTTGCGGGAATCCGTTCGCTAACCCGATTGGTCGCTGTAGCTCTCGCCGCACTCGAAATTTTTCTGGATCTTCTTCGCTCACGGCAGAACAAAACCCTGGGGCCAGGAGTGCATCTTCTCGTACTTTTCCTCGACATACATACCCGGCCATCTTTCTTACACCAGTTAGCCTGCCTGTTCACAATAACAGTCGCAGTGGCCAAGGAAATGGACTACACGATTAAGCCCGAGGCTACGGCCTCGAACATCAACACAGAAGACTGGCCGCTTCTGCTCAAAAACTACGACAAGCGTATGTTAGCCTTCTCCTTCATCATGGATCGCGCACGAGAGCAAGACCTTGTGCTCTATCCATGCAAAATAGCCATCACTAACCACGTTATACAGTGATGGTCAGGACTGGACATTTCACGCCCATTCCGGCCGGTTCCTCTCCCCTCAAGCGAGATCTCAAGTCATACATCAACTCCGGTGTTATCAACCTCGACAAGCCCTCGAACCCCTCTAGTCACGAAGTCGTTGCTTGGATGAAGCGAATTCTCAGGTAAACAGCGTCTTAAGAGTCTCTGACGCGTACCGAATGCTAAATTCTTGGTTTGTGAAACAGGGCGGAAAAGACCGGTCACAGTGGTACTCTTGATCCCAAGGTTACCGGTTGCTTGATTGTTTGTATCGATCGGGCTACCCGTTTGGTCAAGTCCCAACAAGGTGCCGGAAAGGAGTATGTATGCGTCATCCGCCTTCACGACAAAATCCCTGGTGGGGAGGCCCAGTTCAAGCGGGCTCTTGAAACTCTTACCGGCGCTCTTTTCCAGCGTCCTCCGTTGATTTCCGCTGTCAAGCGCCAGCTTCGTATCCGAACAATTCACGAGAGCAAGCTCTATGAGTTTGACAATGAGAGGCATCTGGGTGTGTTCTGGGTTAGCTGTGAGGCTGGTACATACATCCGTACGCTCTGCGTTCACCTCGGTCTTCTTCTTGGTGTAGGCGCGCACATGCAGGAACTGAGACGTGTGCGAAGTGGAGCTATGGATGAGAACAAGGGTATGGTTACCCTGCACGACGTCCTTGATGCGCAGTGGCTATACGACAACCAGCGGGATGAGAGCTACCTACGCAAGGTTATCAAGCCCCTGGAGTCTCTCCTCACAACGTACAAGCGTATTGTTGTCAAGGACAGCGCAGTTAACGCTGTCTGTTACGGTGCAAAGCTCATGATCCCCGGTCTTCTTCGCTTCGGTAAGTTGTCTGCTTTCAGGAACCATGTACGTCAACATTCCTGACCTGAATGTCTAGAGGCCGGTATTGAACTTGGTGAGGAGGTTGTGCTCATGACCACCAAGGGTGAGGCTATCGCAATCGGTATTGCGCAGATGTCTACTGTGGAACTTTCCACCTGCGACCACGGTGTTGTTGCCAAGGTCAAGCGTTGTATCATGGAGCGTGACCTGTACCCCCGCAGATGGGGATTGGGCCCTGTTGCTCTGGAAAAGAAGAAGCTCAAGTCATCTGGAAAGCTTGACGTAAGCTTTTATTTTTCCAATGATATGCGATTTGGTTTTGCTAACCTTTGCTGTAGAAATACGGACGCGCCAACGAGGCCACTCCCGCCAAGTGGAAGTCCGAGTACAAGGACTACAACGCACCTGAAGAAGACTCTGCACAGCCAGCAGCTCAAGCAGCTCCTCAGGAAGAAGCAGCCACTAAAGAAGAACCATCTCCGGATGCGAACGAGTCCAAGATGGACATTGATGACGCCCAGGATGACGACGACAAGAAGAAGCGCAAGCGACATGAAGGCGAGACCGCTGAAGAGCGTGCTGAGCGTAAGCGCAAGAAGAAGGAGAAGAAAGAAAAGAAGGAGCGAAGGAAGTCTAAGCAGAAGGATGACAGCGAAGACAGTGATTAGGCCAATCCAGGAAACCAGTTGTCTACCCCGGGCCTGCGCCTCTCCGCAAGAGACACGCCATTGCACTTCCAGCAGAGCGAATGCCGGGCAAGTTTCCTGTAATATATCTATTTCTTTTATTGGAGTCTTGGGTTGAAAACATAATGAGTGCAATTTGTTTGATGTTCTACACCAATCCTTGTTTGATAGTCATGCAGCTAGTTCTGAGACATGTACCAGGATCTGTTCTAAAACAAAAATTTAATTGAGAAAGTAGAGCTTAGGATGGACTAAGGAAACAGATACATATATATTATATATGTAGAAAGTGATAAAGTTGGGTTGGGAGTCAGGTGGTGTGACCTTATTATCTTCTCCGCATCAGGTAGGTATCACAAGCCCCACAGCAGCAACTGCTTCCCATCAATTTTGTGGGAACTCTATAATCATAACAGTGATTAAAACTTATATAACATCACCCAAAAAACAGCTTCCACATCTTTATTGCCCCTCACACGCCACCAAAGCTTCCGCAATGGCCGCAGAACTCACTTCAACCAAGCTCAATGCGGAGAATCACCTCCTCTTAGTACAGTCCCATCCAACACCGCCTTAGCACTTCCCTTGAATACTAATACAGTAAACTTTTGGCAGGATCAACCCCTCCTTCGGCTGCCTCATGAACTCGCTCGTAGAAATCTCAAATCCTTCCAGCGGATTGTTGAGCGGGAGAAGGAGTATGTTCTCCCCGCACTTAAAGAGGCGGCCAAAGCCTCAATGTCCGACAACCAGCCGCCTGATCAAACTCTCGCCTCGCTAGACGCTATGATATCGCGCATGCAAGGTTTGAAGCGCAAAATGGAGAATTTGCACATTGAAGAAAAGAAGATTCACCACCAGTCGAATAAGCGCATACAGCATCTAGATCAGCTGTACCAGATCCCTAGCTTGACTGACGTCAAGTACGACCAGTGGTCAAGAGTCAGATTAGACAGGCTCGTGATTGACCATATGCTACGCTCGGGATACACGGAGAGTGCCCAGCAGCTTGCCCGTGAGAAGAATATCGAGGAGCTTGTGGATCTAAACGTCTTTGTACAATGTCAGCGCATTGCCAACAGTCTCCGCCGTGGAGAAACCAAAGATGCTCTGCAGTGGTGTAATGAGAACAAAGCTGCCTTGAAGAAGAGTCAAGTAAGTAGAGATACTCTCCTATCTCAACTATTCATGGCTTAATGCGGCGGCTAGTACAATTTGGAGTTTGAGTTACGGCTGCAACAGTATATTGAGATGATCAGGACGAGGGACAAAGCCAAGTTCGTGGATGCAATGGTGCATGCAAGAAAGTATCTGGCACCCTATGACGAAACACAGTCAGTAGATATTCATCGAGCTGCTGGTCTGCTTGCTTTTCCCCCAGACACCAAAGCCGAGCCCTACAAGGTAGTTTGACCCAAGCTTATGAGGAATAGATCTCTAACGTGTAGTAGTCAATGTATGCCGCCGAGCGATGGATGTACCTTTCTGAATTGTTTATCCGCACGCATCACGAACTTCTCTCGTTGCCTTCTCGACCATTGATACATATTGCCCTATCTGCCGGCCTCTCTGCGCTGAAAACCCCTGCATGTCATTCGGCTTACACCTCTTCAAGCTCCAACTCACACTCGACCACCACATCTGTCTGTCCCATTTGTTCAACGGAATTGAATGAGCTTGCTCGAAATCTACCCTATGCCAATCACACAAAGAGCTCTGTCGAGAATGATCCAGTTGTTTTGCCAAACGGCAGAGTGTACGGCCTGCATCGGTTGCTGGATATGAGCAAAAAGCTCAGCTCACTGGAGGTAGGCAAGGTTAGGGATCCGACAACAGGCGAGATCTTCAATGAGAGTGAGCTGAAGAAAGTGTACATCATGTAACGGCCTGCATGATGCTCGAACGTGATCTTTGGTGTATTTCATGGTTTTATATGGATCATCTGACGCAGCACATCGCGGGCATCGTCTTGGCTGTTGTACATATAATTTACATATTCTAATCACTATCCGAGTCATCCGTGGCCGCTGATCTCTTCCTCCTCTTTCCACTGGTCCCAGGCGGATTGTCATCCTTCTTGGCCTCGAACACGTACATCCTCGCCTCTCTATCCTCACCGCGCCATCCCCCTCTTCCACCATCTTTCCCTTCAATCTCCCCCAAAGTTCGCGCATGCGAGTATCCACGGTAACACGCCCAGGGAAATCTAAAGCTCGTCACAACCCTTAAACCAGCATGTCGTGCGAGGTCCCTAATATTCCACAGCGTGTAAGGCTCTCCTTCAAACAGCGTAACCACAATCTGGCCAGGTTCCGTCCTTCGCTCGGTTCCCGCCTTGACGGTGCCCTTCTCATCATTATTGCCGTCATCCTCATCAGACTCATCCTCGTCAACTGTTTCGGACCCCCACTCCTCATCAGACTCATCCTCGTTCAACTCTTTGGGTCTCCCCGCCAAAAGTGGCATACACGCCTTGAAGAACGCAACCAGAAGCTCCTGGTTTGCTCTAACCTGCCGATTCACATCCGTCGAAATCCCACCCACATGCGGGAAATTGAAACAGATCATATCCCACGGCCCATCCTTTCTTTTGTCCTTGTCTGAGTCCTGATCCTTGTGATTCGCCTTGTCTCCACTGGCTTTCGCTGACCGGGTACTCCTCTTATTCCCCTCATCTTTCTTCCAAACAGGTCTCTTGCGCTCCTTTTTGGGGAAGCCAACACGAATATCCTTCCCACCCCCAGGTACAGAACCCAGCTTCTTCGCGTCGACGGAGAAGAGCACCTTCGGGCTTGTTGGGCTCTTGGGCTCGGTGGCATCATCGCTCGACTTCGATTTTGCATTCATCTTCGTCTTTGAGGAGTCGATAATCTCAGCGATGTTCTTCTCTGCTTGCGGGTACTTGGCGTAGAGAGCTTCCTTGGAGTCGTAGCATGTGGCGACTAGGTTTCTGCAGCGGTGATGCGTGGCTAGGGAGTGCGCGAAGGAGAAATCGCCTGTTTTGGGTTCGAGCGTTAGTCTCGCAATCCTTGGATGCGGTAGTCACGTAGATGATCAGTATATACGGGCTCTCGGAGATAAAAGACTTGGTATAGTGGAGGTTGCACTTCGTGTATATCTTTGCGCTATTCCAGGCAGTTCCGTGCACCAGGATGCAAGCAGATCCTAGTTAACAAGGAACAACTCACCCTCTCCAATCAACAATATACGATCCTTCCTCCGAAACGGCACAATCGGCCGCCTGTTCTGCTTCTGCTGGGGGTTCTCATGCTTGCGCGCCGGCGCATTGTTCTCCTTGTTCTCCTTGTTCGCATTGCTGCTGTAATTATTCTTCGTGGAGAGTTTCGCAAACGAGCTCATCTTGCGATGTTTCTTGCCTGTGCCATGGCTTGTGTTGGGGTTTGGGTGCGTAGTTTTATGTTGATGCAGCACTCGAGCTCTTTTTGGTCTAGTCATGGCTGCTAGTTGATTTGTCGGTTTGTAAAGATGAAACTGATCTGAAAGTAAGTGGGAGGGGGGGTTGGGAGATTGTTGTATGCAGGTTGTTGATACAGAAAAAAAAAATAAAAAATACCACAATAAAGATGTTAAAAGATCTTATTGCTGTTAATATAAAAATTTAAGATGGGTCCGTCACTCCAGCCGGGCCGATCCCGCAATATATATTTTTGGACTTGGTAAGTTGTTGCTTATTGAATCGTTCCCCCAAAACCAGAACGCTTTCTATACATAATTGAATAATAAGAATAATACCCATATATACAACATCTATAACTAAATAGCGGACGCCACTTTGGTTTGGCGACCAACAGGTGAACGCCATGCCTGCCTGAACATCAAAATGCACAAGCATAATGATAAGAGAGTGCCCAATTATTACCAGCACGTTTTTGTAACAAGAGTCCAGTGAGTGCTGCAGGAAGAAAAAAACATTATTGGTAGAAGGAGGCGCGGCGCAGGCTAAAGGTGAAAGGTAAAAGAGGCTGCGTCATGGCTTGATCCATGCGAGATACATTATACAAGTCCACCAACGCCTGCAGACGTGGAAGCGGTCGTGAACTGGCTGGGCCTTCTGCAAAGCCGCCTTCGCAATCACAAAACGTGATCACATATCATATGAGCAAGAAGAAGATTGTTGGCGATTATTCATCTGAATCCAGACGTCCCGGATCGTGATTCACGGGCGCAGCGAGTCCCTCATACTCTGGCTGCTGGCGCTGACCGGATTAGAGGTAGGAAGAATTCCGACTTTGGGTTGCGCGTTTTGCTTGATTTTTGCGACGGCATAGACAATGCCACTCACAAAGCCGACCATAATGGCAGAAACGCTAGGGAACGTAACGGGAGCGTCGAAGAATATCAATCCAGACAGCGCAATAGGAAGTTTGTTGAGAGCGCCAACCATTGAATACGTGGTCGACGATGTGACGCGAACGCACCAGGCAGAAGTGTACGAAATGAAGACCGTCGATGCTCCGGACATGATCATCGCAAAGATAATGCCGTTGCGGTCAGCAGGCGGGAAGTTACGGGTGACATTAGCGGGAGACCAGTCCTCCAAGAAGCCGGAGCAGACGATGAGGACGGGGATAGAGAGAAGGTTGTTGTAGAACATGGCTGCATTGGCAAGATTAGAAAGAGAATCAGGTATTGTAAGACTCAGGTTACTTACTGTCGAAATCCTTGAAGTTGGTCAACTTGATTCGCTTGCGCATTCCCAAAACATAAGATGACGTGCAGAGACAGTTGACCAACATCCAGATGTAGCCGGCATTTAAAGTGGAAACCTTTGAGGTCGCATCGCCACTGCTTTCAACTGCATGCTTGATATCAGCCCAGGCAGCGATGATGGAGCTGAAAACCATAAGCCCGAAAGAGAAGAGAGTCAAGTTTGTCACCGAGCCGCCAAACCATAAGACTTCGCCGTAGGCAATGAGAATGATAGTCAAGTTCTTGAAGATCGTGTACACGGGAATAGAGAGAAACTGCAGTGCCTTCGACCCGGTGTAAATCATGCCGATAAGAAGAAGAGTGATGGGGAACCCTGTGCGAGGGACGAGAGAGCTGTTAGTCGTGTCAATTGAAACAGCCAATTGCGATATACGCACACTTCCGAGCCTCATCCAGATTAAAGTCGCGGTACGTGATAAGGCCACATGTCTTGCAAGTTTGGATAGCGATGATACAGACAAGAGACTATATTCGTCGCATAATAGTCAACGACTGACAAATCGGCAATTTTGGATAAAACGGATCATACCTGCACACAGAGGAGGAAGAAGTTGAGGTTGAAGTCCGAGGAGAGGACATATTTGTTCATCACAGTCATCAAAATGGACGAGCCGCAGTACGCCAGGACGGAGAGAGCGGCATTATTGGAAACCGAGCTCGACGGGGAACTTCTGGGCTGGGGCGGAGGCGGCGGCGCCTGGAAATTTTTGTTCTGCTCCAACTTGTCCATCTCAATTGTAAAGTCGTCGGGCTTCCTGTTGTCCGCCATGCTGACAGTATCGGCGAGGTGTATGGAGCTGAGTGCAGCGATGTGAAACGAATCCAGTCAAATAGCGATCGAAGACACGCGGCAGGCGGAAGAAGGAAAGAATGGAATTCCAGAGAATTCCAGCTGAAAGAAAGGACAACACAATAATAACAACGACCAGCAAAGCGGAAGGTGGAAGGAAGATAAAGAAACGAAGTCGAGGGATAGAGCCGCGTTAAAGGGGAGCGAGCGGAGGAGGGCAAGGAAAAGTTCCTGGCGTAACGTGACAATACGTCGTACGCTTCTTTGGGCTTGGCGCTCCTCCGGATGCGTCGCGAGGCTTGTGCTTATGTCCGCCTACCGTATCCCTCCTGCTGGAGTACAGTTGGAGAGCAACTAATAATACACCAGTATCGGGCTGTAATTGGAGGGGCCGCAGTTAGCAATTATTCTGACATGACCACTTAATAATGAACTTACCGGAGTGATGCGACCGGTTACGTGAAGTATAAAAATATTCTGGTCCCTGAATCGGCGATGCACCGTCTTCTCGAAGCTCAGTCTTCACTCTTCATTCCCAAATTCCCCGCCATTATATTCTACGCCCTACTTTAGAACATTTCTTCGCATAAATGTCAAATCGATTAGTGGCAACTTTTCATCGTCGGCCATCCATACGCTCAAAGCAATATACTAGCGAAGTGCGAACCCCACAATGCCTCAAGACACTACTCAATCCCTCCAACGGGACATAGACGAGTACGATTTGTCCGACGATGACGCCCTATTCAAAGCCCTGGAAGAAGAAGACGACTCCGGCTACCGCGCCCACCGCATTGAACAACTGAACGCCGAATTTGCGACTGCGCAAAAACCCCATAACCAGAGAACAACGCTCGTCGAAGACTCGCTCTACCCAACCTTAAAAAGTGACCAAGCCCTCCTAGACTATACGACCCAGACGCAACGATGCGTTATCCACTTTGCTCACCCAGACTTTGCCCGCTGCACTACCATGGATGAACATATTCGGGCGCTTGCAGCACGTCACCAGGATGTGCGGTTCGCGAGGGTCGATGTCCGCGAAACTCCCTTTGTCGTTGAGAAGCTGAAGATTAGAGTCCTCCCCTGTGTGATTGGGTTCTTGGATGGGGTGGCTGCGGAGAGAGTCCTTGGGTTTGAAGGCCTGGGACCTGGGGGTAGCGCCGGACTTGAAGGGTTCAATACGGCGAGTCTGGAGAAGAGACTTCTGGCGCCGGGTATCTTGTCCCAGGCAAGGTTTAACGCCGATGACGTGGAGGGGTCTGATAAAGATAATGACGAGGAGGAGGATGGCGATGATAGGAAAGGACGACGGAGCATTCGGACTGGGACCACGCGAGCCTTCAAGGAGGACGATGACGACGATTGGGATTGAAACAAACAAGCTGCGGTGCCAGAGTTGCAGTCTACCTTTTACCTGGCCATGGCCATGCGTACAGACGGTCAGTGAGCTTAAAGGAGATTCGCCCTTGGCTGGTGAGCAGCCACTCTCAAGCCCAGTGCGTCTTGATCCAAGAACGTCAAGGGGCCAGTTACTCAATCCCAGTAACAAGAATCTGATTGGTCTCAAGACATGTTTGTCTCGAGGAGAGACTGCTACTGGGTTAACCAGCAGCCTACCTAGATACCATTGCCCGTTGCCTGCACGCAAATGGCCCGTCAAAACAGAAAATCACCGACATATCGCAAGTTCTCTAAATGACAGTGAGGAAGACTCTCAGGCTTGTAGACATAGTCACCGAGACTTACACTGCATGCGATTTCCACCATTGGACAACGGCGTCTCAGGGTCATAAACATTATAGATCTAACGTGCTGCTAAGACAACATAAACTGGTTAGAGTCTGTGTAGGCGCTTAGTGTCCTGGGCCGCGATATGCATCGTAAATTACTAGCAATATGGGAACAAGTTAAGCTACGAAACCCTTCGAAGGTATTATGCCTGCTAAGCATTCTAGAAGAAAATCCTTAACAGCGAGTCTAAGGTAGCAGCTGTAAGACAACAGTTAGAAACAAAGGACTAAACAACTACCTAGTACTGCATGATCGTAGAGATAAAGTTACACGGAATGTAGGAGAACAGCACATCAAGCCGAAGACCACAACGGGCGCCGAGCATGATCACTGGGAAACACAACAATGGTGGGAATTTATACAAGGTTATCGAAAAAGAGAATCTTGAAGGACCCCGTGGTTTCACCGATTGCGCCGGATACACTTCAGCTGATTATAGAATGAACCCCCCCTGCAATAACAGTGAAATGAAGCTGTTCATGATATGCAGACCCAAAATATAAAGAGAACACACATACAACCACGGCTTAGATGGCGACATTCTTCATTTCGCCCAGGACCTCGTTATCCAAGCCAGGCGTGGAAACTCCCTGGTCCGACTCGCATTGTTGCAGCTTTTCGGAGTCCGCGTTGCTTGCCGGCGGCTGCTCTTCGAACCCCTCATTCTCCTTCCCGGACGCTTGAGGAGGCACGACCTCTAGTAGGTCTTCAGCCCGAGGATCTTTTGTGCCAGAATTGCTGTTGTCTTCCACAGGTTCGCTTCCAGCACCTCCGTGGACTGGACTCGAAACCTCCTCCGTAACTCGGGCGAGTGGACTAGATATACCAAACTGCGTCTTGGGGCTTTGGGCAGAGCCGCGATTAGGAAACCGGTGTGGTGACCTTCCACGTTCTTCACTAGGCCCCGGGCTCCCGTAAGGCGACTCCTTTCCTGATCTGCTGCCGGTGTTGAGACCCAAACCGGCCGGAGCCTTGCGGCGAGGTGCCTTCCTGCCGTATTTTTGATCTGTCCTCCAACGCATGATTTCTAGGTAGGGAGGCTCCACATTCTGAGCCTTGAACTCCAGGAGCTTCAGCTCGTTCGAATCCTCGTCTACCACAGCCTTCCCACTGCAGAGGTCGTCCGAGAAAACGGCGAGAAAAGCGGCCCAGGACCGGGCGATCACATACTTACAATCGTAGTCTCGACCAAAAATAATGACCTGGCCCCATTTCCCCGCGGGTCCTGGAGCTAGATCGATCGCGATGCAGTTACCACCCCAGTCACGAGCAAGCGGAATCCAAGCGGGATGGGCATAGGCCTTTTGAACTGCGCCAGGAGGTTGTGAATCCTGTCGTTCGAGCAAGTCCTGTCTCCACATTGGGTTTGACGCCTGGGCGGGTGGTGGAGCGGAGGATGAGCTGGCCGTAGCTTTTGGAATGGGAGCATTGACCATGGCCGGGGAAGCGAGAAACTCCTCGTTCACCGTCCTCCAATTCTTCCACTCCTGGACAATTTCCTCACAGTCAAGAAGCATGCAGCCGAAAATAATACCAGTAGGCAGACCCGGCCGCTCCTGACCATCGTGATTCATCAGGGATTCCCGAACTTCCAATGGTAGGCTGCAGTCTAGTTCATGTTCTAGCTCGTTGATATCATTCTGAGTACACCCCTCGCAAAGATTGTCAAAGAGTTCCTCATAATGGTTCTCTAACCAGCGCTCTATCTTCTTCCACGAATGGGTCACGGGGGGAGGAGGTGGCGCCCCATCATGGAAGCTTTGCATTTGAATCTCCGGAACCCCCTCCGCTCCGTGATCTGCGGACCGTCGGGCTTGAGAAGACATCGATCGCATCCCAGGCGAATAAGGCCGACTCGGAGAACTGACTCCGTTCGTTTGCTCGTCCTCGTAGGGGTTGGTAAGATCCGGTCGGGACTCGATGGCGCTTGTCGCGATGGATGTGAGAGGCTCATGCCGGCTTTGACTGAGCGGTACATGTCTACCTGTTCGATAAGGAGAGTCGTGGGACGCGTGCCGGTCGTAGGAAGTCATCGTGTGCCAAAATGAGCGCCATGCCGAGCCGAAGCTGTCACCGGAGAACAAGGCATTAGAATTGATAAACAGCATAGAAAGAAACCAGCCAATTTGCGAGATACTCACGGGTTTGACATGGTGGTAGATTAACAGGAGAAGGCGAGCGACAGTAAACACAAAAGGGTTCACTTTCAACTTCTTATGCAAAGCGCCTGCGGATCATTGGATAATGAGTATACAAGAAGGGGTAGAAGATGACAGGCGGCTAGAAGACCGAAGAAAGGGAGGATCGAAGGCTTGACGGGGACCGGAAGATGGATACAAGGACTGAGAAAAAGAGTGTGCTAAAATTGCAGTTGACTGCTTCTTTAGAGGAGAGAGAGTAGGGAGTGAGGAGGTGGTTCCAGGACGGAGAGGGGAGAGGAAAAGAGAAGTTAAAGAAGTGTTGGGCTGGAATGGGATGCGATAGAAATGATGTCGGCTTGCACTCAGAAAAGAGAGGTGGGAAAAGAACACAGTCAAGCAGCGATGATCAATGCCTCTTCTTCCGCCTTGTCAGGTCTCCTGGGCTTAATTCTACTCTGTGGTGTACGGAGCAATTATTATAACGGTCCTTCTGCTTGATGATTTAATTTTATTCTCTTCCCTTTACTTAACCCCTGGGAAGGAGCCCCGGCACTGGATCTCTCCACAGCTCTCGCCGCCGTTTCGCTCTACGTAGTCCGTACCCCCGAGGTAAGTCTAAAATCTAGAGTAGATACCGCATCCTCGAGATCCTCACTCCTGAGTAGATGAATAATAATATTATCACGCTTAATTGATTTGTTCAGTTTAGGTTAGCAACCCCAGGAGCGGGTAACCTCGAAGTCGTCCTGTGTCACTATCACTACTGAATGCCGAGTGCAACTCTGCTTTTCAAACGGAAACATACGCATTCCTGCCTTCCTGCCCACAGATAGCTATCTGTGCCAACGGGCGCAGCATGATCTCGAGAATAATGCATCTAGAATTGCTGCCGTCTTTATCAGTAATTGCACTGAGGAAGTATTTTCTGTGTTTGTTACAATAGCTGAGTAGAAGCTTGCGGAGAAGAATGGGCTATAATAAGTGTGAAAGATACGATAGAGGGTTGGTTAAAGCTCAACTTGAACAACCTGAAAATAGGCGGTCGAAGCATGCAGAAGTCACAAAAAGACAATGAAAACAATCAATACCATAGGCCAAACACGCCTACTGCCACGGGGGCTTCCAGAGCAGCGGCAAGTGGTTGGGGCTGTAGGAGGCGAGGTATATCGGAAGGGCAACGAAACATAAATCAACGAGTGTGGCGTCGTACTAGGACGGCAGAGTAGAGGTAAGAATAGAGGGAACCGGGAGCCAAAAAGAGACGCCACGGAGGAGTAGGAAATGGACTCGATAATATCCACGCACAAAATATGTCCTTGAAACAACGCTCAAAACATAACCGGACTCCAGGCCTGATGCAACCAGGGGTATACATGCGTTCCTCGTTGACGAACTAAGCAACCTCGCCAAGCAATAATCCAGCCGCTAGTAAGATCACCCGAACCAAAACATCGGAACCCTGTCGCAAAAGACACCGATGGATCTAGCTACTGGAGGAGTAGTAACAAAGGAGAAAGCATTGGGACGCAGGACGACGGAATTCAGAACAACTCAGATAGAATGATAGATTATCGACATGTAGGAACTCCGAAACGTGTACGTAAAGGAAAGGATGATTGCTCACCGCAATCGTGGCGATGCCACATAATATCGGAAGAAGAGCTGCGTGGACGACATGACCAGTGATGAAGCATGATTAATGTTGCTATGCAAGCGAGCTCTGAATGCCACTCGATGGGATACTTGAATTGACATCAAGCTTCAGTATCCGCCGCAAATCATCCTCCATCTTCTTCGTGTCAACGGTAGGGGAGTTTGCATTGACTGGAAGGTTCTGGAAAGCAGGTTTAGAATCGAGAGTAGGATAGTCGTTTGAATGCTGCTGATGAGCTGACAATTTGGAAGAAGGATAGGTCAGGGATGGTGAGCCGTATAATTGTCTTGGAGTTTTTGTTGTATTTCCCGGGTTGGAAGCAAGTACCCCGTTTCCTAAGGTAGTAGGGTCCGGGAGATGCTGACGCTGCGGGGAATTAAGGTTAACATGGTGAGGGCCTGAGCGTGTACTGAACCCAGATGGAGGCGGTCCTTTGCTTGGCGGTTCGCCACAAGAGGCCATGACCGGCGGGCCTGAACTAGTTCTTAAGGGAGTAGCAAAATGCGGCACCATCGGACTCAGGATTGGCCGCTCTTGCTTTTGGCTGAAGTGGTCATGGTTCAACTGGGAGATAGACGATGGCCGTTGCGGACGAGGGTTGAGTAGTAAGATTTTCAGCGCTTCCGTCTTAGCCTTTCGTTGGTTCTCATCAAGGTCCTGCAAATTTGGTGACGGAGAGCTAGCCGATCGTAGAGCATTCATACGATCCTTGTAAGACGGCGCGAAAGAAGGCCCGATCTGAGCTTGATTAGAATCTGAGCCTCCTATTTCTAGTGTGAACATTCCACTAGTATCATTATTGAATTTGCGTTGGTGAATTGCCTTGGAGTCGGTTTGTGGTGATCTAACACGAGGACTCTCTTCAGGATTTTGCTGAGCTGGGGCCTTCCTAGCTTCGACAGCAGCTTTGAAAAGAAAGTCTAGTGGCGTGGACTCTCGTTGTTCCTGTGAAACATGCGGGCGCAATTTGGGCTTCGAAGGAGTATTCTCGAAATCAGCATCAGCATCAAGATGGTCGCTATCTTGTTCCAGCGTAGGTGCAAGATCAGATTCCGGAAATGACTCGGAGAAAAAACTAGGTATTGGTAGAGCTGAGGGCGCAGGCGATGCGTGGAAGGTCGGACCAGCATAATGCGTATCCTTCAACTGAGGAGTGGCGATGATGTTATTTGATTGCGACGACGTATGGCGATGGCCGGACCTGCTAACGGGGGACGTTTTAGATCCATCATGGGGCTTTCTAGCAGATCTAGATCCCTTTTTCTTCGAAAAGGCGATAGTGCCTGAAGAATCAGTTGCGGCTTCTCTGGGGCTGACGGCCCTAGGTGGCGATGATGGAGGTGTTGCGAGTGTCGATACATGCCCGGCCGAGGGAGTTGTGAATCTCTTCTGATTGCGGCGATTGTTTCGAGGACCCTTAGGCGTTAATGGTGTGGGAGATTGGGTCGACATTGCGACAGGTCGGCTTAATAAATAAACAGCCTTATTTCAAAGATGGATGACGCAGCAGAAGAGGAACTCCGAAACAGAAAACGATAATAGGAATAGTAGTGACACACGGAGCAGTAAAAGATTAGAAGCAACTTTCCGGTAGCCCGTACCGAAGGAATACTTCAACGCTGAAATACTACCAGGAGATGCCGAATCCTAGCAACTGTGTGATGATAGCGGCTAATGGAAGGGAAGCGGTTCGGTCTAATTAAACGATCGAGGAATGGCTGATGAACGGATGGGAGGTCGTAAAGACAGTTGCATGTATGATATGTGAACAACAAGGCGGTTGGGTAGAAAGAGGCGTCGAGGCATTATTGTATAACTATTGGCGACATGGTGAATGGGTAAGTCCAATAAAGTCAGGAAGAATTGGAAGTCTTACGCAGTCAGTTTGAGGCTGGGCCGGGTTGGGGTTGATCAGTCGGGCGGGGATCTGGCTAGTATGACTAAGTCATTATTGCACGCCACTTCAACCATTCGCAGTTCAAGGTTGATCGGGAAGCTGTCACGAGCCCCCGATTCAACATTGCAAACAAGACAAACCTAGGCCAGGTACCTTCTGCAAGAGCCTTGATCAGAAGCCTTCTGTCCTGCTTCCACAACATAACTAAAGCTTCACAAGGTATCTAAGCTTGCCATCCGCCGCTCAAAATATTTATCTCAGGCTTCTAACTAACGCGCATTGATAGGTCCCATCCGTTACTGGTGACCCCGCGGTTCCGATAACACGCTCCGGATTACTACGTAATCCGTCCGCCTCATTCTGCCTCTCCCCATTTTCCACTCCAAGGGTCTCGATATTGACTGGATTTGTTTACAAAATGGCGGACGTTGAAATGAAGGAGGCTTCGTCCTCCAAAGCAAAGGCCATATCCAAGGCAGAGGGATCCAGCGACGGCAAGAAGAAGTTTGAGGTCAAGAAGGTACAATCACGCTGCATCACCTGCAATCCATTGGAGGAATGGTCTTGCTGATTTATATTTCACTAGTGGAATGCCGTTGCCCTATGGGCGTGGGATATTGTTGTTGATAACTGTGCTATTTGCCGTAACCACATCATGGATCTTTGTATGTTGGAACCACGCCTGCACACTTGACCGCTTGGCCGCTTGAGCGTCTGCAGAACTAATATCTTTGGCACAGGCATTGAGTGTCAAGCAAACCAAGGCTCGTCCACTACAGAGGAGTGCACAGTTGCCTGGGGAATCTGCAATGTTGGTGCTGCCCAGGGAACATTGATTTTAACTGCTGACTGACAATGAACTAGCACGCATTCCATTTTCACTGCATCTCTCGCTGGCTGAAGACACGCCAGGTGTGCCCTCTTGATAACAAAGACTGGGAGTTCCAGAAATATGGCCGGTAAATACTTACATTTCAGGGTTGAGGAGGAGGCAGTCTGCTGTGCAGCTAAATGTTCTTGGGGCGGCGTTCACGGTCATTGCTTTTTTTTTCTTTCAGTAATTTGAATCCCTTTATACAATCTCGATCGGAAGCATTGGACATGTAGACATGAAAATATGATGCTGTTCCAAAAAAAAAAAGCCTCCATGCATCTTACGCGACTTTGACTCCATCTACAACAACTCCTGCACCGCCAGCGAACGGTACCAGCCAATTTTCGGGATGTTTATTGTAAAAAGGCCATGGAGGAATAACGATGAGTCCGGTTACGAGAGTACCGGCCAGACCGGCCCAGAGCGTTAGATGGATATCTTGCAAGACGTAACCGACGAAGAAAGCGGCCACCTTGATAACATCAACCGCAGTTAGTAAGGCACGTTATACTGATGAACAAAAAAAAGATGTTATGAACTCACGCCTGAGATCACCAAAAGCGCCGTAGATAGAAGTTCAGTAATTTGCTGTCCATGGAAGTCCTGCACAAGCAGAAGTGGCCAGGTTAGCGTTGGAGTCATAATGATAAAAGGACAGCGTCCAGCGCCAAAGGGCCTACGACTGACAATTTGACCCTCGAAGGCATTTTGGATAGGCACTAGTATATCATCCATAACGGAGAGATTGGCATCAAATGAGGGCGATTTCGTTTACCGGTGGCTCTGATGATGATGGTGGTTGCGGCTCCCCGTGAAGATACCTCGTCCTGATAACCATCCAGTCTTATCGATAGGGCGCCTTGGCATTATTGATATTCACTCCCATGCATGTACTCTCTAGAGGCCCTTGATATGATTGCTGTGATGTTGTTTCTTCAGTAGCATGTCGAACGCTGGTAGTGATTTTGAGAATACACATGATAGAACTCTATACGACCCAGTATCTATGGCTGAAAAAAAGTCATTATGATGGTTCAGTGCTGCACTATGGCCCCATCATGAGCAGGTTCAAGAAGCTTCCACTGGCAGGAGATGTTCTGCGAAGTAAAACGAGCAATGATGAGTTCCGCAATCTCGGAGAATCTATCGGTGGCCAACGCCAGAATAGTCGGTCCGGCTCCAGACAAGCAGATTCCGAGAAGACCAGGCTGTGTGCTTGGCGTCATAGAACGGAGAATCTCTGTAAGGCCAGGGATGAGTGTCTGACGGTAAGGCTGGTGGACCTTGTCCTGCATAGCCAGATAGATCATATCTGGATCAGGCGGGGAGGAGCCCAAGGCTGCTGGAAGTAGAGCAGCTCGTTGCAGATTGAAGACCTGGAGGGTTTGATGGTTAGACATGCCTAGGCGAAAAGCAGACGGATAGACCTACCACGTCAGCGCGTGAATAGCTTGTAGGTAGGACGTTTCGAGCATTGGCAGTGGGCACCACAAAGTCAGGAATGATGGCAATTGCTTTGATTTCCTTGGCCCAGTGGAACTTCCTGTAATGACCGATCCCGAGAGGCGGCTCTGGTGGTTGTTTACCCGTGTCGATGCCACCAGCTGGGGCGGGAAGCACTTCACTGAGAGGAATCTCCTTGCGTGCTACGTCTTCCGGCTTCAGCTCATTTAGGTATGTTCCGACAAAACCTCCAAATAGCGAAGCAGCGACGTTATCCGGATGACGCTCTGTTCACGGGTTAGCGTGCTGGAGCGTCTATGCATGACCAATGACTTACCAATCATCAAGCAGTAGTCAAGCAGTCGATCCTTGCTTAGCCCAAGCTGACCTACTTCGTTTCCCAGCATGACACCCGCAACCACTGCGGTTCCTGATGAACCAAGACCCCGACCCAGCGGGATGGGATTTACGATGTGAACCCGGGTCTCAACAGGGAATGCTCTCTGGTCATGGCATCTAAGTACGTACAGGGCTACACGTGTGATCAAGTTGACCTCCGGGTCCAGACTGATGTTCTCGGAGCTGTTGCTCTGGTCGTCATATGTGATAGCACAGTTGAGTGGCTGTTGCGACGACGTCTTTGATGAGTCGATGATCACCTTTAGCTCGAGGTAGAGAGACAATGCCAGTCCAATGACATCGAAGCCAGGACCGATGTTTGCGGACGAGCAGGGAGTCCGAATGACAAACGATTTCGAAGACATGCGGGGAAATGATTCGGAGTTGGAGGGGCAAGAAAGATGGCGGGAGTGAGGAAACAAGACACAAGAGGAAGTCAATGCTGGACCAATCGCTGACCGGGTAGGGAAATTGCTTTTGCGAGAAGATGCGTCGTCTCCTGTGCTACCTCAAGTGATCTGGCGCGATTATGGGGTTGATATGCGATCGGGAGCTATGACTACTATGACTTGGCACACCGAAAAATTGAAAAAAATCCATCGGACTCAGGCCGACTTCGGGGCACGCCGAGGATGCAAATAATAATTGCAAAATAAAATAATGAATGCCCTGGGAGGCGGGATCTTTGGTCTCACAGCCAAGGCGACACTTTATATTTTCTGCATCATCAAAGTTGATCCATTTTTTCTGCGAACAAATGATTATTGACCTGTTTCAGATAGGGTGTTCGTATACGAACTTCCATCAGATAGGGAGCGTTTGATATCATGGTCTGGCCTGAGCCGCCTGACTCTTGAGCTCATGCAACATCCATGATCAAATTGATCAATTGTTGCCTTTGGCACGTTGGGAAATTACTCCGTCCGGCCAAAGAAACTCTACTTTGTAGACGTACACAAGTGCCTTGAATGCTCAGAATGGTGCGACAATGTCAGCAGAGCTTCAATTTTTTGAAGATAATTATAGACCTTGGGGGAGTGGTGCTCAGATGGATCAAAGACGGCTCTCCCTTGTTGGGTGCCCATTTTAACATCATTGGTAGCCAACCACTCGGCAGTTTCGGAGGCTCTGACCGTGACACTAATCCTAGCTCTTTATGCTTTAATCCCTCAATGCAGAAATCTCTGCCCGCTACGCCCCTCTTTTTAGGTGCTTTTTCCTTGATTCCTTCGCTCTCTGACATATCTTCTATTCTACTTGCTTGCATATACAGACTCTCTTCCACTTGAGTTTGTGATTTCATCCTGCTCTTCCAGAACAACTCTTTTGAGTTACATTTTCAGCACGAACTTTCTTTATTGCACGGGGTTGTGGCAATAATACCTAGCTTTGCCTATCACCCTCTCTACTACCGTACTTACGGAGTAGCTGAATCCTGAACCTCACCTAGGATCCTCAAGGTTTCCTCCCAGCTTGACAACCCACACCTATACTCGAGACCAGAGCGGATACTTCAGTCAGCCCTAGAAGTCCGGAAATCGACTGGTTGACATTTGTTTTGATATTATCAAGCCACCATCGGTTACGTCAAACGAACAATTCTGCGGTGAACTGATCGTAGAATTCGCCTCGAGGAGTCTTTCCTGACGAAACCTCCCCGCTGCAACAACGGAGCGCCAGCGCTCCTTTCCACTTCACTCAGTCAAGTTGGCGGGACTTCGCTACTCTCAGTCCTCTTTCTTGCACCCTCTCCTGGGCCCCAAGTTCAGGGTCTTCTGCGGGGGAGACACCAGACCCCCCTAACTAGGCTTTCGTCAACACCTCGAATCTGGCACACGGACGCGCATCGGTAATGCCAGGCCCTTGCGAGGGGTCTGGCTAATGGATGGAGGAGCAACAATTCCGGGACTAGTTAACTCATCCTCGTTCTTTTGATTGGACACTGGACACGATACACCAATACTGGCGACTGTCGACAACATTAATAGTTTGTGAACAGCCTGCGCAGGCGCAGCGGCAATCTTTATCACGTACCCATTACCCTCTCACGGCAAATCACTTGAAAATGTCCGAGTCCGCCAAATCAGAGAAGTACATGGACCTTACCAGGTTCAGCACCCCGGTGCCTGAACTAGATGACCATCGATATCACTTGGATAATCAGCCTCGCATCGAAGCGACGCCAGATGTGGCACTGAGCCGTCAAAATACAGCCCAGCAGGGTATAATGGACGTACCACAGCGCCCTGACCTACTGCAAATTCAAGATGTTTACAGGGACTCTGGGCCATTCTCACGGGACTTTGAGCAAGCAATACTGGATGATGATCGATCCGCGAATGATTTGAACGCTATGGGACGCCGCATTTCCGTTGATCCCGCTGGAAATGCGCGCCACGGTCGGACATATAGTCGTACGCATCAAGACGTTGGAAACAGGTCGCGGGAAAGTTCGGTTTCGGCCAGATCATCGTCGCCGCCCAATTCCGTCGACGCCTTTGCAGACCCCCGTCGCCGTGAGCGCGCAAATACCCTAGAAAGCCATGGACCCCCTGATCTCGAGGCCATTCTCCAGCGCACCGTCTCCGGAGGCACAAGACGACCGACTTTCAGCAATGCTAGTGTCATTCGACCACAACCAGGCGACCTAGATTCCCCAGAAGACACATGCGTGCCGCCGTTCGAAGAACCTGGAAGGATTCCGGTCATCGACTACGAAGAATTGGAGGAGTTTGTAGCTTTGAATCAGAAGGCGAAACTGCCAATCAACCGGCGCAATCATAGCGTCAGTTCACAAGACAAATACTCGCGAATTTTCCATGACCTTCGTCCTAGCGCCGAAGTCACTAATGAGATTGATGAGAAGCGCTCCTCAAGGGTTGATTTTTCATCTGAGGTTTCGACGCCGCCCAAGTTAAACGAAAAGATCTTCGACCAAGCGAACGAGAGGGAGCTCTTGGATAAATTGAAGAACGAGAATGAGCCGACTCGGTTTGGCTTCTTCTCCTCTGAATCACAGAGCACCGTGCACGCAGCGGAATTAGGAGACCTTGTCCTACCTGGGGACACTTTTCGAGATCTCTTCCAGCTTGGACCAGATGGCGGTGTTTGGTGGCTGGACGTTCTGAATCCAACCGAGGCAGAAGTGAGCGCAATCTCAAGGGCGTTTTCTATTCACCCTTTGACAACAGAAGATATTCTGACTCAGGAATCGCGTGAGAAAGTTGAACTTTTCAAGCAGTATTATTTTGTCTGTTTCCGGACATTCTACCAACTTGACAAGACTAGTGAACAGTTTATGGACCCCGTGAACTTTTACATGGTTGTCTTCCGCGATGGTGTTCTGTCTTTCTCATTTACCGAGAACCCTCACGCCGCAAATGTCCGGAAAAGAATTGGAAAGCTTCGCGATTACGTATCGCTCAGCAGTGATTGGATCTGTTATGCTATGATGTAAGTTGGCCCTTATAGACCTTGTATTGGCTACAGGCACGAACGTTGATGCTGATTGTATATAAAGCGACGACATTGTGGATAGTTTTGGCCCTGCGATTCGGGAAATCGAGATTGAAACCGAGGCAATCGAAGACTTGGTGTTCATTGCGCGCATGGACGACTTCGAATCATTCTTACCTCGCATTGGAAATTTGCGGAAAAAGGTCATGAGCTTGATGCGCCTCTTGGGCGGTAAAGCTGATGTCATTCGCGGTTTCTCGAAGCGCTGCAACGAGCAATACTCTGTAACCCCTCGTGGTGACATTGGGCTTTACTTGGGTGATATTCAGGACCACGTTGTGACCATGATGTCTAACTTGGCGCATTTTGAGAAGATGCTCAGTCGGTCTCATACCAACTATCTTGCTCAGTTGAACGTGACAAACCTGGTTCTAGGGAACCACGCCAACAAGGTTTTGAGTAAGGTGACGCTTATCGCTACAATACTAGTCCCGATGAACCTTATTTGCGGTTTGTTCGGAATGAATGTTCAGGTGCCCGGGCAAGATGTGCCAGGATATGGATGGTTCTTTGGCATTATCGGGGTCCTTGCTGCGGTGGTTGTTATAAGTGGCCTAGCTGCGAGGTTTTATAAGCTTGTATAAGGGAGGCAGGCTGTTGGCAGGTTATACATTGGTTGATGTTGGCATATATTTCCTGTTCTTGTCCTTGAATTCTGGTGATTTGAGGATTATCTAGTTTGTATATTACACATCTTTGGAATAGGTTGTACGCAAAAGGCCGCATCTTTTCGCCGTACCCTACTCTCCGTACGTGCTATTTTTGGCAGTGGAGACGTGGCGGTGCAGACTTACGGAGCATCAGTCTGTGGCAGAGTGTCCAGGCAGAAAAGATTCCATGCTCAGATCATCGGGCGCGAGGTAAAGGTTGGATATGGACCATGGTGTCACTCTGCTCGGTCAGAGATGATACTCCTGCATATTCCAGCTTGATAGTCCAATTGCGCTTGCCTAGAGCCCCGTGTATGGCTTGGTTTCTCCCCCATCCACCTCCGCCTTCACGAATCGGTTGTTCCGCTCGGTCGTGAGAGGGGAACCGTCGCTATCCCACACCATTTGACCATCTATACGTGCTACTGATGGCCCAAGGCCGGGCTGGAGCATTTAAACGTCCTATGCGACGGAGGTCCGCGCACCGACAACGCCGCCTTGGTGCGACAGTGAGCCTCACTATCCTCTTCGCACTACTTTTCATCGCCATCTGTCCCGCGTTTGTTACTGGCACAGATCCTGGACACCTTCCTTCAGAAAATGGGCTTGACCATTTGCTCGCTAAAGACGAGAATCGTGTGGACTTTCCTTATCTTCTTCGCTCGTTCAACGGCCTGTTCATAGATCGCGACGATGTGAGTAGCGCTGGACATGCGCGGGGCTTGGATATTGTGAGTCGGGCGTCTGATGACAGACGCTCACTTGAGAACAATAGATTTGAGACGAGGGAGATTTTGATGGGCGAGCTTCAGCAATGGTCGTTTTCGCCAGGCTCTGCGGCCAGCAACAGCTCTAGCACGCGAAGCGGTAACAGTTCGAAACGCGCGACTACCACCGTCTATATCTCTCTCACGATCTGCTCGGGGCCGATACTCAACGAGTCGGTCTCAAACAGTTTCCAGAGATTACCTCAGTTGACTATTTATGCCTCGACTTCCGATTCCCTTCAGGACCCAGGGCCGCATCGTGGGGCCGATAGTGGCCAAGTCGTCTTTAACTCAACAGAGGGATATATGAGCGCGGCTATGACAGTGGAATCCCATCTATACATTGCTGTAGCCGCGCCAAAAAGTGGAAACTATTCCGGATCCTATTCTTATCAGATGGCGGCCTCCACGGATGCTTTCTTCCACAATGTCGATGATCAGGCTGATCCGCTTTCTTTTATTGATTCGGGTTCGGAGACGGCCCTTCTCACTACAGACAAGCCTGCCGATCAGATGCTCAGCGAGGCCCAGCAGACACAATGGGAAAACAACACCGTGGTCTACAAATTCTTTGTCAACAACGCGGATAGCGCCGTTGGATCTGGCTTATCGCGATCCTTTTGCGCCCTCGAGCAGCATTCAGAAGCCAGCAAGGGGCATAATGTACAAGCAGACATGTCCACGCGCAGCAGCCGTGGAGCCGACAGCCCCCTGGAGCAGTTCTACGTCACGGGCCTCAACCGCAGCGCGACCTATGTGGGCTCACTAGCACTGGGCAACTCAACTAATTCTGGGAATGGGATAATTGGTGGAGGAGGGAAGGTTTGGAAAGCGAAGGAGTTTTCCACGAAATCTGGTTTGTTCCTATACTTGCCGGTGAATATAAACACAACTAACAGAATAAGATGGCAATTGCGACGTGATCTACGACCTCAATTTCTGCTCAGATGTAGCCTACTCAGTCCCTTCCAATCCATCATTAAACATGTCCGACATCCGCACCAAGTACGACAACTACGCGGCCAACCTCTACAAAAACTTCAACTACTCCCTTCAACAGATTCAATGCAACACTTCCAACGAAACCATCTTCTCCATGGCCGTGGGGTGCCATGACTGCGCAGCCGCCTACAAATCCTGGCTCTGCGCCGTCACCATCCCTCGGTGTGATGACTACTCCAGCACGTCCAACAAGACCGCCGTCATGGTTCGCAACGCCGCCCAACCCTTTCCAAATGGCACCGAAATCGCCAATCAGACGCTCCGCGATAGCCCCGTCACCAAAGGCCCTAGAAACAGCGGGCTAATCGACAAAGAAATCAACCCTGGCCCATACAAGGAAGTTCTTCCCCACGTCAGTGTCTGCCATGAACTGGTGCGGAGCTGTCCTATGTCCCTTGGGTTCTCGTGTCCAAGCGGGAAATACTTGGCTTATGCGTACGATACCAGCGCGGCGCCAGGCCTGCGGGTACCTTGTCCTTCATGGACCGCTGTGATGGCGTGTTATATGATCGCGACTGTATTATGGCCTTCCTAGGGTAAAGTCTCATCACGTTTTGTGCTACGCCTTATGCATGAAGGCTCACATGCGCTACATATACCCCTCCCGTTTGTACTGTTACACTTCTCGCGGATAATCCTGATTTAGACCATGGTTCTGAGCGTATCCTTTAGTGTTATGACTTTAATTTTCAATGGTTGTTATTCGGAGCGACATACTTCGTAGGTACCTTGCGCTTTAAATCACGTGTCAATAATGTGGCGCTGGGCAGTATAGTATGCATATCAAACACAAAAATAATTACTCACTTTGTACCAAGTAAAATGTAATTTGTGTCCCTGGAATAATGAAATGATGGCAATGGTATCATAACTAATTCAGGATGTCGTCCGTGAAGCCAATCTTTGACGCCCCTTAGGATTCGGCTAGAACGCAAGCACAAAAAAAAAAAACAAGTTTGATGAAGCAAGCAGACTCACTTCTGCTTCCTCGGCGTCGGAGTCCACATATTCTTCAGCGCAGACGAGGATGACGGCATCTCCCGCTTAGGTGTCCCCATCCGGGATAGGAGCTTCTGGGCCGCGGGCGTAAGTGTTGTGGAGCCCGGGGTGCGAAGCCCAAATTCCAATCTCGGGCTGCTGGCAAAACGCGGCGTAACAGTGAGGGACGTTTTGGTGGTCTGGGCGGTCTTCTCGACACGCTTTGTGCGGGCCACGCGGTCGACCATGCGGTGGTGGAGATCCTCGCGACGGCGGTTTCGCTTAATCTCGAATGGGTTGGGTGTGGTGTCGCTGGCGCCTAGAATGCCGAGGTCATTGAATTCAGAGTCCGCCTCAGAGGCGGTTAGGAATGCAGTGGGTTCGGGCTCGGGTTCGTCTTCGTCGACGAAGGCGTAACCGTTTACTCGTGGTGTTTCGCCGCCGGTGTAGCCTGCTTCTGTCTCTGTTTGGCGTGGTCTGCCGGCGATGGCGTCTTGGATAGCTGATATTGATGGGGATGGCGGTACTGTGTTGCTGGCTTCTGAAGAAGATTCCTCGGCGAGCCTGGTATTCTGATATACTACCCGCTTTGGACCAGCGCGCGAAGCAGCTTCGGCTCTCTGCTGGATAGTTTCATACGAATCCTCGATGGACGAAGGCAGGAACATCAGCGAGTTTTCCGCCTGGGGTTTCCACCCGTCCGGTTTAGCAGGCCGGGCATCCAAGTCTGTCTTGAAGGCAACTCGCCTCTGCTGATCCGGGTCACCACCCTGAGCTTCAAGGCGTTTAGTTTCCCGCTGAGGATGCGTAATCTGCCGCGCAGCCGGAATCTTATTCTCACTCCAGAGCCAAGCATGTTTCTCACGACGCTTGGTGTTTTGCGTATCCAACAGCTTATTGAATGACTCATTGTCCTCGCTGGTGTATTTCGCCTGGAAATCAAGAAGGCCCATTTTCGAGACGTCCGGCCCCTTTTCCCTTTGTGTGGTATCCGTAGCTGCTGTTGTCGCCGATACAATGGAAATGGGTGTCTCCCCTCCCCAGCCTGCTGGGGTATCTCTAGGTGCACCGGCACTTCTAAAATGTGACGCCGTACTTCCGGAGTCAAGCTGTGGCCGAGAACGCCTAGGAGTCATTATCAAATCCGTAAGCTTCTTTCGTGAAGTCATAATCCATTCTTTGTCTTTTGAGTCCAGTGCTTCAAGGTACTCCTGTTTGACCTGGGACTCTAATAAGCCAGGGAAATAGTCTCGGGCGATAATATGCGACAGAGCATCGGTGTAAATATCTTCATCGAGAATGGTGGCAGGGCGTTTGATGCGCTTCGGCGGTGGAGGAGGCGGCATTAGGCTCATTCCGTTATCGCGTTTCGTAAGCACCTGCGAAGGAGGCATTTTGGAGTAGTTATGCGATTGTGCTTAGACTCTAAAGAAGAGCAAGATAAAGAAAGTCATACTATCTCGAGGCCATTGATGATGTGCGGCAGAATACCCTCACCGCCAGGGCGGTGTGTTTTGTTGAAGTGAGAGTCAAATGACATTATAGTAGTACGCCAGGATGAATAGCGTTGACGCTCGCGGCTCCACGCATGAGTGAAAAGAATCAACTCGGTACTTAGATTCCGTGACTTTCGAGTTCCCATCGAAGCACTAAAAGATGAAACGTGGCTGACCATTTCGATGATTCTATGTATAATGAAATAGTTCCAGGCCCGGGACACTCAGAGAAAACCAAAGCGAAAAGAAATCCGAATAATGACAGATATGAATATGTAGATAAGTCCTATGCAGCCCTTTTCCGGTCCACCCATGCACAAGAGAAACAAACACTATGTAATACCCCTTCATGTTTGAACCCTTTTTAGAAACAGCCGCTGAGAAATGCTAGGATAAATGCAACAAAAGATCTTCATAAACGACCATAAAAATGAGATATGACAATGAAATTCATCGCAAAAGATGGTGTAATAACTGATTGTATGGTGATTCATAAAGTCGTGGAGAAAGGTCTATGACCGGTTGCTGGAGGTTGAGGTCTTCTGATCAGAGAATATTATAGATCGAAGAATAATAAGAAAGCGAAAAACAGACGCATGGTTGCTGGGCCGAAGCAGAGTCCAGAGGTATGCGACTTATGAGTTTGCAGGTGAGGGAAGAGTCGGCGAAGGAAAAAGTGAGTAGGATGTTGTGCGACCTTTCTTTCGAAGTGCGCTCTTTGAAGGAAGTTCAGGTCTCATGGCCTTGCTCACCAAGGGAGCGGCCTCCACTTCAGAGGTAGATTTTGCGCGATCGTGAGGGTATACGCCCATCAGCTTGGTGGAATCGGTGCTGCCATTGCCATCCGGCCGAGACATGATTTGGGTTTCAAGTTCTCGTGCTAAGCTTTTAGTCTGCCGGTGATTAGACGAGCGGGAGGAATCGTTGCGCACTAACTCGGACTGTTCGCCAGGAAGCATAAGGTCTGAGGAGGAAAAGTCGCGGCTACTCGCCAGGCTATGTACCAATTCAGGCACGCTCGTAGTCGAAACGGACGATCGATGCTTCCGTACAATCGAGGCAGCACGGGATAAGATTAGGCTTTCTTGTGAGTTGTATTTGCTTATGGGGGAAAAGCTGCTCCGAGGAGAGACGGGCTGGTCTATAGCCTGAAGCCCGCTCTGTGAATAGAATGAGAAATGTCGATCTGATTCTCCATCAGTCGCGAGGTAATCCTCGTACAGAGCATCTTGGGGGATGTGTTTAGTCAAAGCTCCTGACAACATTGAGGAACTGACTGATTGGAAGAAGTCTCCATTCTTCTCTCCCTCATAGGCATTACCCGAAGGCGCTATGGCTAGGCGTGAGCTGGGCGCTGACTGCAAACAGCTGGAGTTCAAGTCAGGAGTGGACAGGTCCGACGTGCCAAGGCACCTTGAGTTAGACGAAGACACCGGGTGATGCGCTGACGAGGTAGCAGGATTGGAGGCGGTAATAGTGACTGCAACCCTATTCGATTCTTCGAACGAAGTCCGTGCCCAGTCAAAGTCCGAACTTGATTCCGCTGCGTGCTCGTAACAGTAGTCAATATCGTCATCCCAAGACTCGTAGATGGTCTCGTGGATGGTTTTATGAACCGATGGTTGCCTGCGAAGGGACGATTGAGCGCGGTGTTCGTCGACGGGCATGACCGCCCGATCTGCAAGATATTGAGGAAGAGTAGGCGACCCTAGTGCTTCCGTAAATTTTTTCGAGAGTTCCTTGGCCACGTCAATCGACAAGTGGGACTTTGGGGCGACAATGGCTTTGGGAGACACTTGGCTCCCAAGAGATGCCGGGTATTCTGATTGCTGAGATTGGGGACTATCATGCCAGTGCGTTGCTTCGTCCTCCTCCGGAACATCCTCCAATTCGGATGTCGGACTTGCGAGTGCTGACGCAGTTCTCGTTTCTCTATTATCATTGTCGACACCGGTGGTAATGGCATGACCTAGGCTTGACCGCATCATCTCCTCCAAATTGCGGCTCTTTGGTGAAATGTCGTGCGCCGAATCGTCATCCGCGTAGTAGGCATGTTCGGGGTATTGTTGCCGGGAGTCCAAGTCCAGAATCTCATCGATCACTCGACGCGAAGGCTCCGGTATCTCGGGAGAAGACGCCAATCTAGGCGAAGAAGCACGCGGTGGTGACGATGCAGCATCGCCGCGAGGATACCTTGGTACAGGCCGCGAAAAATTCTCGAACACCCGGGACTCTCGCAAAGGCCGATACTCTAAAACTTGTGGACTGGTAGATCTCGCCCCAGGGGAACGTGGTGGACTAATAGGCAACGGGCCCTCGTTAATGTCTTCGGGCACGCAGTGACAAAAATCTTCCGTTGAAAGGCTGCGCATTTGTATATCTTCTGCTCGAATGCCCTTCAGATTTGTGACGGGCTTTTGGGAAGCTCGAATGGCAGAAAATTCGGTAACCAGTTCATTCTCACGGGTCTTGCCCAGCGCCTCGAATTGAGCAGGGCTGGTATGAGTCAGGTGGTGGAAATCGAAGGGATCTGAGATCATGCGCTTCATATGCTCATCTATATCACGCCAATAAGAGACGGGTCATTCAAGGGTCGCCAGGAGGAGACACATATGCTTCTCCGCGAAGTTCCTGGGACTCTTTGGAAAAGAAACTTACGGCTGTCATTCGACCGTGACTTGCGACGGCTGAAATCGAAACGGGATTTATCGCGTTCTGCATCCTCTTCTTCGTCTAAGGGACCGACCATGGTGACCTTGCTTCCTTGACGGCGCAGAATGCGGCTTCCACGTAAGAAGAGTGACTTTGTTGTACTTTCATGCCGGTCGTGGCGCACGCCGGCTGCAGGAGTTATCCGGTCCTCATGCGCGAAGGGCATAGGGACGTTCTCGTTGGAGGCCATTGATGAGACCTGTGAACGGCGCGAAGAGGTGATAGAGGGAGTGGAAGTTGTGGTATTGCTTCGAGAACGGCCACTGAAGACGGATAGTCTTTTAGGGCTCTGGGTATGAGCGGTCGACCTTGACCGCATATGAACCGAATGATCGGGGGTGTCACTGCTGGATGCACCGGTGGAAGGACGGTCGAGATCCTGCGCCATTGGGCGAGGGGCTGAAACAGAGAAGTGAGGGCTCAATGGCATGGTGGAACAACGTCTGTACCACGCAGCACGCACACAAGGTGCAAATGAACGGGGACAATTTGAGGGTCTTCCTTAAGAGTCGGTCCAAATCTCGCGGAGCAAGGCCGGCTTTTAGTAGGGGCGGTTACGCCTTGGATGGGACTGACCGGGCCCTGGCCTGGACCATGGTAGGAGAATGAAAATGAGACAATGGGATTGTCGTGGGGGAGCTAAGTATATAGTGGGATAGGAGAACAGAAATAGGGACGAGAAGAAGATCAAAATTGGCGTGTGAAACTGAAGGAATGGAACGACGATTGTCACAGACGCAGCAGCGAGCGCAAAGTCGCGATCAGAAACAATTCGAATCTGGCGGAGGGAGCGCACTAGCGGCAGTGTGGGCTGGAAAGTATACTCTGGATCTTGAATGAGTGAACACAATGAAGCGAGATCTGGGACTGCAATGAGAAGAAATGAAAAGGAAAGTGTAGGAAAGAAGAGGCAGACAGACAAACAGGAAGACAATGTGGGATATTCCAGGATGAAGAGCACCGTGAGGGAATATTGTTGGAATAATAATAATTGCTGGAGAGGCAGGGGAAATAAAACTCCTATAGTCCAGCCTATAATATTAATAGAATACTGTAATTTCTTTAATTCTTAGTACTAATGTATGATATGCGTAAGGAATTATGGGGATGCTCCGAGGCTCCCACTCCAGCCTCCGACGCCGTCAACCACCTCCATTTCTTGTATACACACCCTACTCCAGTACTATCCTACCAGAATCATATCAAAACCCCTGCCAGCGCCACAGGATATCTTCCCAACATGTGCTAGGGAGGAGAAGCCAGGGACACGCGACGGCAAGCTCCTGCATGCGACGTACCTACATGAGTATGGTCTCAGGCGACAAGGGGGAGACGCCGATGCCGTGTGTACGGCGCAGGGACCATGAGAACCAGGAGCAATACGGTCCGGCGTTGGTGGTCGACTATTTAGTATTTGACGATTGTTATCATCAAGTTCCACGGTAGCGACGGCGTGCCCCGTAGGTTGAGCGCTGATCGATCCGATCCCACCTATCTATCTATTTATCCTGACAAGATAGGTAGACTAGGCGTTCTAACCATACAGTATAGAAGAAAAAGGAGACGGCAGGGATGTGACGTGGGAATCCGGCCCCAGCCTCAAGTGCGAATAAGCTAGGAAGTATCTAGTCGTACGGAGTAGTCGGGCTGGATGTGGCTACAAACCGTTGCATCGCGCTTGCTCCTTTGTTGTTGAAGAGTGGAGACTGAGAGTCAGAGAAGATGATCCTGTTCCAGACTCGTTTTGCATGATTGCATCCCACACTACACTGACAACCGATGAACCGAGTGCGGCAGGTATCGGCGGGTGGGTTCTGCCTCGTCTGGATCGCGTTTTCAGGAGAGTCGGAAAAGGAAAAAGCACGTTCTTTGGGTCGAAAATATGAAATGAGGTCGACCGAAGCGGGAAGCAGCGAACGAAGCTAGAAAGGAGATCGTTAGTCTGTTTTCTAGCGAGGAGAGGAGGCATCGAAAGCCTATGGAAGGCTCGCACTATCGGATTGTGTCACCTCAGGCAGAACGGGTCCCTGAGCATCAGGAGGCAGGAATCTTACGGAGTAGCTTGTTACAGCCTTCGAACTCCCTCTGTCGGAGACTCACAGTCCCCAGGTTGTCAACAAACAGGTGGACAGTGAACACTGAACACACTGAACAGTTGAGAAGACTGAATGAAACTGGAGCCCGAGGTCCGCCAAAAATAAGGAAGACGAGATGTCAACTCAACCCGAAAGTCAAATCCAGGAACAGTCAACGCTCTCCCCACATGGTTGAGCCCCGTGAGTGGCCGGCCACCGTGGCACCGATCCTGTGCCTTGGGCCGATGTCACGGCGCATCCTTCTTTCAGTTACCGTTGGTTACAAGCCTCTGGATCTCTTGGATGGGACAGTGATCGTCATGCCATCTCGAGAGTCGAGAGTCGAGAGTCAAAATACTCAATCTTGAATCATCGAAATCATATGGCAGTTATGAAGATGCATAGCATTACCTGATGGAGCTGAGGCGGGCACTTTGTGCTCGGCAGTTCATAGTTGATCCCCGTGGGATGAAGGCGCACAGTCTTGCTCCAGATTCACTACTGATTCAGAAATAGAACATGAGGCTTCAAGCAAACAGTAAACCCCAAACATCCTGGAGACAAATACATGCAGGATGACGCAGTGTCACCATTTATGCTGCCTGATCACACCGCCAGTACCTGCATTCAGCACGAGTGGCTTCTGTGACCCGTCACCTGCATCCAAAGCTATTGCTTTGTCTATTTCTTCGTGCCGTCCTGCTGGGTTCTTGAAGAGACGGTCGACAGATACCGACAACCGACTCACTCAAGACTCAAGAGTCAAGACTCGATAGTCCATTATAGCCCGAAGAATATTAAATTGTGTGGAATGTCAGACTCAGGCTTCGACTTGGGCCTCGGCCGGAATTTGATCGAAATATCCTGGTTGATCCACCCTGTTTCAGCGTGTCGCTCCATCACGATGGGGCGAGGTCTGGAATCTGGACATAGCATATGATAGCAAACATGTCTGTCGGTGTCCTCGTCACCTCACTCCTCTGGAGTCTCGGTGCAGCTGCATCGAAGCTTGCGTTTAGGCTACAAGATGTAGACCTTGGAGCCGACAACACGACCGCGCGGTCCTACAAGAGCGGCACAAGCTACAGCCAACCACCATTCCGATATGCCACTCAGGCTCATCACCTGTAGCACAAGATAGACATGGTCCTCTTGACAAGGAAGCCTCCCAAAATCTCGATATAAAAACTCTGTCGCCAGGGGCTGTTACGTCCGGCGTCCAGGGATGGTGTCGCCTCCGTCTGAGCAAAAGGGGAGCGCCAACTATCACGGAACCCAGCATGACAAGCCTTTTCTTAAGTTAATCTTAACATGATCTGAAGGGGAGATCTTCCTTGTTGGTTTCCTGAATCCTCTTCCTTCTATCCTGATCCCTTAATGACCCATGAACTCCTTCAGGAATCAAGATTCGAGTAGAACCGACAATTATCCGACCAGTTCACTCCCGTACGGAGTAGAACTATGGAGTAAACATCGCCTCAGATATGAACCTTGATGACGCCTTTGCCCGTTCTTTCGACGAAATGAAATCGGAATGGCTTGAATCTTGTAGGTTATGGTAGAATTTTATTGTCGTGTATTGAGTATCTACTTCCGAGGATAACTTCTTTTGGAGCACCTACTACGGTTACGCAATTGTTTAGATCTCGAAGCCCAGGGATGAAGATGTAAAAACCAATGACTTCCATCACCATGACAATCTGTCAGAAATGCTTATTCTCCAAGTGTCTCCTCTATATTCTCGAGTTTCAGTAGAATCTCAACATATGACGACGAGTCAGAGGCATTGACGTCTCGCATTTATTACCGAAATACTCCATACGGAGTACTCTGTAGATAGATTATAAATAAACCAATTCAAGTGTATTGCACGCAGCAAAAAAAAAGCTCAAGTCTGAATACATCCATCCCAACGCCAAATATACATCGTTTGGGATCAAAGAGTAAGAAAAGTTCAAGGAGAAATGTAAACTACATCGTGGTAATTATGATGACGCAGCGAGACTACTCATCCTCGCCATCCTTCATCTCTGTGTCTTCCTCCTTTTCACTGAACAAGTCCCCATCGTCATCGTCATCACCACCAGCCGCGGGAGCAGCCTCATCTTCCTCCTCGTCATCGTCGTCAGCAACCCGCCTCGTCACTTTGGCTCTGCGCCGTTGTACAACGTCCTCCTCTTCCTCTTCATCAGCCCCTCCGGCGAGCGTAGCAGCGGGTTCTTCATCGTCATCTGAATCAACCACCATTTCTGAGCTCTTGTACTTGCTCGAGGACCTTACACTACCAGAAGCAGCACCCCTCGACCTCCTCTCCAAGCGTCTCCGCTTCTTTGGTGCACCCTCCTCCTTGCCACTCTCATCGAGTTCAGAGCTACGGCTTGCCCCCGCGTCTCCATCATCATCATTGATAAAGTCATCCTCAAGGCGCTGCTTCTTCCGCTTGGACGAGCCAGCCTTCTTCTTCCGCTTGACCTTCTCGCCGGTTTCGGACTCGGTAGTCATTTCCGCTTCTTCGCGGGCTCGTTCCTCTTCTGCACGCTGAGCGGCCAGCCGTTGAGCCTCCTCAACGAGCTGCTGGCGTTCCTCTGCGATTCGCTGTTTCCTCTCGCGCTCGGCCTCTTGCGCCTTGCGGACTTCTTCCTCCCGGCGACGAATCTCAGCCTCGCGGGCTTCGCGGGCCTGCTGCAGCTTAGCGGCATTTTTCTCCTCGTATTCCTTCTGGCTTTGGAGGGCTCGCTCAAGCTGCTTGATGATCGTCTTGGACATGTTGGCGCGCTGCTCGAGAGACTCAGCAGGGTAAGGCGGGTTTTTGACCTGGGCGATACGTCCAAAGGTCCCAACTGCGGTACGGAGGCCATCTGCTGCGTCCTGTACGTCTTGCACAGACCGCTGTGTTTCCGGGAGACTGTAGGTGAGAGAGGCGACTTGGTTTTGGACGAAGGCGACGTTGAATTCGAGGTGGGATTGGCTGGGAGCGACGGAGTGTGCGCGCTGGGCGTAGTCTAGGGCCGTCTTCATGGCGGCGAGGCTCATCTCCTGCTTTCCCTTCAAGTGCCAGACGCGGCCGAGACAGGCGAGGATTTGGGCGTCGCGGGCCCGGTCCTTGGATAGTGCGGCCTCGTAGTGCTCGATGGAGCGCGTGTACTGGCGTAGCTCTGCATAGACGTGTCCTAAGTTCAGGTAAACGCTAGCATCTTTCAACGAGTCGCGGATCTTAGAGAATATTTGCACCGCTGTGCTCAAGTCTTTCTTATCATCCACTAGGGCGATGGCAATACCTTGCGCTGCATATACGTTCCGCGGGTCCAGTTGAAGAGCTTTGTCAAAAAATTCAACGGCCCGCTCGTACATTTTGCGCCGCTTCTCCTTCTCTTGGTCTGTATCACGTCGCATGTCTCTGGCAAACAGGAGGTGGACGTTACCCATGCCCGTTAGTGAGTACCGGTCATGCTTGTCAAAATATTGCAGTGTATGCTTGTGATGGCGCTGCTCATGGTCTTCTGCAATGTTTGCAGCCCGTTTCTTGGACTTGCTGAGATACCACCCGAACAGAGCCCGAACTTCGAGATTGGTTGAATCAGTCTCATACAGCTTTGCCATCTTCTTGGGCCCTTCGTCCGTCGGGCTACGGCGAAGAGCAAGGTATGTTAAACGTGCGCTCGCCTCTGTGTAGTCGCTATGTCGTTCCAAAAGACCTTCGTAGACCTTCTTTGCTTCGTCAGGCATATCGGACGCCTCGTACGCCCGGCCAAGGTTGTAGCTTACCGTTGTAACAAGCGCATCTGGGTCGATTCCACCCTCTTTCTCTTGCGAGCGTACGCAGGAGTCTAGCGCTGCTTGAAACATGGTGCGGGCCAAGTTGAGTTGCGAGCTCTGGTATAGAAAGCAACCCATGTTGTTGAGAAGCTGCGGTGGGAGATGCAATCGGAGTGCAGCCTTGATTTCTTGCTCGTCTTCGAGGCCCTCAGGGCGTTCTTCATCAGGTATTTCGGATAGCTGCAGTTCTTCCAGCTGTGTCAAACACTGCATACTCTTATCCGGGGCAGTCTGCTCATACAGCCGAGAGAGGTATACTAAGACGGACTCGTCCGGTGTAATCTTTTTGTTTTCGTCCTTCCATAGCGCGCGCACGCCTTCGAATAGAGTGATGGCCTTTTTGGCCTCGGCTGACTTGTCTTCTTTTGATCCACTGCGCAGCGCAGTAAAGACCTCCTCCGCATTGAGGGCGCCCAGGAGCATCATGCACTCCGGATTCTTTGTCTGTTGGATGATCTTCTCCAACTGGAATTTGGCTCCATCATAATCCTTGTTAGACACCTGCATCTGTACGGAGCCAAACTTGGCCGGAAGATAACCTTTGTCACCTCCACCACGAGCCTGGTCCGAGCGGTTATAGAACTCCGCCGCTTTGGCAAAGTCACCTTCATAATGGCATTTCCGACCGAGAAGGTACCATCCGTCGCTGGCTATTTGCATGACGTCGGTGTTCTCAATAGATTTGCGAGCAAGGGTATCAACAGTGGAATAGGCTTTCCGCAACAGGAAATAACTGCCAAACAGAGCGCACGTCATGGGGTATTCCTTGTCCAGCTTGAATGATTTCTGGGTGTATTGTGTCATGGCCACCTTGTATAGGGAGCCGAACGCCGGGTCCGTTGTGGCATGTCGAGAGCTGTCGTAGAGGTAATATACCGCAAGAAGAATACTGGCAACTTTGGAGTCGGGATTCTGTAGGGCGACAATAACAGCATTAGTCTCAACCGACCAAACAAGTCGCGCACTCCAAAATGACATACCAGTGCTAGGGCACGTTCCCAGGCAATCTTGGCCTGATCCTTGAAGCCTAATTGCCATAGACAGCATCCAATACCGATCCGCGGATCTGGATCAGTCAATCCGGGCATCCTCATTAGAACTTTCTGGTACCCTTCCAGCGCTTCAGCATATCGTCCGAGTAGATAATGCGCCCTCGCACGTCCAATAATGGCCATAATATTCCTGCCACCAAATGCTTTTGACGATTCGTCAAACTGCTTAAGAGCTTGTCGCAAGGATTCCACGCGTTCTGAGTTATCGACAGTCCCTGGTCGAACCGATCGCGGGGGGTGTAAAGAGGCGCGCAACAAAGATAAAACACCACGAGCAAGGAATAGAGGCGGGAAGGACGGGTTTAGGCGCGAAGCCTCGTTCAAAATTCCCGTAGCCTGTTGAATGTAGTAGTCCTTGGTCTTCGCCTCTGTTCCTAGACCCCCGTCTGACACCACCCGGGGTGCCTCTCGACTCTTCAGTAAGTACAGCCAGCATACCCATCCCAAAAGACCCAGCTTTTCCTTAGTAGCGCCTTGGGCAACCGATGCGAGACCCTTATTCAAGATGTCAATCGCATGATCGATCTGCTTTTGTTTGGCGTAGGCAAGCGCTATGATAACCCAGAAATTCTTCGCCGCTTTTTCATTCTCCAAGAGCGTGCATAGTTCGGTAGGGTCGTCGGGAAGCCCTTCGAGACTGACTTCGACCTCGCTGTCGAGTGTGGATGCAGGAATGTCAATGGCAGATGGGATGTCAGAAAAGCGAAGATTGGCCGGAGAACCGGTCACAGAGAATGTATCCCCATTGACACCGTTTGAATATCCGTTCTGTAGGGTGGTCATGGCGGGTGTATGCGAACTTGTCCAATTGGCAGCGCGAGCTTCGAGACGCGGAGATGAAAGCGCGGTCGAAAAGGAGTTGTAGGACCTGTCGTAAAGCTCAGAGCTCAACTCATATTCTGTTCATACGCGAGACCCAGCAAGCGATGTCGGGACAAACAGTGATCGCGCAACGAAAGAAACTGAGCGACCGGCTTGCCTGCACCTCAGATTTCGGCCCAGTTGCTAAGCTTAAGAGTCCAGGACAATGGTTTGGAATTGAGGAGCCTGAGGCATAAACAGTGGCTAGGACACCGCCAATTTGTGGCGTCAACTCTAACAACTACGGAGTACGTCAATAATACAGGACTATCTCAGTTCCTAAAATATGGCCGAGTTATGTCCCAAAGTCTACCACTTAGGATGAGTTTCAAGGAGATTTCTACGTCGATCGAGCCAACGGCAGCGAACTTCTATCAAGCAGGGAAACATTCAACTATAACTCTCTAGAGCCTGTAAATAATAGGTCATCAGTCGTAAGGATAGGAGTGGACATCATTCATAGTCAGGACGCCCTAGAGATAGACCGAGAAGACCCAGGACGGTTACTTCGGCGGCAAGTGCTTGGTTCATTGGCCCAGTCCTAACAGTTTAGGAGCCCGACAAAGAAAAGCGAGACCGAAAATAACCCTGAATATCCGACCAATCTCGGTCCAGTGCCTCAGTCTAACATGTGCCTCAGCGTACCCAAGTTCGGCTGCATTCAACTGCGTTGCATCACCATCACCTACTTCGATGCTGCCGGCTAAGGCGGACGGAAATCGACCGGTTTCAAAGTATTGGTCAAGCAGTTCATCCTTCTCCGTCCAACGGGCCCTTAGCCAAGCGTCAAATTCGTCTTGGTCGTCAAGAGGAATGTTCGCAACCGCAAAACGCCTCCAGTACATGTTGACAGAAGTTGGCGGGCGTCCCTGCACATACGTTGAGCGGAGAGTGAAATACTTATCGGCATAACTGCCATTCCTGGGTATAAAGAACAATCGTCAGCTATATTCGAAATTGCCAAAACAGCATCGCGACTTACGGAGGACCCTCATATCCGACGGTGCAGTCGTATACCCACTCAACGGTTCCCCGCAATTGCTGCAAGCAGAAGAACAACCCAGTTGAACGAGGGAGAACTTGGTGCCTCATGGATGGAAACCCGTTCTTAGCTCCATACGCATCGCTTCGCCGCTTGGTATTTATGGAAAGGTTCGTTCCTTCCGGGAAAATAAGGAGCCACATAGGGTCGTACTTCGGAGCGCCCGAATCAGAGCCTATATGCTGGGTCTTCAGCTTTTCCAAGCGGTGTTGGAGGCGGGGTTTGTCAGACAGCCATTTACGGGCCATAAAAATGAAGCCGTAGAACGTCATGCCCTGGCCGAGGATAGGTATGTACTTCAACGACTCCTTCAGGATAATGAAGATGTGGCCGTGCATCATGTTTGAGTAGGCAATCCACCAAAGATAGATCCAATCAGTGTAAACCTGATGATTCGAAATCATCACAAGGCGCTCCGGAAATGTTGTCTTCAGACGACCGTCGTCGGCAATGTGGATGTGCCCGCGTACACTCTCGTCGCCGCTGACCCGGACATATGTAGGGCAGCCCCACTCAGTAAGAGCTGTTATCACCAGTCCAAAAGATCGTTTCGTGGATGACATCCAAGCATAGTAATATTCTCTGTTGATGATGTACAGGGGACAACCGACCAGCTGCGTCACCAGAATGATTACACAACAGCAATTGAACCACGTTGCGAGGAGTAAGGAGCGCAGCATTTGCATGGGTATCCCATGTTTCAAACGTGGTTGAGCGTCTTGAGGGACCAGGGGGTCGTCTTTCTTGTGAGCCGTTGGCTTCCGCTGTCGAATATCGGGTTCGCTCATGATGGCGGAGGGTTGTTGTGTTCAAACAGTGAAAGAAGCGCGGCAATAATAGTTCTCAAAAAGAGCGAGTTAAGGTTCTGGTCTACAATTATTAGCCTGTAGTCACTGAAGGTCATCATGCGACCATCTTGAAGGGCCATGAGTTGAGCAGCTCTGTGTTTACTTACCGAATCAGATACTCTAAGAATAACTCACGCAAAAACGGGTCCAAAAGAATAATAAGAGAAAGGATGGGCAGGTCAAGCCATTTCACCGGAAAAGAAGAGAAAGGTAGAATGCAACGAACATCCCAGAGATCACATAAAGAGGTGAAAGACACTGGGGAGGGAGCCCAGTATGAATCACTACGGCTGATGCACCCGATCTTGTGGCCAGCCTAACTTCGGCTAGCAGGAAGAACAGGCAGGCACCATGACGTTGGAAGCTGCTACTGCTAACTTAGTGCTCACTGCTACCTAGGCCTTCAAGGCGGTCAGCGATCGACGATCATTCTGGGGTACCATCAAGTTGTCAACTGCTGTTCAAGCTGCTGCATCCTAATCCACCACTGCTTGCTTTCTGGGGGTTTTGGGTTTCTGGCCGGTATTTCGCCGCCAAGGATGTCCGACTCTTGATCATAGCTTTCTACCTACTGTCAAACCAAACCCTATATCAACCGCCTACATCAGAAAAATGTCTACGGAATATTCATGCCCGACGTTCTAGCTAGCACAGTTGATGATTGGACTAACATTTTTCTAATGATAACCCCAGACTGCCAGCTATCTGTTTAAGTCCCCAATCTCTCTCGTTTGCACAATGCTTCCGGTGATAAGCCGGACGCCGAAAATCAACTCAATACGGCCACTTCTATTGAAGCGGAACTTCTCGGTTACTCCAAGACGCAAGGAAATCAGAAATATTGACTCGCTTCCACCGCGCCTAATTCCCAGTTATCAAGGTGTGTATCACCTGAAGAGAGTATTCTTTTAGCTGATCAGTGAAATACTGTTAGAATCAAATGAAAATGATCTTCTTTCTCTCCAGTGGCCGGGACCCCCGAGGAACGTCTTTGTCGTTAAGAAAGACTGCGCTCCAGAAGTGACAAAATCGCTGGTCGAGTTTATCAGGTTGGCTCTCGGCCATTAACTCCTCGCAAGAACACGCTAACCCTTCCACACTTTAGCCACGCTGCGTCCACATATCCAAATGTTGGCATCATTTTGGAACCCAAGGTCGCGGAGGAAGTACACTCGTCCTTGTCGTTCCCTGTTTATACGGCGTCTTTGGATAGACTGCCATGTGCATTGCATAAGAAAGTGGACCTCAGCGTTACACTTGGCGGCGATGGGACAATCCTGCATGCTTCCTCTCTGTTTGCCACGTGCGTCAATGTTCCACCCATGCTGTCGTTCAGCATGGGCACTCTGGGATTCCTTGGCGAATGGAAATTTAGTGAATATAAGCGCGCATTTCGCGAAGTTTACATGTCCGGTGCAGGAGTGGGTGATCGTGCTCCTGTACTCGGGGCCCCTCATTCCTCGAAAGCCGAGGAGCAATCAGAAGGCATCACCGGATGGTCCTCGATTCGCGGCAAGTCTATGGGTCTGGATCGTGGAGCCCGTATCTTGATGCGAAACCGTCTCAAGGTCGCCCTGTTTACTGCGGATGGACACCCCGTTGAAGCAGATAAGTGCTTGGAGCCCAGCCAAGGCATGGGAAACGATGGATTGTATGTCATGAATGAAATACTGCTCCACCGTGGAAAGGAGCCACATCTTGCCATCTTGGACGTATACGTGGGAGGAAGGTTTCTTACTGAAGCCGTGGCAGACGGTATTATCATTTCCACGCCGACTGGAAGTACAGCATATAGCCTCAGCAGCGGAGGTAGTATCGTGCATCCCTTAGTGCCAGCAGTGCTTTTAACACCAATATGTGCTCGAAGTCTTAGCTTCCGACCTTTGGTTCTGCCGGCCAGCACGCCCATCACGCTTCGCCTGAGTGAGAAAAACCGGGGTAGAGAACTTGAAGTCAGTATAGACGGCGTCAACATGACACAAGGGATGACAGCTGGGATGGAGGCTCGCGTCTGGAACGAAGAGATGCGACATAGTGAGGATGTATGGCAGGGTGGAGTGCCCTGCGTCATGCGAAGGATCCTGGGCGGCGAGGCTCGAGATGGCGAGGCTCATGATGGATGGGTAGGAGGATTAAACGGATTGCTCAAGTTCAACTATCCGTTCGGAGAGTAGCGATGGGAGAAACTCTATATATATACTTACCTCGAGTTCACAGCCGCTATGCAAATCGCTCCCAATGATAGATTCCTTAATGACGAACATGCTAATCAAGCAAAGACATTATATGATTGCGTCAGTTGCTTCATTAGAATCCAGCACCATGTTTTCGGTTTGAATTTGGCTTAAGGGGCGGAATCGGAAACCTGTGGACCGTTTTTTATGAACCGATCTTTGGTGGAGTACAGACTACAAAGTAGTATCTACAATCCCTTGATCCAGGTTTTGATGTATTGCAGTACCCTAAATAGGGCATGGGTTTGGGTACCCCCCGTAGGCATAGGTACCCATTTAAAGAGGGATATTGAAATCTGAGATAGTTCAGGCGTTACTCCGCGATCCGGCAAGACTTTCGGTTTTTATACGAAGTATTCGAGTCATGCATCATTGCATACTGGTAAGCATTCCATCATCTTGGTTCTCGATCGGATCGTTGTTTCAAACAGTGCATCAAGTTGAAACACGGCTAGCGTTGGTTGTTCATGCCATATATATATAGTCTAAGTTGAACAATTAGTAGCGAACCAGGAGTGCATACACTGATCATAGGATGGGATAGAGCCCCGACCAATATTGGGCACGAACTCCGTTGAAACCGGGACGATTTTCCAGATTGTCACCCTTATCCAAGTATTTCTGACGTGCAAGTAGATCACCGCATACTCACAAGCTCGAGTCCAGACTAGTATCATTGTTTTTGAAACTGTCAGCTAGCAAGATAATAATAATGTCCGAGACAAAGCAGTATTGAATCTTGCCCAAAGAAACAAGCCTGATAGACTGGCAAGAAAGACAGGAAGAGGAGTGAACGAAGAGCCGCCGCCCCCTTCAGGGATTCTGGAGCCTCTCCCCAAGTCCAACCAGCGGTGGTGAAACTCCCACATCCACCGTTTACTCTTCTCGCCCTCTGTTACCCCCTGACTCAGGAGCGTATCTTGAATTCGCCCTTAAGTCTGGGGTTTTCTACCTTTTTTCTTCCGCTCCTCTGCACCACCTCCTGCTCTCTCTCACCCCGATTTTGTATTCGGCTGGTGTTCCCCCCATCCCCCGCTCTTTGGACTCTGCTACCTCCCGAATCGGCCCCCTGCACGTCTCCTGCTTCAGCGCGCTTGGATAAAAAGGAGAATCCGAGACGTGCTGCTTCTGCCCGCAGCTTCCTCAAAAGCGCGGGAAGCCTTCTCTGGCATTAACCGTGGGTAAGGCCCAAGTTCAGGCTCAACCCCTATTGTTCAACCCCGTCTCCGACTGCTACCCCAGCCTTTCACTGGCTGACCCGGATCCCCTGTGGCATTGGATCCAGGTGCGAATGCGCTCAACCCTTGGATCGCGAATCTGGCCCTGCCACAAACCCTCCGTTTTTGAAGGCGTATAGTTACTGATGCTCTGGGCAGTGTCCCGTGCAGTTGTCGAGGTTTTCACGACGCTTCTCAGCCAACTTTCTCCCCTCCCGTCTGAGAGGTGATCCCGCCTCTAGGGGCTTCGACATCCCCATCGTCACTTGGGATGAGTTCCTCTTATGGAAAGTAAGTCAGCATGACCCCGCCTTCCTCTGGCTTTTCCTAGTCCGTCTCTCTTATCGCATGCGAAACTTCGATGCTCCAATGAACTATGCCCAGCTGACCTCGTCTAGCGGCATGTATTCCGCAGACCAGTTCATGAATCCTGGGCCCGCCCCTCGCCCACCGACCGACCGCCCAAAGCTTAACCTCGCCGCAAGCTCCGGTGTAACAACGTCTTTCAATCAAATGAGCTTGGATTCCCCAAGTACGCCGAGTGCCAACCTATCGCTGTTCCCGAATACCAGCAGCCCCTCTCTCGTGCGCACAAAGACAGATCAATCAGGGCATGTCGTGGTTAAGGAAGGATATGTACGTTGCAAAGAGGACAAATTCCTGGCTACATGGAATCAGCGTTTCTTGATTCTTCGTGAATCTCGATTGGACTTCTTGAAAAATGAGGCAGGCAAGATTGTGCTCTCCATCCCCCTTTCGGCCGTCACAGGTGTCTCTCGCTCGGAAGACACACGAATGGCTTTCGAAATTGTCCGTCTCGCGAATCCGAAAGATGCTACCTCCAAGGCGGCGCTAATTACTCGCGATGTCCCGACGAAGAGCTTGACGTGTGAGGTTAGGTCCGACGAAGAGATCTACGATTGGATTGATAAGATTTACGAACGCTGTCCTGGAATGGGGGGGGTGAGCAATCCGACAAACTTCAGTCACCGTGTTCATGTCGGTTTCGACCCGCGAACAGGAGCTTTTGTTGGTCTACCTCCGGAGTGGGAGAAGCTTCTGACTGCGTCCGCGATTACCAAGGAAGACTACAAGAAGAACCCGCAAGCAGTCATTGAGGTCTTGGAGTTTTACTCCGACATTAAGATGCGTGAACAAAACCCACAGTATTATGCCGGCCTGGGCGCGCCAGCTGGTCAGGCAAAGCCGTATGGCAACAACACCGTAGGCGGCTCAATCGCTCCCCCAAGGCCACCCCCGCCAGCCCCTGCGCAACGCTTGGACAGTGGTCAATCCTACTCTAGCCGCTCTGCCTCGTCTGGCCACTCACCAAGCAAATCTGGCTCTGATAGGACTCTTGACCAGCAGCAGCAGCTAGAAAGGATGAAGCAGATGGCTGACCAGGAGCGTCAACGCGTAGAGGAGGACCGCCGCCGACGCGAAGAGGAGCAGAACCGACTTGAACAGGATGCTTACAACGCTTCTCTTCCTAAATCTCGTGTTCCTCTCGCTAAACAAGAACTGGGAGGATACGGATCGCCCGACCCATCAATGAATGACCGTTATAAGCCCAGCCGTCCTGCCCCGCAGGCGCCTGGCTCTGCCCGTCAGGCCCAAGACCCGGCGCGCCAGTTGACCGCTCAACGGCCGGCACCGTCCCCACCGACTGCAGGACAGAGACCTGGAGACTATTCATCCAGCGGCGCATCACGCGCTCCAGGTTATGACCAGTCCAGTTCGAGATATGCTCCCCAAGATACTCGTACTCAAGCGTCGGCTGCTCGTGCCCAGAACAATGGAAAGACGCAAGGCCCTCCTCCCAGCAAGCTTCCTGCACCTGTGCAACCTGTCAAGCCCTTGAACATTGCGAATAAACAGGCGCCTAAGAAGGCCACTCCGGATGGAGTCCGTCAGGCGGAAGCTGCTCTGACTAAGAAGGCCGATCCCCATAAGAAAGAAGTCCGCATGTCGGCTATGAGCGAGAATGAAGTTATGGACAGGTTGAGGTCGGTTGTGTCTAAGGACAACCCCAACGAGAGCTACAGCAAACAACGAAAGATTGGACAGGGTGCTTCTGGATCCGTATATGTTGCCCGGGTCAAGGAAAATGCCACCTCCGGTGTCGCTCGGGAGCTATATCGGCAGTATGGCCCACGCTGCCAGGTTGCAATCAAGCAGATGGACTTGCGCAGTCAGCCGCGTAAGGAGCTGATTGTCAACGAGATTATTGTCATGAAGGACAGTCAACATGCAAATATTGTGAACTTCTTGGACTCCTTTCTCCAGGAGCAAAGCAATGAGCTCTGGGTGGTCATGGAGTTCATGGAGGGTGGTGCTCTCACTGATGTTATCGACAACAACCGTGTTATCCAGGAAGACCAAATTGCTACAATCTGTGCAGAGGTTGGTACTCCTATGTCTGCGCAATGGGTCGATTTTTTGCTGACGAATCCAACTAGACCTGCAAAGGATTGGCCCACTTGCATAGTCAAAGCATAATCCATCGCGACATCAAGAGTGATAATGTTCTTCTTGATCGAGCTGGCCATGTTAAAATCAGTCAGTCGATTCCCATTCTTACTTGTCACGGACTTTACTGACAAACAGTCCAGCCGATTTCGGGTTCTGCGCTAAGCTCACTGAAACGAAAAGCAAACGTGCTACAATGGTCGGTACTCCATACTGGATGGCCCCTGAGGTCGTCAAGCAAAAGGAATATGGCCCCAAAGTTGACTGCTGGTCATTGGGTATCATGGCTATTGAGATGATCGAGTCCGAGCCTCCATACCTGAATGAGGAACCCCTCAAGGCTCTGTACCTTATTGCTACTAATGGTACTCCTCGACTCAAGGCACCGGAGAAGCTCAGCAAGGAACTCAAATCCTTCCTGAGCGTCTGTCTATGCGTAGCCGTGGACAGCCGTGCGACGGCACAGGAACTGCTGGACCATGACTTCCTCAAGACGGGTTGCAGCCTCGCTAGCCTAGCAGAACTGCTCCGCTGGAAGAAGAACACTCAGTAATGTCCTATTTCGCGACCGTCGAGCCCGTCGCTTTTCATTTCCTTACGATTTACACGTCCTGCCCCACACACATGTGGACGACATCTACGCGTCGCTGAAACTTTACGACATGTGAATATTTTCTGCTTCGAGTGATATCCAATCTGCTAAAGTTCTCACTCCCCTCGCCGCTTGGCATTGATAAACCCGGCGTTCACTTTTGGCGTCTGATTCCCATTCCTCTTCTCTTCAGATTCTCGTCGACATCGAATAATCTTGGTTCCGCTTAATCCGTCAGTGGCACCCTTGACGGTCCCGGGCCTTGAGGGTTCGGGCAACGCGGTTGCAATTCAGTGGAGAAAAATAAAGCTGATTTTAATATTCGTGGCTTTCTCTCTTTGGGCCTCGTGTCTCCGGCGCAGGCTGAACGTCTTTTTCTTCTTGAAAACGCATACATTTGACTGGTAATAGGATATTCACCCTCTCACCCTGTATCTGTCCAGCGATGAGTCCACGACGGAAATAATTTGTTTATAGCCAGTAAGTACCTAGGTATTCAAGGAGGCACACCATACATAGACCCATCGATGTGCTTATAGGTCAGAAGTCCTAGAAAGGAAACGCAGTGGTTGGGCCTGTTCTTCTTTCTTGACTTCTCTCAACAACTACGTGAAGTTGCCAAAGTCAATAGATAGCTTATTTTGGGCAAAGACTTCCCAACACCGCGTGCAGTAAGGGCAAACCTCGTTTCAAGAATTTGATTAATAGTGATAAACATATAATCGTAAACATGCATACATCATAATACAAGAAGGAAGTTGTCTAGAAAATGGCCATGAAGAGACGAACCATTCTACAAACCTAGCATAGAAACAAAATTCGAAGCCGAAAATGGTACTGGGCTATAATCCACCTCTTACTTGTCTTTCTCATCGACGCCAGTATCGCTTTCTTCGTCGGGATTAGGTTGGGGCTGAGGGTGAGGGCACAACTCCCGGAAAAAGACACTGGAAAGGATAGATTCATCTTCATCGTGTTGCTGATCCCAGAGACCAGCGTTGATTAGATGCGTTTTCCAAGACATGCGGTCCTCGTTGGAGAGGTCAGTCCATTGTCGGGCGGGATGGGATGCCGAGTTTGAGTCTAGGTCAGGGCCTGACTCTGCTTCCGAGTCCGCTTCCGGGAGTTCGGAGTCAAGCTTTGGGGTATGCGGCTCAATGACGAGGTCGTTGTTTGATGGGTTGCAAGAGATAAGAAGGGATGTATCTGAATTTGGGATAATATCGCGGAGGAGACGAGACTGTGATTCTTCAGGCGCAGCCGAAGGGCTTGGGAGTATTTCAGTTTGCACGATTGGCGAGGAGGGAGAAGGAGGAGTGAGAGGAGCGTTATAGGGCACTGCAAGCTTGGTGCGGAGATCAGGTGGTAAATAATCCGTTATACCAAGGTATGGAGGCATGACTCCTCTAATTTCGGTAAAGGCCTGGAGAAGCAAGACAACGAGTACGATGGAGAAGACGGAAGCCAGAGTACCGGAAAGATCCATCAGGAAATCGGAGCCGCCCGGCCGCACGAGAACGTAGCGAGGATTGCGACTTGACGGCGGCGTCGGAGATAGCGGGAATGTGTGCACAACGACAGTATTGCCCATACTTACGGAGGCCAGCTTGACATATTGTGGGGGTGTCTCCGGAGTGACTGGGCTGAGCGGCGGAATGAAATTTGAAAAGCATATCTTTGTCATTGAAAAGGGATGGACGTCATGAAGAGTTTTGTATATCCGAAGGGGGCCGTAACCGGCTCCTGTTTGGTGTTGTCGGCTGGCATTGAAGTCAACAGTTAGGACTTCAAGGGACTGATCACTGCCGGACACGGCGATGATTGATTGTTGCTGGTCCTGTGATTCGGATCTGAGATTGCATACGTCAAGACCCAAACCAATCTTGATTGATTTACGAAGTTTGCGTTGACGGATTATCGCCTGTGACGCGGGTGATGATATCGTTGGCTGTAGGTCCAGAAGGATAAGCTCGCAGCCCTTGCGGTCCGGGGCATTTTGCAAGAGCAATAGCGTCGTAGGTGAGAGGAACCGCAACGCACGGAACTTCGGCCGTGGCCCCTTGCCCTTTGTATTTTCTGGGCTATACACGCATCGCACATCTGGCGCAGCGTTGGATCTAAGGTCCGGCGAGATGCGACATGTAAAAACATCAAACCCGTTAGTGTACGCCGCAGTGAACAACCCCGTATCTTCGTCTTGGCCGGCGATGTCGATATCCTCCGCTTCCTCGTCACTCTTCAGACGGATCCTGGCAATAACATCGCCCTCTTCCGGGGTAGTCGTGTTGGCATTGAGAAAGACGATCTCGCCCGAAGGAGCCAATCCGGTCGTAATCGCCGCGACACGAGTCGCACCCTCGCCGTTCCAAGGCGACAGCCGAGTAATTCGCTGATATACGTCTGTGGAACCCTTTGGCCCAGCCACTGTTCGGAATACCGATTCCTGAGACAGATTTACAGTTTGCCCTGGCTTCGAGGGCTTGGAACCCGAAGAAGCCGAATCTGCGCGTCGCGGAGGATAATCGATATGAAAGGATCGTAGGTGCCGGTTTTGATTTTGTTTTTGCAATGCGAGGGAGCTGTTGATACCGACAAAGGTGACTATTGAGGTATCGGTTGACTGCGCCGCAGCGAGCGAGGTTACGGAGTCCTCATCGCGTGAGAGCTCGACGTCGACAACCTCACTCAGTTCGTGGCGTTTGAACGCATTCAATAGAAACTGTATCTATTGTTATTATATACACCATGCAAAAAAGGTCCATGTTTTGATTACTTACAATCTTGTTGCCCACGCCGCTTCGGCCTTCGCCGCCGCCGCCGGCAACAAGAAGAAATGCATGATTGCGCGGGTCGAAATCGGCAGCGAACAGAGGGCAGGAGAGGGTGATTTTCGCGGAGGGAATTTTGGGCGCCATATTCAGGACCACCTGCAGGTCCAGGAGCGCGACAAAAAGTGGCTTGACGATCGCAAGGTGGGATGAGGAGCCGGGAAAATGAAGATGAAGCCATGTTTGACAAATGATGTTTGGAATGACGTTGTGGCCTGGAGATCTTGGCATCCACCACCGCGGAAATGATCCGGATAGACTACGACAACTACGCGACTGTACAGCTTTAAACATGTAAGAAACGTTCATCTATTTTTCCCCAATATCACTGATCTAATCCACCTCCTGTCCGGTGAACTCAGGCAGGCGCTTTCGGACATCCTCCCAGGTCTCCTCACCTTCCACCAGGGACTTGAGGGCCTGCAGGATCTCTTCCTGACTCGCGCGAACCTGCTTTGTGGAATCACGGTCACGTAGCGTGATGGTGTTGTCCTTGACAGACTGGAAGTCGACAGTGACACCAAATGGTGTTCCGAGCTCGTCGTTACGCGCGTATCGCTTACCGATACTGGCGGAAGAGTCATCGACACGACTGGATACGCCCAACCGCCGAAGCTTCGTGGTCAATTGTTGAATCATAGGGCGGAATGCATCGTTGCTAGATAAGGGAACGAGGAGAACTTTAGTTGGTGCGATGACCGGGGGGAAGGCCAGAACCTAGATATCAAGTAAGAATGGGAGAAGGTGTATGAGCAAATGATAAAGAACTTACACCGCGCGCTTCATCACCTTCACGATAGTAGTAGACATGCTCCATGAGACTGTACAGGATACGGCCGATACCAAATGATGGCTCGATAACGTTGGGAGTGTACTCGCGGACATTCTCGACACGAGTACGCTTCTCGATCTTGATGATGTCCTTCTCGAGCTCAACCTGGCCAGAGGCAACACCTTCGACATCAATCTCGATCTTGCCGCTCTTCTCGAGGTCAAGAGATAGCTTCTCCCGGAGCTCCTGGGACAGAGCATCAATGGCAGCCTCAACGGTCTTGCCGTCCTTCTTAAAACGGGGCCCAAACTTCTTCTTGTCGAGATCGATTTGCCATTCCTCGACCTTCAATGGCTCTGCACGAGTTTCGCGAACAACTAGAGGAGCTCCAGTCTTGTTCTTGTGTACGTTCAGGTCATAAGCGCTGCGATCAGCGCAGCCGACACACTCAATCCAGCCATAGCTAGTGTGCAGCTCCGCATCCCAGCAGTCGCACGCATAGTGCGCCATCTCGTTGGCCATATGCTGACGGAATCGGAGTTTGGTTGGGTCGACACCAAGCTTGAGCAGGAACAGCTGAATGCGAGCAAGGAAGTATCCAAGAGTCTCGTTGTCCACCAGTCCAGACTCAATGGCCTTACCAACAGTCATCTTCTCGGTCTTCGTGCTACCGGACAGCTGCACGTCCCGGTTGAGCAGTGTCAGCTCAATATCCTTGACCTCCTCGAAGCGCGCGTGCTTCTTACCACCCTCGGGATCGACAAAGTGCTCAATTTCAGCCATCAGGAACTCACGAACGCGCAGAAGACCGGCACGAGGCGAGATTTCGTTTCGGAAGGACTTGCCAATGGAGGCTGAAGCAAATGGCATGGCCTGTTGGTTGAACTCGAGCAGTTTCTGGAAGTTCAGGAACTGTCCCTGAGCAGTCTCCGGGCGCAGGTAGCCGGGCATGTTGCTGCTAGGTCCAATCGTGGTCTGGAACATAAGGTTGAAAGAAACTGGAGGGAGGACGTTGCCACCGGTAACAGGGTTTCTGATATCGTATTTGGCGATGATTTGCTCCAACTGCGGTCCGTCAAAGTTGTCAATCTGGGCCAAGGTTTCCTCGTATTCCTTGACGACCGCATCATCCAGCTTGACTGCCACGCTCTTTGCCTTCTTCTTTTTCTTGGCCTCCTTCTCCGCGTCAACCTCGACCTTTTGACCACGAGCCTCTTTATCACCCTTAAGACGGGCCTCAAGAACCTCCTCCACTAGGTGATCCGCGCGGAAGATCTCTCCTGTTTTGGGATCCTTGCACATCCAGTCGGCGAACTTGTCGACGTGTCCGCTAGTCTTCAGGACCTCTTCGGGGGTCAGCATGGTGCAGTCGACCTCCAGCATATCCTCCTCCAGAACAAAGTGTTTCCGCCAAGTTTCGACAATGTTGTTCAGGACGGCACAACCGGGCGGACCGTAATCGTAGAGACCGGAGACACCTCCGTAGATCTCGAAGGAAGGAGTATAGAACAGGCGGCGACGGAGCATAGAATCCAAGACGGACCGGTCAACGACCTGGCCAGTCTTTGTATTCAACGTAGCCATCTTGGATTTCTTATTGCTGGACTCCTGGATAATGGCGCGGAGGACAGGAGGGGTGGAGGAAAAGTGTCTTCTGTTGGCGGGGTTCCAGCAAGAAATGATTCGGCGGGGAAGAAAAGAAAAGCGAATCGGAGATTGAGTCATCCGCCGACACGTGAGCCGTTCCTTGATGAAACCAAGGAGACTCAATCAGCCCGAATTGGAAGAATTGGGTATCAAGATGGACCTAAAAGGACAAATTCGGTACAGAAACTGGACTGTAAACAGAAAAAATGGCGCTAAATGCTCGCTCTTAATGATAACGGAGATAATTGAGACACTCAGAAGCAGCGAGCCGACTCGGTCAGTCCATCTAAAAGACCGCCGTATTGGTTACAGTAGTCAATACGTCCTACCGCCGGGGAAACGTTTCTCCACCAGAAAAATATCTCCGCAAAAAAGTCTAGATGGTTTGAAGTTTTGTACAGCACAGTGCTACTAATATACGTCTACAGCCCATGATGGTCTCCAAAAAGACATCCGCTAGGCCGCCTTCAGGCATAATCGGCGACTTCAAGGTCCGCAACAAGCAGAAGCGCCAACTCCTTCACATCAAGCGAAAGCGCGCCAAGGACGCCGCTCGCCGCGCACAACGGTTCGGAATCAAGAAGGAAGAGGCCAAGAACCCGAAGTTAAAAGAGGAGCGGCTCAAGCGCAACATCCCCTTGACCTTGGAGCGAAAGCGTGTATGGGATGATGCCGGTAGCGACGCTGAAGAGCCCCTAGGACTGAGTGTCGATGTCGAGCGGATCAAGCGACAGAAACAAGAAGAAGATGATGAGCTGAACCGTCCGCTGGACAAGGCGACGGATGACTCTGAGGAAGACGACGGTGGCAGTGACAAGGAAGATGATGATAATGACCTTGACAGCATGCTAGCCAGCAGTGACGAAGAAGACGAAAACGACGAGGGGAAGGAAAGCAGCAAGGACAGTCGCGGCCGGAAACCCTCCGCTATCCCCTCAGCCACCGAGCGTGCAACCAGCCCATCGCAATCAACAAAGAGCACAAACCTGAACCTAGCCCCAGAAGCTTTGGCCGCAAAATTTCCCTCGCTCTTCTCGCCCGGCTCCCAACGACCCCCGAAGATTCTAGTCACAACCTCCCTCAACTCGACCCTGCACCACGAAGCGCAAATCTTAACTCAACTATTCCCCAACAGCGTCTACATCCGGCGCACAGCCCACGCCCACGCCCATAAGTTCTCCATTCGCGAGATTTCCCAATTTGCCCATAATCGCGAATACACCACCCTTGTAATCCTGCAAGAGGACTCCAAGAAGCCGGCTGGCTTGGACATCGTCCACCTTCCCAAGGGCCCTATGTTCCACTTCAGCATCAGCAATTGGGTCGAGGGCAAGAAAATTCCCGGTCACGGAAATCCCACCGAGCACTGGCCGGAGCTAATCCTGAACAACTTCCGCACACCGCTCGGTTTGCTCACCGCGCATCTCTTCCGCACTCTATTTCCACCGCAGCCGGACATCGAGGGTCGACAGGTCGTCACGCTCCACAACCAGCGCGACTACATCTTTGTGCGCCGGCACCGCTACGTGTTCCGCGAGAAGCGAGAGACCGAAAAGGCTGTTGTGGGTGCGGATGGCAAGGAGATCAAGGGAGCCGAGGGGATCCGAACGGGTCTTCAGGAGCTAGGCCCTCGGTTTACCTTGAAGTTGCGTCGTGTTGACAAGGGAATCCAGAGGGCGAGCGGACAGGAGTGGCAATGGAAGGGGAAGATGGAGAAGAAGAGGACGTTGTTTCAGCTGTGATTGCGCAATGCGCTTTATGTCATTTGCATCGCATGGAGTCTGGTTCACAAAAGAAATTTCCTGGGTGGGTTTGGTTCTTGAAGCTTATCTAAATACCACTTTGAGCTGTTTATAGATCAATTCGACGAGATATATCATCACGATACCGTCTTCAAAGCACACCTCAGTGGTTGAAGTACTCGCGGGAGACTAATGTTTCGTACTACGGTAATTGCTAATCTCGAGGCTAGGCTACATAAGCACTTAATCCACGCAGCTCTCTCGTCGTAGTCATCGCAGCAGCAGAACACGCTTTTCAGCTCCATAACCTGGCAAGAAAACAAATGGGTATATAAGTATATATAAACCAACGAACAACCACGCATTATATCAGGTCGAGATTGGAATCTAGGTTCATTTCATCCTCGATCTGCTTCAACCTCTGAAACATTTCGTTCTTGCGTAGATGTGGCCTCGAAAACGGCTTGCGCGCCGTCACCGTCTTCACGCGGGTTGTCAACCTCTCTACGGCCAGAAGCTCTACTTTCACTTTCTCACAAAGATCACGAACTCCCTCCTTCGTCCAGTTTCCTGACGCGGTGAGCTGGCGCAGACTATAAGCCTCCAGGCCCTCGAGGAGCGCAAGAAGCGCCATCTTCCCTATGGTCTTCTCGCGTGGGTCGTCTGGCCATGTTCCGACTGGAATTGTGCGTTCCAGGACACGGACGTCGACGAACCCGGCCGCGTTGAGGACGCTAGGCAGGAGATGGCAAAGATCGCGCGGGTGGCCTGTGGCTTCGGCGGCGGAGCGCATAGCAGACGTGAAGATGCTCAGGTAAGAGTCTCCTGAGCCAGGGAATGAGACAGTGTGGGCTGCTGGGTCTGCGTCACTGATCTCGATGTATCCGCCAGGGACTAGATGGCGGAAGGCCTGCCTATACACGACCGACCAGTCTGAAAAGGCGCCTGCGAGGCCACGGAGATGGACCAGGTCGAAAGGCTGGTGGTATGTCCATTCGTGCCTAGCGTCATCGAGCTGGAAACTCACATTGGGAAGGTCAATGGTACTGCCGAGGCCGCTATCAAAGACGCCAATGTCAGTTGCGATGATAGTAGCACCGGGGTATGCAGCGCTCATTTCAATAGCCCAGTCACCTGGACCTGTCCCGATGTCTAAAATACGCGCCGTTTGTTTGGCAAGAGGCACATTGATGAGGTTTCCGTCGGACAAGATCATGCACATCTGGTGAGTAATATTCAGACGGATTTGTTCGGGCTCGTCATTGGGCATGAAGTATGTGCCGTCACAGTATCGTCGGCCATTCTCCCGCACATATTGTATATTCTGGGCTTCGAAGGACTTTGTGGATTTTCTGGCGCGGTTAGCTTCTATAGCAACAGGGCGGGATGTGCTGACATTGAGACACCATCAGAGTCCGTATCCCAATCAGTGTCCGGGTCATCATCGTCCACCCAACGATGCTTCCCGGATGGGTTGGCACTGCCAGTCTCAACGGAGTCAAGCATACTTTCTGCAAGCCCTGCCTTCTCCATGACATGACGGACTCCGACAAGTGAACATGTAGTTGCGTGGCAGCTGGCCATCAACAGTGGCCCTTGAGCAAAGACAGACGGGGAGGCGACAGGGGAGTATATGCTAGGTGCGAGTCAGACATGAGCGGGGAATCGTGCACAAATAGTAGGCATCATGCTGTTCAGGAACAATGTGAGCTTGTGAACCAAAGTATGAAAGAGGAGCGAAGGAGTATCCGGATAATAACAATCTGAAACAAGCTGGCCTGTCAATCGGGAATCAGATGTTTCAAGGCATGCAGTAACCCTGGGGAAATGCAAGACTAATAAACGGACAATTGTTTAGTTCCGTCTAAATAGGACTCAATAATGGGCCCTGCAAGCTATCATCGTCAACGATTCATTAAGAATATTTGGAAGTCCACTGGGTTAATCTGTTCAGTCTGAGTTAGTACCAGGCGAGTGGAATCGAGTCCACCGTTGTCGAGTCCTTGACGCTGAGATTATTGTTTTGTCGTCAAGAGTTGTACAACTACAACGAGGCTCTCGAACGCCTGCGGACAAACAAGTTTCAGCTTTCCCCACTTCCCAGACTCTTGGGATGACACACGGACGCTGAGGTATGTGCTTTTCCTTCAGCACCGCGTTGGCGCCGTGGCGCTGGGGTTCGGACATTATTCTACCACCGAACACCACATCCACATCGAGGCCGTCTTACGAGATCGAAGTCTAGACTTGACCCGCTGCATTTTGGGGGGAGGAACAATCAAGAACCGGCTTGGGTTCCAGTCAAGCAAGCTCACATATAGTAATGACAATCCTTTCATATGCTCGGGGAGTACCTGCTGCACGGAGTACTCCCAGCTCCCGCGACTGGGGAATGTTGGGACGACCTCCGAGAGGAGTAGGGAGCTGCAAACGGACGGCGACGCCGGTTCGTACGATCAACGAAACGACGACCAGCGCGGCGGGAAGGAATGAGGGAAAGCACAAGGCCTTTATTTTAATTCCCAATCATATCGAAGCTTGGGGATAGAAAGTTGTTCGAGACCGGGCAGATGGAAGCATCGCTAACTCGACCAGAACTGCCTATTCATAATTCCGCAGATTAGGTACTACCGGTAGGTAATAGGTATCTACCCGCTGGAGTCTCAACGCCGCCCAATCGGTTCCTGAAGATCTGGATCTCAACCGTGAGATCAGGAGACAATGAGATCTTGACGATCGACGATTCGTCGGAGCACAACGATTTGGAATGGTCTGAATAGAAGCTCCGTGACGATGGCTACTGAATGACAGATTGCTGCTCGCATGGTCCCACATGGGCTCATTGAACCTGACGATCTCCCGCCGCAGTGGGCTGGGGAAACTCTCGTTGCTCAGAATTTGTCACCCTCAGCAGCTTCACTCACAAAGCGCGAACCTACAGGTTTTTCAAAACATACTGTATATCACAATGATCCAACCACCCCTCCGCTCGCTTTTCATCGCCTCAATCGGAAACCCAGGCCGCTATCGTAACACGCGCCACAGCGCCGGCCATATTCTCCTCGACGCCATAACGCCCCTCCTCCAAAATCGTCTTCCGCCGGGATACAAAACATGGCAGAGCCCCTCACTGATGAACGACTCTGGCAAGAAACTTGTCCGCGAACTTGAAGCCTACAAGCGATTTGGGTCAATCAGAAGCGTGGACGCAGATTCAAACGCTCTGACTCTTGTCATTCTGCACGATGAACTCGAGAAGCCCCTGGGCAAAATCAACGTCAAGCGTGGAGGCCCAGAGAAACTGAGCCTGCGCGGTCATAATGGACTAAAGGATATTTTCAAGTGGTTGGAGAAGAAGAAGATGTACCCTCACGACCAGACGCTGTCAATATTGCGGATTGGGGTGGGCATTGGGAGACCAGGGAGTCGTAACTCGGACGATGTTGCAAAGTATGTGCTTACGCCCATGGAACCGAAAGAGTTAGACGCTGTGAATCGGGCAGCCAGGTTTGCGGTGGATGTTCTGGCTGAAGAGGCTGAAAGGCTTGAGACTCATGTTGAGTCCGCCTAGTGGAAATGACAACAATAGAGTTGTGTCTTTTAGCGATTGTATAGATAGATGATACCCGAACAATTATATTCTTGGATTCTCAAGCGGTGGTAATCATGAACCAGTGAAGGATAAGACGGAGATGATATATCGCGTACAAACAAGCGTAACAGTTCCCATTCAATAAACCCTGTAAACAAAGACATTAAACAGTACCCGCTATGCTCAAATCCCGAATCTCCTGAAGGACCTCCTCTACCCTGTTATCCAGGTCACCGCGCGCGTATTGATCCCTCGTTTCAGCGTCGAGATACTGCTGCACTTGAGCCATACGGGAGTATGCTTCCGCACAGAAACGCAATTGGATCTTTACCAAGGCTTCGAAACTCGGGTCGAGGTACGGGACACGCAGGTCAATGAGTTGAGGAAGTTCGGTGAATAGTTGCTCGTTGAGCTGTTCGTATGCCTGTTTGGCCATCTCCAGTTCTCGCTCAGTGCGAGGCAGCTTGGTAGCGTCCTTGTCGGGCTTCTCGACCAGCCGCTTCACCTTGGCCCGCATGGCATCGTAGTCGAGCAACTTGTGATTCCTCTTCTTGATGCACTCGTTGACATCAGGGAAGTACGCACAGAAACGGGAAATGGGGTCGAGGACAGTTGTTCTGTAACCGTGTCAGTCAGCACCGGCGATACACTGTGCACACAATACCAGAAATCGTACCTGTAGGGTCCGTCGAGCGCCTTGATCGTCTCGGCATCAAGGTCTTCGACAGCCTGCTTGTAACTCCTGCTCACGCCGTCTTTGGCCCCAGCATCACCGTAAAAAGCGTCTATCGTCTCCGCGATCCGCATCTGCGAAGCCGTCATGGCTGTTTTAAACCGAACAATCAGCACACCCATTTATCACGTAACTACGCCGAACAATTGCCGTACCTCGCAGTGAGTCTAGGTATCCCTTGGCCTCCTTCTGTAATCGGTTTGCAGCAGCCTCCATGGTCCGGTATCGCCTGTATCGTGTTGATGAGCCACAGCTGGCGCGAACAGTATATCCAAGCTCTCATACCGTTCTTCGATTTCATAATCGCGGTCGTTGGTTCTCTCCACATGCCCTAATCATTGGAAAAGGCAGTATCAGCATTGTGCTCCAGACGAAAACTTAGGTATTCCATTCCAGCTATATCGGCCCGTGTCCGGGGTCATCGCGGCGGTTGCGGGGCAGGTTCGTCTCAGACATACCCGTCTTCATCATTACCTGCGTCGTAGCGCGGTTTACATTCTTCTTGAAGCCTGTAAAGAGCATCCATGTCAGTAAGTCTTCTCGTAAACTCACGAGTATACTGCGCACCTGCCCAAGACATGTCGGACGTTGTTCAGTCGGATTACTGGGTTTTCGCGGATGAAGTAGGGACAATCGTGATCGCTATGAAGTTCGAGAGCGGTAAATCAATATAGAGACAACTTGTACAGAGTCACCGGTTGGGTAATGAGCAAGAGTGACTTGGAGAACGAGAATCAAGATTGAAGCCTAATGCGGGACCAACGATGATGTCTTTCCGTTCCTCGGTGGCTTAGGTAGAGCAAGGGATGTGGCTGTGTATTTTACGGCTAGTATGAGACCGCAACGTACCCGAACTTAGAAGTATACTCCTGCATAACCACGCTCAAGAGACAGCACTTCAGGTAGCTTTTTGCCGAAATCCAACTATATAAAGGGACTTTCATGATGAAAATATCTCAGTGTAACTGGAGCAAGATGGAGCAAGGCCATGTTTATGACAGAAATCCCGATTGTCAGCATATTGAATGGATTTGGTCTCTGCCCTATTAGAAAACGGTATTTTAAGAAGCTCCGACTTGTACCTAAGCGTTGCCTCGCTTCTACGGAGTACTTCTGTTGCTCTCTTCCGCAAACATTCACAATTGCGTACAATTCCTCAGTGCAACTAGATCCGATTCCTAGCTGTGGCCAGGGACTGCCTTGCAGAGACAGGCGAAGAAATTGGCCGGCCACTACTATAAGAGTGACAAGCAAGAGCCTTGGGCAATGCCTTGAACAAGGTGAGAACTCGCATGCACTCCTAGCTAGCATTATTATAGAGACGAAGCCTCTATCTCAACTGACGTCACATCGTGAGCATATCAACACTCGATCTTCGCACATAATCAAACAAGGGTTCGCAACCCGGGAGAAGCAAAAATAGTTACGGCTAGAAAGATCGGACTCGGGACCTTGTGAGCGATTCCTCTGCCAGTGACGGACATCAAGGGTTGTTATCGTCGGCAAGTTCCCGGGCCGGCTGCAGCAGTTGCAGCAGGAGTAACTGTAGCATCTACTCCGTAGCACACCCGTCAATTTAATAGATTAACGGGCTGGGCCCTGAAATCTGCTGAATGGCGAAACAATCAACAGCACATGGGCTTCAATGAGTACTGCTTAGCGTGCTGTAGAGTAGAGAAACGCCCAGCTGAAACCCCGGAGTCCTCGAGAATCAAGTATGCAGCCACAGTGGTCCAAGATCCAGTAGTGGCATCCTGCGAAACAAAGACGAGCCCTTCAGCCATCAGCATGTCAGAATGTTCGGGCAGACCAGATAAGGAAAAGACACACCCGGTTTCAAAGGAATGTATCGGTTGCCCTCGGGCTTATCTTGACGTCAAGGGGAGCGCCCTCCCTTGTGGCTGCTGCACCATCCTCCAAGAGCCGACAAGAAGTTCCTAAGCCGACGATCAACAAAGCGGAGTCATAACGCCCCAGGTATTCGTAATTACAAAACATGACGGATCTTAATACAGCCCTATGATCGATCCGACTAAACTCCTTTCTCTTCTCGTGGCTTCAGCACGCAGCAGGCCAATGGTCATATGTCCAGTGTCCAACTATGCATACTGCACATGGAGAGCTGACTCCAATTCAAGATCAACGCACGCCGCACGCCCTATCACAGCGAGGAAACAGTCGCTCAGCAGCAACAGGTGATTAACCAGCATCGGCGAGCCACGGTTTTCCTTGAAGAACATGGCTGTGTTCCATTTCCTAGACTCGTGGTGAACAATCAACAATATTAATAAGGGTCTTCGAGGCTCTTTGAGCGTTTTTCCTTGTTCCATACCTGGGACCCGATTTGTACTATGGGATTTACCTATACTCCCGCTCGACGGTCATTGACATTTTCAGTCTTGGACACCACTTGACTGCCTTCCCTCTACACCCCTTGCTAGCTTCCAGTTTGATTGCAAAAAAAAAAATAGCTAAGTCGGGAACAGCGGACGACGCAAATTTGGACAATGCTCCGGTTGAGAATAATGCAAGGCCCAATTTACACCAACCCCAAGGAGGAGGCACTTGGCTGCACAGTCCCAGCGTCCCACGGCCCCATGCCTTGTACTGCCTGCCAGCTAGCTCGCAGCGCCTGCATCAATGCCGTACTGACCAGAACTTCCGAATTCCAGAAAACTGTGCTGCCTAAGTGCCCCTACTTTTGCCATGCTCCACCGGTAGGAGCTGGCCGTTAAACTACTGAATCTTTTCCCCGAATGGAATATGCGGCCTCCGCGCATGCCGAGTGCTTCCTTCGGCCACCAACTTTTTAGCAATGCCAACATATTCCCAGTGGATTGCTATACTCGCAGAGTCGCTAGCCCCTGCGCACAGCGCAGGGACTTGGGACTAGGCAGCCTTATTACATGGGAATCAACCCACGGCTTTTACAGACGTCTCAGTCTGTTTAGATCGAGTCATTGTGGTACCAGCGACTTGGGTCAAAATCCGGCGTGGCCGGTGTGATAAAAACTCGACTGGAGCAGGTTGTACAGCTTTGACCGACAAACTTTTACTCGATTTGAATCCGCTGCAGTGTCCTTGGAAGCGCATTTGGGTCGTTGAAAACTTTGTCCCCCCTTTATTCAACTTACCCTAACACGTAGAAACGGAGTACAGACGAACAACTGCCTCAATTTCATCGCCAGGGTTCTCCATCGGACATTGGCCCGCTATTGCTATTGCTTGAGTGGTTCATGATATCTTGTCCGGTGATGCCGAAGTCTCAGGTGCAGAAAGCCCGCTGGGCCTCGATCTTCAGAGGCACAGCGACGTCGCAGCCAGGAAGCAATCTCGACTGCAGGTGGCCAGAACATTGCATGCACATAGCCGGCACCATCCCTTGTTTCTCTGAGCCCTACCGGGAGAACACCCACAGCTGTAGACTACGAGGCCTTCTAGGCTTCTACGCCCATGCGCTCCTCAGTATGCAAATCAGTTAAATTGCTCTTTCTTGATGTACTGGGTAGTATGACCGCCAACTTCCAGGTGAGTTCCCAAGCCCAGCACATCCAATACTACCACCCTATCGCACCGCAGAACGCCGGCACAATGTTACACCCGCAGAAATTTTTTTTTCTTCAGAACCAGCGTCTCGCCCTGCCAGCAGGGTTATGCTTTTTGTGCCTGGAACTCCGGACCAGTCCATCAGCCGTAACCTAACTCTATCTATATATAGAGGGTTCGAGGCGGAATATCCTTACCGGAGTCTAGACTCGGTAGCCAGCTAGGGGAACTACATCCCGGTGTAAATGTCGTGGTCGTTGACCGTCCAACAGGCAGACTCATACTCAAATTTTAGCCAGGCGCATTTACGCCTCACCTCGAAGCCAATAGGGGCGCCGAACACTAACTCGCCCGTGGACTGAGCGGCAAAAAACACGACCTCGGGGCCTCATATTTGGGTCGTAGGGTCGATACAAGGGAAAAGCCACTGCTTTAGAGTCTTCTGCATAAACCACACGCACATGCGTAATGTACGGATCTACATTGCATACTGTACTCCTGCCTAAAAGAAGAACGCATGGCAAGACTCGGGCTGTCCATCCCTAAAAACTTCAGTTTAGTTTCTAAGGTTGAACGCAGTGGTAGTGTCCTGACCCAAGTAATCTAGGATACAGCCCAGCGTAAGCAGTATACCCACAACTGCAAGTAGTATACTCGGCCTGGAGTGGAACAGATTTGATACCCCTGCGCCACAGTTAGGAAGACATGAAGTCATCGGGGAGCGAAGCCGAAGATTACGGAGTACGGAGTATGTCACCGAGGTACAAAGCTACGGAGTACGCAGTAGCTCCAGCCCCCTGGCCGGGAAATGATGTCGTCCGGATTAAGCTGAGCCTCAGGGCCGGCATGATGTAATGGTGGGAGAGTCACATGACCTATGGGCACAACCCAGGTAGGGTAAGTTTCAGAAGTTTCAGAAACTAAGAGCGAGGCCAGTGATAGAATGAAGATGAAAAACAAAGGGTTTCTGTGTTGGTGGACTAGCCATTGTCTTGAGCCATTCATAAAAGTGGTGATGTTACAACGTTTTTGTCCCTGCCGCCCGATGAACCATACCATATCCGCCCATGACCTGGAATAAAACGCCGGCTGTGATGTAAAACAATGCTATGATGAGGTATCAAGAGAAGGCTTCATATAAGTTGGGTCCGGAAAACTTAGTAAACCCAGACCATGGTCTTGAAAAAAGACGCGCAATCAATGATAAGATGAAAGAGAGGAACGTGAGAAGAAAATAATGTATAGGCCGTTAATATGAAGCGTATATGTTGGACTGGTACCATGAATCTAGTCAAAGGTCATGATCTTCGTTGCATTGACATGGGAACGTGACGCCAGACTAAACCCGCAAACTAGGAGAAAAGAAAAGACATGCACCGACATAGGTGTAAAAGATCAAAAGTCCTCCTTCTATAAGACGCGGAAAGAAGGACGCTCTCACACCGTAAAGAAAAGGGAGAAACACGTAACCACCCATTTCTATTCTGACGGAGGAGATGGATAGGAGCAAGGTGACCACAGGGGACTCGGTCGGAAGAACATCAAAACCAGTCCAATGAACCCTTCCGGGCCGTAAGACCTGTATTTTGTAGAGGGAAGTTTAGAAGCCTTCCTCACCTGCTTGACACAGCTTGATCTCGCGGAGCCACTCGGATTTCAGGATCTGAGACGAGTTGATGCGACGAGAAGGATTAGGGTCGAGGATGGAGTAGACGACATTGCGACAACGAGCCTAACACAAATCAGTCAGTTTGGGGGTTTCACTCTGAATATAAGTCAAGCTTACCCGATGCAATGTCTCGATAGGCGCATAGCCATCCTCATGCTTGCGACCCTCTAGGTATCGTTTGTAAAACTCGTCCTCGTCCTTGCGAGCCAATTTCCACAGATGGCGTCCCGTCCTCATGGCCATGTAAATAACACCGCAAGCCCAAATGTCAACCGCCCTGGGATCGAACTCCTTCTCGATATACTCTTCCGGGGCAATGTAGGGGGCAGAACCACAGAGGCCGGCAGTCATATGGGCTTCTTTTTCCCATGCCATACGGAAACATTCGCCGTTTCCAAAATCTGTAATCTTAAGGGCGCCGTGAGTGGTCAATAGAAGGTTCTCTGGCTTCAGGTCGCGATGAGCAACACCCATTTCATGCATATATTCGACGCCGCGCATTAGCTGTTTGAATAGACAGTCGGCCTCGGCGACCTCTAGCTTTCCTGCAGCCAGCACAAGAGTGTAGAGGTCACCGCCTGCGCAGTACTCCATAACTTCGCAGTAGTCGCCCTTGGCATCCTGCAGGAGGTCGAGCGTGTGTATAATGTTAGGGTGGCGCAGGGACGAGGAGATGCAGAACTCAGAGGTTAGTCGCTTTTGATATTTTTTGCTTGTTTCTTGCGGACGGCGGCGGAATTCTTTGACGGCGTAGAGTTGCTCGCTCTTAGAGTCCTTCGGGTCTACCTTGTGAGAGATCCTGACAATACCGAAAGCACCACGACCGACAATCTCCTGGCATTTGCCATATTTATCAACGAGGGACGCAGTGGCGTTGGGGCCGCCTTTCTTGTCGGCGGCCAGCTTATCCCGCTCGCTTTTGAATTGGTCGATCCACGTTGACATCAGTGATAATTGCTGATCCTCCGCATGGTCGTCCTTCTTGCGACCACCAAGCATATCGCGAAGGAGATCGGTCAGCTTCTCTTGCCGACGAGTGCTCTTCAGGTGGTGGCAGTGGGAATTATCTGGAAGCAACTCGAAGCGCTTCTGTGCGGTTGAACCCTCCTTCTGATCCTTTCCCGCAGGTTTAGCCTTTTTGTCGCTCTTTTCGCTTTTCTCGGCCTTGTGGACGTCTTTTGTGGATGTTTGTCGCGAGGGTGCCCTGGAAGGAGGTTTTGATGGAGGCCTTGAAGTCGGCCGGGACTGTTTCCCGTTGCCATTCGCATTTGATTTTCCGCCATCAGAACTACTGTCTGATAATTCGCGCGACGATTCTGGCTCCCTTGGGGTGGATCGACCGGTGCCTGTGAACATGCGAGAAATGCGATTTGCCATGGTTTGCTTGGGGGCCTTCACTGGATGGGGAAGCGCCGCATCCCCATTCAGGGCAGACAAATTCATGCCCGCCAAAGCCTGTGTTACCTGTCGTTCTCCATGGTCGCTAGAAATCTGTGAAGTGGCGGCGGAGGAGACTTGCGAGGGTATAGGAGAAACAGATGGTGGAGTCATGTGCGGTAAGTGGTAGTATAACACGGTAGAAAAGAGGAAGTAAAATTCGCCCCCCAGAGGATGGATGGGATAGTGCAATCGAGGAGACTCGAGAAGCCTACAGCGCAAGGCTGAAAGGCCAGGTAGGACCAAGGATTGAGAGCTGAGAGATGAAAGAGAATCGAGGATTGGAAGGGGAAAGGGAAATTATAAAAAGTGGTGCGCGCGGTGACCGAGTTGCTGGCCTGAGTCCTGAGGCTGCAGCTGTGACGGAAGACAGCCAGGGAAAAAAAAATACAGAAAAAGAAAAAAGACTCAGCGAGGCACGGAAGCAGAGGGGACAAGTGGAGCTGCACAAGAAAGTCTTGGCTTCTATAGTCTTTGAGTGCTTTTGATCAGCTCGAGTCCGGCTGAGAAGCAGAAGAAGCAGAAGAGAAGAGGGAGCAAGACTACGTAGTAAGGAAGGAGGCGAGCAGGTGCGGTACTTGTATCTGTCTATTATGTACGTAACTGCGACTACGACACTGCCGGAAAATAGGAGCGAAAAAGGCAGTTGAATTCGCTCTTCTGTGGGAAGTGGGAACCTTTTCATCATCCATTACCCACGGATTACCGCCTGCAGCAGGATCCCTGAAGAGAGCGAACTGGCTGACTTTCGAGGAAGCGTGGCTCAGAGTTACCTCCGGGCTGTCACGTATTGAAAGAGGCTTGTATCTTACGACCAAGCGGAACCTTACCGATACCGCACCGCCGCCGCTGCGTTTCCGGAATTGCCCACCGTGCCACACATGAAAGGTGGCCGAGTGATCGACTATCAAATGACCGTCAGCTTCGCATAGCAAGGTGGTGTGATATGCTTTGAATGCAAAACTATTATTCGGCGAAGCCAGAGACCGACAATACCAATTATCAGCCACGCCCTAAGTCACTATTTTGTTCGCAGTGGGAACGGCTGTGCTCCGAGCGAAAGTGGCGCCTTCTACTCCGTACACATTATTATTAATCCCTCCATGAATCATACTCCATACTTCCACCACTTTCCAGGTACATTTAATAATAATGGACGATGCTATCTGACAGCCTGACTAGGTGGCGCACGACGATTCCCTCCTCCGGGAAGCTCCGCACTTCAACATCTCCATGAGGGGAGGTTGTCCTGTCAGAGGAGTGTGCCTTGGAGTCAACTCTGGGTCTACCGAAGGAAGCAAGTCGACTGATGCGTTGTTTATGGGGTAGTTTACGGAATACTCCATTTCCCATCCCGCACTCATCGACAACGGGTTACGGAACGAAGGAGACAGCGACTCGAAAGGTGCGAAGTCGAAAAGAAGTCGGATGATGGTCCCCTGCTATTTTGGTGTCTTCTCTGCCGTACTGCAAGGATTGGATGGATACGGTGAACCAAAGGAATGGCTCTTAGTCAACCTCACGAATAACTCAAGGCAAAATGAGGCTGTGCTTTGATGCTGGCGCACCGAGTCCGACCCTGGTCCCCCGCACATCATTTACATGGGTAGCTGGTTTCGCTCGCTCTGATTAGATGCGGTTCGAGGGCCGCTAAGATTGGCAACCAACTCTCGTTCAGCTAGAGATTGTGTCGGCAGGCCGAGAGAGCTTTACGCTGATTGCCAAGATATCTCATTCAGGCATCTGAGGGGTAGACGACGAGCCATCTGCTTCGCTTCCTGTCAATATTCAAGTGGTATAGGCCTGTTACACGGCCGGCTTGGACCCTTTGTCCTTTCCAGGTGCATCAAAGCTCTGTGCAGAAGCAGCGGTGTTTGCTGCCTATACGGCGTATACTTTGTAGCTCGTCACCAACCCTGTCAACCGTGAGATCTACTCCGACTCGGCTCTTTGATACTATTTGGGACCGTGTTGTCAAGACTTTTCTTCAGTTAAGTCTGTGATCAAATTATGGGTCTTCAGGCGGGCGAAAGGCAATGGAGCAGGGAAACTCCGAGCCATGCACATACCCCCATTGGGTTGAGGTCTAAAAAGGAGGTGGGGTTATCATGTGTCAGAGACCGGATGATGTATGAAGTTGTTCTTGTTGGCCTTGTGTGGTTGATTCGGAGTATCGCAATTTGAACCCAAACGGGCAGTTCTATGATGATGATTCCCGCAATCTACTACTCAGTACTCAAGCGCAAGCCCGCTTCGTTGTACTACTCCGTGCGGCGGGGCAGACCATTGACGGCCAAGTAATACCATGATTGGAAGGTGGGTATATAGAATATGTTTTGCTTGCGATGGGCGGCGATGGCATGTTTTGAAGCACCAGTCGTGGCCGTCTCAAGTCTCCGCTCCAGTTTACGGGAGAGATCGACTGAGTCTCCAGAGCGATTCCCCAGACCTGGGCCGTTAACTAAACTACTAATTAGTGCGTCCCGCAGGAGCTTGAGAGACGAGGACTCAAAGGCAAAGTCCGCAGGGGCTATGTTGATGCTGTAACAAAAACCTCGTTTTCGACCACAGATTCATCTTCGTGCATCATTAATTGCTGCCATCTGATCGGCCTGCAGGCTAATAACCCCATACCGTTGGCCCGTTGGGAGAGCACTACTTGACCGTCCCGAAACCAAGGTCGATAAGGTCGGATCATGGAGCAGTTCAGGACTTCAGGTTTGCACGAGGGATTTTTTCAAGCCAATCAAATCCAGCGCAGATGGAGAATGCAAACTGTGGTCCCGACCAGTTGGGTTTAGCTGGAGATTTCTTACTTTGCCGTCCTCGATGCTCATTGCTGAGGCTGCACTCTGCAGCCGCTGCAGTTCAACAAACAAAGTATCGGGCCAAGCAGACAATAGTCATTCGAGTGTATCCGTACTTTTCATGGTTGCTGAGCTGGATGCACACCCTGGCTCCCATTGCATATGCATGCTCATAAAAGCCAATTGTCAGCTTGGCATCTTCGATACCGCCGAGGGGTCGAAACCATCCAGGACCATCCTGAGGGACACTGGGCTCTGGCTCAAGATGGCAGTTCCCAGGACCCATTATCAATTTCTAGGGCCTCCGCTTCTCCAAAGCGCGCTCGTGACCAGACTATAGAACTCGAATTAGTGGTACGTCAATTCGAGTCGTCTAGTGACCCGACCTACACCCCTTCAGCAGCATATATCATATGCAATATGGACATGGCCAGTGCAGCGAAGTTGGAGTTCACCGTTCCGAGCGCTTCTTTTGAGATCTCTATTAAGAGCAGGTATTGCCGGCCACTTGCTACTGCTAGTTGCTACACTGAACTAGAGCACGTTTATCCCAAGTTTACCCGGGGCCCTGACCCACCGCGGAAAGATCCTTCTCCGTTATAGTTGACAAGTCGTGTGGTTCGACCGTTCCCGACCTGTAAACGAACACGAATACCACCGAACTGGCTTGGTCCTGGCCATCATGTCGCGGTCGCAAAGGCGAATGGAATAGGTCCAATCCGGGAGTACAATCAGCGCACACACCCTGTAGGATTCGATAATCGTGATGGAGTTGCGGATGGCAGGGCATGGGTGACTCCCGCGATGAACAGACGGTGAGACTGCACCAGAGTCAGGGCTCAAGACTCGAGCAAAGTCCAAGCTCCAAACAAGTCTAAAGCCTACTCAGCCTAGAGTGGAGGACTTGCATGGACCAACGCATAACAACGGAATTCCCGCCAGAGATGCCGGTCAAGCTTCGGCTCTGCTCTCGGGCCAAGACTGCTGGACTGGACTGGACAGTTCACAAACTACTAAAAGTAGTAAAGGATCGAGCTCCTTATCCAACAGATTGTCACAACGCGACCATGGCCGGGGAGGTCCTCCAGCAGGATTTCTTGCTGGGTTTACTTTTACCCTGCATGGCCGTGCTGCAGCAGCTGGCGAGCTCGGCTGCCAACTTGCATGAAATCGCTGGTCGCATATGCATAATTCGACCTCCTATGTCGACTTCGCCCTTGGATCCCGCTCCTGTGTTGCTCACCGGTACGTACACCGTAGAGTCATGGACAGCTGTCGCATTGGCATCGTTGGTATCTCGCTCTACTCCGTAGTTCTAGGGTATTATGATGCGGCAACAGGGATGCTATTATTATCATCAACACCACTCCGTAGGATCAATAATCCCTTGGCTTTCCTTCAGTTGGTGGATCCGCTAGAATTGATATACTCCGGCACATCAGACTATCCATTGCGGTAAAGCCTCGGACACGGCCTGCATAATCAAATGGTGTGAGGCTTCAAACATAGCCTCTGAGTAGGCATTTGCTAGAGTGTGCAGTGTAGAGCGGCCCACCCATTACCGAAATCCCACCCACTAGCAAAATTGCTTTTTAAAAACAATACTAAAATTATTATCTCACGAGTTTATATCTTAACAACATAAATATAATAATATTATAATAATTTAAGCTATGTTAAATAGCTATAAATCTATTTTATTTAATAATATATTTTTTTTTATTTAAATTAATTACATGGCGGGATTATTAAGGATTTTATTAGGGTAGTTTTTTTAGCTAGTTTTAGTTAAATTTTTAATCTTAATTAACTATAGGTCCGCGTTATTTAATAAATTTTAATATTAATTAAATAAAGGCGCTTTATAAAGCCTAAAGCTATTATAAATAAATATATTAAGGCTTTATAAAAAGCCTTTATAATACTTTATATAAAACCAAGGGGGGTTTATAAAACTTTTAAAGTTATTATTTAATTAAAAGTTTAAAAACCTATATTTAGCTAGTAAATTATTATATTCATGGTAGTTAGGGTAACTAGGTATTTTAATAGCTAAAGTTAAGAGTATTTAGCTTATAAAAGTTAAGTTTATATAGCTATTTTATAATATTAAAAATAAAAGTAAAAAAGGCCTGGATATTTAACTTTATAAGGGTGTTAAAGGCGTAATAAAAATAAAAAATAATAAAAAAATAAATAAAGTTTTTAATAGCTAGGCTTTTTTAATAAATTACTTAAAAAGTTTAACCTTTTATTTAGCCTTATATTTTATTATTATTTTTATAACCCTTTTTTACTTGGCCTTAT